GTAAACCTTATTGGGGAAAATATTGCTGTGAGGGAGACACAAAAATTTCAGCCCCTTCGTGTAGCCGCAAACAAACGTAATCCCTGCTAGGGGTTTATCCTGAATTTACGACGCGAGATTTCCTCAAACGTCCATGAAAAATGCGTTGCGACGACCGAAACGGACCGCTTCTGTTTGTTTACGCCTTAATAATTTTTGAGGTATTCCATTTGGCACTAAAAAAGATCAGTGAAAACCCTAAGTACTCAACATAAACCTAAATAAATAAAGAACGATAATCTTTCGTAAATACTAAAAAATTATATTTAATTCCTTTTAGATTTTTCAGCAGCTTTTTTAAAATGATTGAAATTAATAAAATTTTCCAAATAAACTCCCGTGATTGTTAGATTATTATTAAAACAACTTCCCAAGTAGATTAATTTTTTCAACTAGTTCAAAGTTTTCGCGTGGTCGTTGAAAAATACAAGAAGTAACGGGAATATTCAGATCGCGTCATATTGGAAAAGTTGGCCAATTTAAAATCCGAGGAAAGCCGCCGACCAGAAAGACGCGGTCCTCATATTAATTCCGGAAAATCTGCCGCCGTCGGAAAAATTGGGTTAATGGTACGGGGTCCGATTTCGTCGAAGCTGATTTACATGAACCGAAGAAAAAAAAGTAGATAAAAAAATGTGGGTTAACGAACCGTTTCCTTCCGGACCGATAGACTTTTTAAACCGGCCACATCCGGTAACGTGTTGAACGTATGGTTTTGTTTCGATTTTGTCGAAGGGGCTGAGGGGGTGGAACATATGCGATTCTCGGGGGAGCTGTAATTTATTTAGGAATTCCGGTCGCGAAACCGGAATCGCGACCTAACAACATGAATCACAATGAGTCCAACGATGCGGAATATTTTTTTGTACAGGAATGAAGTTAGCGAACGAAGTTATTCGTGCTGTAAACCTCGTAAATAGTTAAGGGGTTGAAAAAATCACATCAAAGGCGTGCAAGAATTTGGTTATCTTTAAGACTGTTTTTGCAACCGTCAAAAAATCAAAAAATAAGCTCATTTTTGCCTAATAATAGCTTTGTCTACAATCAAAATACGCATTATTTAACAGTAATAAACACTCATGTGCTTTAAGAGACAACCATAAAAAAGAAACGATGAGATGTGTTTGGAACATATTTTTTCGTCTCAGAAAATGATCACAATATTAGAGTTATCGTGAGCTATCATGCTATACTGGAAGACTATCTTTGGCCAAAATTAATATAACATAGTGTTAAATGTCACACAGATAGCCAAATAATTAATGTGATAAAGAGGACGTTCGATAATTTGTGGGAAAAAGAAAATTAATGTTTGAGAGCTTGATAAAAAGCGTAATGATGTATGGGGTGGCGATATGGGGATGGATGGACCAGATGTGCAGACCAGGTACTGGAGGTGGGTGTTGAGGTTCGCTAGAGAGACTCCGGGATATATAGTCAGGGAAGAAATGAAGGTAGATAAGGTGAGGGTGGAAGCGGATAAGCGAGCGGTGCGTTTTTTGAGGAGAGGGTGGAAGGTGGAGGGCATTGTAAAATCTTGGGGGAGTGCTTGAGGCAAATAAGGGGGTTGTGGGCAGCGAGAAAGGAAGGAATACTACAGAAGGGTGGAGTATTCAACGGAAGAAATGAACAGAAAAAGAAAAGAGAGGATTGAGATGTGGAAATAATGGAGAACAGGGACAGAGATGTCGGAATGCAAGAAAGAAGGACGGCGATAAGGGAAAGCAGGTACAATCCAAAATATAATGACATTGTAGTAGAGGGGCTACCAAAGTAGCCAGGGGAAGAGGTTGGTAGCCAGGTTTAGGTGTGGAAATGAAGAAAGGGCCAAGAGATATTGGATGGACGATAAGGAGAGGTGTTGCAGGCTGTGTGGGGAAGGCTGGGAGTCTCTACACCATGTGCTGGTGGAGTGTAGTGAGTTGAGGGAGAAGATGTTGGATTGGTGACAGATGTTGGAGGAGAGGGTGGAGGAAAGGAGATGGATGGGGGAGGTGGTGGCAGCAAGGAGGCGTAGGGAGACAGGGAAAGGCTGTGGTAGGATTTAGATTAGTTATGCATAATGTTGTTCTTTTTTTAATATTGTAATCTTCTGCAAACAAGAAACTATTATACAGAGTGTCCCACGACGTGACTGCCATAGCTTGGGAGTGTGTTGCTGGGGTGATTTCAAGTCAAAAATGTCTAATGAATATACACCCAAAACGCTATCGTAACCGAGCTACAAGCTGTTGATTTTGTTATGATTAAAAAGTCCAGGTTTTAATCCCTTAGTTTATTTTTTATGGGGAAGACTGAAAAGTTTAGTTTATGCAGAAAATATTGAAAACAGAGAACAACTAGTAGCTAGAATTATGGATGCCGCAAAAACTATTCGTGCTGATTCTGAGACTGTTAACAAAGCTACCACTTCAATTCTAAGAAGAGTTAGACTATGTATACAGCAACTGGGTGGACATTTTGAGCAACTAATTCAATAAAGCTGTTTCTTTTTAAATGGTCTACTACTACTTATTTAAAATTTCAAATGCTTGTAGCTCGGTTACGATAACGTTTTGGGTGTATGTTCATTAGAAATTTTTGACTTGAAATCACCCCAGCAACGCACTCCCAAGCTATGGCAATCACGTCGTGGGACACCCTGTATATGATAACTGTGTAATTTCTAGAAATGGCCCACCTCGCTTATTCTATTTGACATCGTTAGATTTCTTTTTATGTGGTTACATTATGTCGTTGGTTTATGCCAACAAGCGAAGAACGTTAGAGGAGCTGAGAGACAATATCCAACACGAAATTGCCCACGAATATGTGTGAAAGACTGGTGGAAAATTGGATCCAAAGAATCGTTGCGCGCTGCAAACGTGCTCGCGGTGGCGTATGAACGATATCGAATTCCATAGTTAAATGTAAGATGTGTATTGCAGCTGGAATAAATTTCAGCCCAATATCTCAATTATTCTAACATGATAACTGAGTAAGATCAATTAACAAATATCTATCTAAATATCCCAAAAAAGATGTTATCTTGATTTTAACACTTAGAAGCTAAAAATTAATGATATAGGATTGTATTTGTTATTACTAACATTTTTTAACAAATAAAGGCTCTGTTTGATCGTTAACATATCTTGTCCAACCTCTAATGTCATTTGCATAACAGCAAGAAACCTCGACAACAAACTTTTCCAGTTGCCGATATATTTGCTTTTGTAGATGGCGGAATATTAAATACATCACTAGAAAGCCTGATCCTTCCTTCATCCGGATAAAACCGGGTTTTATCCTGTCAATACGTTGATATCAATAGCCGTAAAAAATAAAGATACCATCTAAAATCGATAGGAAATTTTTTACTTTATACAATGGTATACAATATTAATCAATCACTTGATTACACACACTTTATTCTTAAAACTACGAAAACCGTTTATAATTGTATATAAAAGATCCCCTTTTTGCATATAAAGTACTCCCACTTACATTACGCTAAACTGGGCTGGATTTGGTACACGTATTAGCAATTTTTTTTCTATCGATTCACTCAGAGTAATGCAGACTCAATTCTCTCACTTTTACTGGGTGTAAGTATTAAATGTGCAAATCTCGAGTCGTATAGGTTAGAGATTGCAAGTCATTTAGTCATCATTAACTTGTACTTTAGAAGTTGCAGCCCCTGCAGAAGATGCAAAAATTTCCTCAGTCTCCTTTCCATAAAGTCCCAAACATACTCGATCGATAAAAATCGACTGATAGAGTGGCCACGGCAAGAGATTGAAATTATCTACTGGAAAAGTGAGTCCTCCAATTACTAACTGGATGCAGACTACCAACTCAACCTCAGATCAATTATGTGCCAGGCTGTATTCGAGTGGTCAGAAACTCTAAAGGATGTTGAACAAGGTGATGAGTCAAGTTAAGGTGGTGACCAGGACACAAGAATAGGTGGATAACATCCACATCGAATATGATGGTCAACTTCTCACCCAAGTCAGCAGCTATCAATATCTGGGCACGATAATTAACCAGACAACCTTACTGAGGAAGTCACGAATAGAGTAGGCTACCTAGGCTTACTATTCCCTGAGTTGGTGTGTATTTGGAAAGGATGGAGTAAGCGGATAAAGCGGTCATTGAGCTTATACTTACCTATGACAGTGAAAGATGGGCCGCAAATAGAAGACACCAGTAGGGTTAGGATAGTGTCAGGAAAGACACTTATTCGAGAAGAGCTGATGATTGAGGATAGACAGCTGTCTTAGTTTGGCCACGTGAGATAAATGGTGAGAAAACCATGGATGTACTTAGACAGTGACGCAGATTGCGGCCAGCCGAGGGAAGCCTATGCAGCAGCTCAAGGGTGTTGCTGGAGAGATGCTAAACTTCAGAAGATGAATCTGGGGCCATCCCCCAATGCCATAAAAGGACACGTGGAGAAGATGGAGAAGAGAAAAGAAGAAAAAAAATTTTTATACTGTTAAAGTTTTTAATTAACTTATCAAGTTGTGTCTTACGCAATCTAAAGCCATTGCGCCTAAAATTCGAACTGATTGCTCAGTAGCCAAAATAATATTCTTTTTGTCGATCACATGTCACCAACTTTTTGCGAAGAATCTGGGCACTCTTAATTTACACGTCTATGTTGAAATCCGTGATTAAATCAAGGCCCTTGGAGTACAATTGTCATCACTAAAATTAAGGAGTAATAAATGACTCACGCATAAAGAAGTTTTATTTATTACGATGTGTATTTTGATCAAATTCCAACTCTAATCAATCAAGAGGTAGGAGTATAATATATTTTAACGTTAAATTTGATATATTTTTTAAATTCTATAAATAAGTACAAAGCATGTTTTTGTTTGTAAGTTTAAAATACATTTTAATAAATAACTTTTTTAATATCGTAGAAACCATGTATATTTCAACAAAACATCAATAAAATCACAATATATCAAAAAATGTCAACGTGTTACTGTCCTGTTGATACTCGTGCGAATAGATTAGAACGAAAATTTCGATGTATTCACAAATTGTTTCAATCTGAAAAGGATGAGCACGTTGCCTTAAAACGCGTATGCGGTTTTATATATGGCGTACTTCTTGGTCTGGGTTTTTACGAGCTGATACTGGTCGACTTGAATTTTACAGAAAACGCAGCTTACCTCGTCGGTGGTGTTATCTGTTTGATGCTCGGCTTTGGTATAGCGTTCTCCTCACAAATCCGTTGCATATCTTTGCTGTCCATCCCGAATTTCGTGGGGAGATCCGGTCGGAGCGTTTTAAAAGCTTTGGTCTTTGCCTATATTATATCCGGTCCTATACACAACCTAACGGAAAATGGAAAGGAGGTAGTTCGAGTATTCGGATGCACCACATCTTTAACTTTTAACTTAACGAAAACTAGATTTGAGTTGATGTTTAAACCCTTTACACAAGCTTTGTTTGGAATGAAAACCGATGCTAATGAAATAAAGGATACTTTGAGGACTGTTAAAGACGTTTCCGCTCCGATTACAGGGGAATTAGAAGATGATACAGAAGTGAAAAAAATGAAAGAGGAAAATGATTATATGGATGCGAAAATACATGAAACAAAAAGAAATAAAGAATTGGATAAAAAATATAATACCATTGGTGAAAAGGTTGAAGCTACTCGAATGGAAAAAGAATATCTAAAAAAAATCGAATTGAGATGTCAAAATCAATTTAATAAAGCTGGAAAAAAATGTAAAGATATGTTTGGAAAAGCGTACGATACTTGTTATGACGCCGTAACTTGGATAGCAGCTTGGTTGTTGTGTTGGCCAATGAAATTAACTTTTGTCTGTAACATAGTAGAAGCTTTAGGTGGTAAAAGCAAATGTGACCCAGCAAAAGATATCGATCATGGTTTCGGGGAAGGTTATATGTATTTAAAAAAAACTCGTTCAACATTCTCAGAAAATTTCAAAAACGTTAAACTTCAATATCGAATCGGAAAAATACATCAAATCGCAAAAATCCGTGAAGCTACTGACACAGCTAAAGAAGTTATGCACATCGTTCAAAGAAAAAAATCATTTTTAGAAAGTATAATGGTAATAGTTAAACGAGTTTTAGCGTTTATTTTTTTAAAAATCATTTTGGATTCACAAAAATACCACGATAAATACTTAAGAGATATCGAATTTGATAATATTTATATCACCAGGTATTTTAGAAAAATCGACGCGAGGAGACGACGTGAAGATAAAAAGACATTATTACCATTAAAAAAAATCGAAAGGAACAAATTGGTCGACCCTTGGAATTTAAAACCTTTAAAAGATGAACGAGAGAAGCTTTTTGGAAAAACATTTAAATTACTTCTTGAAATGATAACAGCTACAACATTTATTCTTCTAGATCGATTATTTTATGAGGCTTTAGATTTGGTGAGAAGGCATGCTCATATTGATTATTACCAAACTGGACATCACGATATGATGTTACAAATTAAAGGAACTGGAATGATAGCCACCCTTTTAAGATCGTTGGTGAAAGGTTTCAATGTAAAAAAACGAATACGTGCTATAAGAAGTAACGCTGCATGTCTCCCACAACCAACAATACTCCCACAATATTATATTTATAAAATTTATGGTACTTATTTTGCAGTGTGGGTAGCTATTTTATGCGAAGCTTACATTTTAAGATTAAGACGCCTAATTTGTTCGTATTTCTATCGGAAACGTGAAAAGAAACGAGTTCTATTTCTTTACAATGAAACATTAAAGCGAAGAATCGGATTTTTTCGATATATGAAGAAAAAAGTAAGAAAAATGGTGAGGAAACAACGATTAGAAAATGATCTAAATGTTTGTGCTGTTCTTCGAATTAGATTTCCAAATTTTTGTTCGTGCTTAAAAATGTTTCCTATGGCAAGAAGGAAATGTATAATATGCGGCGATCCAGAACCAAGAAAAAAAAGCAATATTCCCGGTAATTTTGAGAAATGTAAAACACCAGATTGCTACGTTGTACATTGCGTTGAATGTTGGAATGATGTTGGCAGAGTTTGTTTTGCTTGTAGCTCAATGTCACCCGATACAACTGATTTAGAAGATTCTGATGAAAATTTATTCAATTTTGATTGAATTATATTTATATTGATGATATTTAATTTAAAAAAATGTCGACCAAAAAGGAGATTAGTTACAATTCTAAATTGCAGTGAATTAATGTCGCAAGAACGCTTATAAATCTAGCTAATTGGTGGACTTGAGTAGTAATTGATTTCCTTGGTAGTTAATCTCGGGGACTTTTATGTTTTCTTAGTTACGCGGCTCTCTGAGTACGGCTGTTCCATTTCTAGATAAGATAATTAGTGCAGGAGAGGAATTTCTTGAAGTGAGTGATCTTGGAATTGATACAAATTGCAGCTTTTTAGAAAAACTGAAGAGGCTGAAACGACTCAAAGAAACTTTTAAACTTTATTAAATAATTAAAATATATATTATATAAAAATAAAAAACATAAAAATTGCATTTATAATACTTTGAAAATATAACGCTTTAAAAACGAATGAATCTTTTGTAGTAACCCTGTAATAGATTTTAGAGGTCCTGTGATGCGAATAATTGATTTACTCTCGAAATAGCTATTGTTGGGAATTATAAATAACATTAAATAATTGAGTTAAAACGATCGCTCAATAAATTGTTAAATCAATGGGCGATACGCTGAGTATACGCTTTCTTTTCAATTACTCAGCAGACATCTAACATTTGCTCCAAGTTAAAACTTTATACGACGTTTAATTTGTTTCCTTGTTTGATTCCTTGAATTTTTTGAACCATTACTGTTAAGCTTTTTCGATTAATTATAATTATTCGTTCTCCAGGAGCTAAAAAGCCTCTACGTTGATGTGCTGTTGTAGCCTTTGTTCATATATCCGGGTATTCTTTTATAACATTGTGAACAGTTTTCACTTTTAGGTCCTTGTATCACTTCGAAAGTTTTATAGAAAATTAGCAATTCCTTTGAGTACTTTATTTTCAAATCTTTGCATAATATTTCGATTGCTTTGACTGATGAGTTGAATGTCAAGTCCACACTGCTTTGAGGGCTTGTTGATAAAACAGCTATATAGCAGCCCAATAGCCAGTACACTTTCTTGTATTTAAGTTTTAATTGGGTTGTTATTTTTTCTTGACATGTGGTTTGCTGGGCTTAGCGTCAAGGGTCAAAAGAGAGATCTACTTGTTGGTAAATTACTAACTTGTTTTTATTTAAGTTAATACGCTACGTTTGAATCCAGCTTTATATTTCAGCAATAGCTATTTGTAATATTTCGTTAAGATGTTGTATCGTGAGGTGAGACATATTATAGCCGGAATGAAGGATCCAGCTCAAAAGTACTTTCTTTTATCATAACCCTAAAGCTTCTAGTTCCTAGGTCTACTGTCTGATAGTGTCTTCGTACTTATATTAAAAAATATATTGGCTACTTGAACGAAACTTTTGTACAAATAAAATCTTAAGTCTGTATGGACTTATGGCATTCTTCTGTGAAGCTGTGTCAGCAAGACCAATTTAAAAGCTAATGTCAAAACCATCCAAATCCTCGACAATACAAACCAGATCAAGAAACTGAAAGAAGAGGATCAAACACTTTGAGCTGCTGTAATTTGTGTTGCCATACATATTAACATTGTCGTAATTAAGGTATTAGAAAAGAATGAAGAACCCTATTACTTATTGATCTGAGTTATCTGAGTCAACGAAATATCAAATAAAGCTTTTTTAATCACATTGTACTTACTTTTCGGCACGTGTTTTTCACCTCTTATCGTGGCATTGAGATACGTTTTCGTTGACCTCAGCTATGATCACTTACGGTTACTACATCATTCATATGATTTTTATATTAAAAGTACGTTACATTGCAAAATATTTTCCGTTTTAATTAAATAATAATTAGATTTTAAATCATTTTTATTATTCAACTATAAACATACATAAAATAGATTTTTTTTGTTAAAATAGAATAAAATTTGTTTATATCTGCTAAATTTGCAATAAAATAGCAACTCCAGCGAGAGTCCATTTCCCAGGTTTTTCTTTCGTTTTCAAATTGAAGGTCCATACAAACGTCGGTCCCCTGCTTCTAGTTTTATAAACAGGACAATCATACATGTTTCTTAAATCCTGCTTATCTTGTGTAATAGCTTTAATGAAAACAACCGGGACTACTGGGAAGAGTTCTTTTAATTTTGATTCTCCAATTACACACGCTTGGGTATCCCATTTAGCACCTTCCATAAATAAACCATTGACGTAGGCACCTTCTCTCGGAGCTGAAGTAAAATCTTCCTTCTGTTTTTTAGTAACATCAGTCAGCAAGCACATTTTGTCTAAAGGCCACTCGTTTTTACGCGCAGTTTGTTGCATAATTGCCGTTAAAAATGATTGTGGGTTGAAAAAACCTCCGAGCCATACAGAGGAGGGCATTGAAAAGTCAGTTGTCCATCCTTCTAATTCTCTAACTCTAAGTCCTAAATCAGCGTACCATTGACCTAATGGTAATAGTGAAGGATAAGCTTTCGCTGCCCAATAATCAGGAACTTTATCCATAAAGAGTGATTCTTCTAAACTTTCCATTTCCGAAGTGATTGTCAACTCGCCTTTTAATCCCAAATCTAATTCGGTTAATGATCTTCGCATTATTGATGTTAAAGCATTCATTCTATCACATTCTTGGAAACAAACAATAATATATGGGGACCGATCTTCTATTTTAGCCATCATTTCTTGAACATTAAAAGCAGGTGGTAATCTATCTAAGATATCATCCAATAAAGATCTAACTTTTTCTTCACGGGTCTGTCCACCAGCACCACCAGCACCTGCATCTTTTGGTTGTAACCCAAAAATGGTTTTAAATAACATTTCTGATGTGTTGGTTAAAAATCCAATTTCAGCATTTGGGTGTAAACCGTAAAGATATGGTGATTCTGGTGGTAATCTATCGTCAATGTATCTATGATAGCCAACATAATCAGTGTTTGGTGGAGATAAAAATCCAACTGCAAGATATAGTTCTCCATCAAGTAATTCCGGTTGCATATAAGTTTGTAAGTAAGTTCTGCAAAGTCTTCTATCCCAATCATCGGTAATATGACCACCATACATTATTTCTCCAAATAGATATCTTAAATCTTCCCATGGGACTCTGGCATTGTTTTCAAGATAATTATATAAAACGTTAACACTTATTGTTAAATCGCCTACGTTAAATGGATAATTTCTGTTCCAACCTTGAGGGCCAAACTTGCGTCTTTCAGCAACTACAGCATGGAAATAACATAATGAAAATAAAATTGTTTTAAATTCTGTTTCTTTTGATGACATTTCTAAAGTTTCTTGAGTAAAATTATCTAAAGCTTTATGTAAATTGGCAAACATTCCTGTCGGTGGTTCATTAGTAATTTTTATAGAAGATTCTAGAATTCCAGGAGGTAAAACATTATTTGCTGGATCTGCAGCTGCTTCAGCACTAAGATATAATCGATAATTTTCGTTAGAGTTTTCATTATATTGTTCCATTTTTTTCTCCAAAGTTGGTAACCATCTTGCAACTAAATGAATATTTTGAAGTATAACCCAATGTCCCTCTCGGGCTGCTACATCCATTGCATTTTCAGCAACAATTTCTTGACCTTGCCCCAAAGAAATACTATGAAAATTTCCATTGTCAATCGCAAAACCAAGTTGTTTACCAATTCTTTCAACATCTTTTAACGGGTTTACTCCCGGTGATAAAATGAAAAATGTCGGTGTTGCATTACTAGTTTCTTCATAAGATTTTTCAAAAGAAACAGTTCTTGCTGTAATAAATTTGCTTCCAAGTTTTTCTTCAATAAATCCTCTAACAGCATATGTCATTCGATCTGGTCTTAAAGCTCGCATCATACAAAGTCTTTGTAAAGATGACTTATTCTTCCATTCACCTGGCAATTTTTCTTTCTCAGGGCATTCACTGTCAACGAATTTATTCCATCGTTTGGCGGAACCTTCCAAATCTTTATCTAAACCTTTGAATTCATCCATTAGAGATAATGCTTTAATTCCTCCCCAACAAACGTTTGATAGAAAATCCATTGGTGAAACGACACCAGCCACAATGGGAAATCTTAATAGAAAATCTAATTCATCACGTTGTATTTCTCCCGCAGTTAGTAAAATCTGAAATGACATCTGCGCCATAAATGTTAATTTATCACATTCAAAAAGACCTCGTGTTGTGTACATAAAAACTGAAAATGTTATGCTGTCCAATAAGTTAACTAAACGATCTTTAAGTTTTTCAGCAGGTTCAGCTATGGAAAGTGAATATTTAAAAACCACGCTAAATGCTTTCAAAGAAAATTGATAAATAGCATTAATCTTATTTAAATCGTTTAAAATGAAGTAAATGAGAGAAGCTCTCCCCGCAGCTGGTCGATATTGTTCCCTGGCTTCATCGATTTTTACCGACGTTATTTTAGCTTCGGCTACTTTTACTTGAATTTCTTCAGACGTTTTTTTCGTGGTTTCTAAATTTATCACCAATTCTTCATCACCTAAAATATTTCCTGTAGCCGAAGATAATCTTTCCAATAAAGTATCTTCACAATATTTTAAGGTAATTTTAAAATCATTTTGTTGTTTTGTCAACGATGATTTTAATAATTCCAAATCTGGTCTTTCAGCTTTTACAACTTCAGCTAAAAGTTGTTCCTCCAAACCATCCCTGGTTACCGTAAAATTAATTAAGGTCGTTTGCGCTTGAATTTCAGGCTTATAATGTGGATTAGCCAATTTTGTATGTAAAATTAATCTAAATCTTGGATCATAATCAACTTCTTTATCACCAATTTTCACACATCTTCCTTTTTTAATCAATACTCTTCCTAATACTGGATCTAATACAGCATCGACAGTTTCACCTGTAACAGATTTTTTGGGTTTATTAAAACAATGACTTAAGATAATGCTACTACTTATATACATATAGAGTATTATAATGTTATGTACTTATTGTCATATGGAGCAATGGGTCTTTCTACTTCATTATACCTCAAGCCTCCCAGAATCTAACCTCCTGATCTTTAAAATACGCATCTCGTTCTCTCGGTTGGCACGGTATTTTAAACTAGCAATGCTACCGGATCAAAAAACAATCTAAACCAGTTTGGTTTTTGACCTGGCCATATTACCAGTTTACAAACTCTGTGATGCGTTTAAGACATCACGGATATCATGTCCGATAGATGTACCACATCTATGAAACTATACTTAATACTCATGAATGTGTAGTGCATGTGACGTACTACGCGCAGAGTTTGAAAGGGCTAATAGCTCTAGATTAGACTGAAACTGCTATAAAACTAAATTATCGAAGTTAAAAAAGCATTCATCGGAGAATGGAGATATTTGAAGATTATATGATACAGTGTGCTATTACCACTTTTGACTGCTGGCTACGCTGATAATCTTATTAACAAAAAAAAGCATCGCCTTTATGAAAAACTGAAAGGGAGTCTCCTCGAGCCCAGGAGACTCCTATCAGTTTGTCACTGCCAGTCCCAAGCCCCGGTAAAAGAAGAGGGTTGACAATGGACTAACAACTCCAAAAAAGATACAATTAAGGAACCTAAAGAAATGTCTCTGACTAGAACTTTCGAAGACTATGCAAAGAAATATGAAATATTACATATTCACAGCATGGAAAGTAAAAATGTGATTGTAACGGCAATACAGGAAACAGATATATACAAGATATACATAAAGCAAAACAGAATGTAAGTGGAAACACTGGTGATGTATGTACGCCAGGTGTTGAGGTTGAGAATATGACGAAGAGCAGCAGTAAACAGAGAGGAATAGATTCAGAAGATAATAGAGGCGAAAATTCAAATTAGGTTGTTGTGCTGTGGGAATTAAGGATCGTATTAATTTGCTTCCATGTAATCAAACCACTATTCTTAACCCGCATGGTGGAGTTGACATGCACAAGAATGTTTTCAGACTCCTTGCATCGTTTAGGAAAGATATGTGGAATTAATAGCTATAAAACTAGTAGGGAGTCTCTTTTACGTTGATTATGAATATACATAAATTTGTAGATCGGTGAGTTAGAATTACTGATACCAAATTAGCTATAGAGTTGTTCCAGTATCCTTCATAGGAAGTAACTCAATACTTTACGAAGCTATGTAAATACGTAATTTCAAATAATTTTGTTATAGTTATTAATTTACACTGTTTCATATTATGAATACAAATTCGATCGCAAGTACGAGAATTACCTATTGTGACCAATTGTAAAAGCATGCGAGTGTGATAATAAAAATGACATTATTCTAAGGTTCCTGTACACCTTACAATATCAACCGTTTTTCTGGTATGATACGTGTTATAATTAAATTAATTTAAACTAAAATGAAGTTAAATAAACTACGTTACATACCTATATTTTCCAATAATACTATGGATCCATTTGAAATACAATTTTCAATCTGATCTAAATAATTTCGCATTGTTAATCTAATAACATGCAATTCAGCTCCATATTTAGTTTTAATCCATTTAATTCCTTGTAATTGTGGATCAATCATTAATGGCCATCTAGCGGAATTTGTAAGAATCGTAGCATTTTCTGCAGACATTCGATCAGTTGGCAAACCTTCATTATTCCATTGAGCAATTTGTGCATCCGATGTTAATAAAGATAATGGATCTAAACCCTCACTCATAGGTATTGCAGGTTCTAATTTTTTTATAAAGGGTATCCAAAATTCATCTTGCATTCTTATTCTATAATTTCTCGTAAAACATCCGACGTAAGATATAAAAGCTGTTACTAATAATATATCTCCCGGGATCGTTACGCGGGTTTCATGTAAATGTTTTATTGATTCTTTCCAGCGTACACTTTCCGAAGCTAAACCATTAACTAATCTTCGAGCTAAATCAATCATTTTATTTGTAGCGTCAGCTTCTTTTTGACATTTCATTTTTAATTCCATGGCAGCATCGTAATTGCCCCTTAAAACAGCTAATTGCTCTTCCAAAGCATCCAATTTCTCTTTTAGCATTAGCAAACGTTGTCTAGCTTCATTTAAATCGGCATTAGCTTTAGCCAAAGCTTTCCGTTTAGGTTCAACAACAACAAAAACATCATAAAATTTGACGATGTTGATTACCCAAGCGCATAATCCAGCTGCTGCTATTGATTTTGCTAAAATCTTTTCGGGTGTAAATTCTGGATCTTTAAGATAATCTCTCACAACTTTTACAACTTCTGGATTCATGTTTTCTTTATCATAATAAATAAGATCGTTTAAAAATTGATCAACTTTTCCCATCATTAATTTACTAGCTTTCCAACTTCTATCTTTTGGTATTTTACCTTTTGGTGAAAACAGTAACAAAACAGCGGCAGCTACGGCAACCACTGCATCGGGCGGGGTACCAAAAGATTTTAATTCAGTCAAATTGTTTTTATTTAATGTATTTAAAGCTGCTTGTGCAGCGAGAAGAGCCGGTTCAGCTTTAACTAAATCAGCTTCGCAAAGCTTTTGTTGAACGCCAACATCTTCCTCGATCACTTTTACTTTAGCTTCTTCTTCGCTAGCTCCTTCTTGTTCTTTACTAACTTTTTCATTTTCAACTGATAAAACAGCAACTAATTTGTCCGCATCGGCATTTTTAGCAGCTAGTTCTACTTCTTGTACAGCTAAAACATCTTTTAAGCCATCGGCATCTTTCGCTGTTTCAGCTAGTTTCAATAAACCAACTTCTAATCTCATTATATTATCTTCAATACCTTTGACTTTTTCTTTTAACAATTTTGAATATAACGCAATTTGTTCTAAAAATGTTTTTGGCGTTGTGTAATTATATCTTCTATCGTTTTGAAGATACACAACTGACATATCATTGACTACAGAGTGAACGTGTGACATAAATAATGAAACTGATGCTACAAGGGGTTTAGGTAACTCTTCAATTTCGGATAAAAATCGTGTTGATACTGATATTAAAGCTTGTTTTGGCCATTCATGAAACCAATTTATAGAAGTACAGCTAACAACAGCTGGAAATTTACGTGCACGGATTCTAAGAACTGATCCGACGGGTGAAAAACATAATAATATTTTCATTAATTTTCTAACTTTATCGATGACAAATTTCCAACAAGTTTCTTTTGTGTCTTCTTGCCCAGCTGCTTTAACTAAACCTCTGACAGCATTAATGATATTTTCCATTTCGTCATCAGCTAGTAAATCAGGTACTTCGCCTGATGCTAACATATCGTTAACAATAACTAAGAACTTTTCTTCAGGAACTTGAGCATCTGTCATTAAAAATACGGTGCTTATATTTTTCAAGATTGCTTTATTATAAATTTGCGCTATATCAGCTTTCATGTCGGCCATAGCATATCCTTTTTTTAATTGTATTTGAAATACTTCTAATGATGAAATAAAAGACGATAATCTGGTTAAGGATTGTTTACCAGACCCGCCTACACCAACCATTAAACCGTTACCTCTTGGTGCCTCCATTATTCGATTTATTCGACAAACATGATTCATTGCATCCTCAAAGAGAACCAAGTTCATAGCTGCCACTAAATCATTATAGCCACCTAAAGCATCATTTAATAATTTGGATAAAAGATCGTAATTATGAATTTGGTTATATTTAGGATCGCCAATGCCATCAGCAAAATGACAAAATATCAATGGTTTTTCCATAACGTCGTGTTCATTTATTTCTTCGAACCCCTTTTTAACAATCTCATTAATCATTTTAGTAAATGTGTCGATATCTTTAGCATCAACTAGTTTATCACAGTAAACTCGTGTTGCTTCGTGCATCCATAATCTTATAAAATCAGTTTGAGTTTTAATCGCATCTCCGGTTGTAAACAGTATGCCTTGAAATATGTTTGATAAATCACGTAAATTAAACACGTAATGAAATTTAATTGCGGTTGGTAAAAATGTCTGAGACATTTTTCCGTGTAACGCCATCGCTATGGCAACAATCGGTTCAACCCATTTTTCGATTGTGGGATTATATTTGTTTGATTTTGTTCCTATATGTTGACCCAAAATGTTATTATAAATATAAGAAACTGCATCATTTGCAGGAAAACTGACAGCAAATACACAAAAATGTCTTTGTAATCTTGGATTGATCGTAAAAGAACCAGCTGTTGGGTTCATACAAGATACAAATAAAACATTGTTGATATCTTTTAAAGATAATTTTTGCCTATCATACCAATGTTGATAATCCATATGTTGCCTGATTAATGTATGAGGTTGAACAGTAAAATATTTATCAACTTCAGGCATATTCATATCATCAACAAAATAAATCATTAATTTATTACCAGGCGGCCCATAAACTCTACCAGCTTTTTTTTCTAAAGGCTTCTCCAATACTTTTTGTAACATTTCGGATGTTGTGTAAAAGTTAAATGGGACATTTTGGATTGCGTAGCTATCAGAGAGTTCATTCAACTTTTCAGCAACCAATACGGATTTTCCACTTCCAGAACTACCAATTAACATAATTGGATGTCTTTGTTCCATTAAATGATCCATAAAAAATCGAATTCTTGTCGTTTCAGCTGTATTCACCAAAGTTGATTGTAGAGGAATATCAGGATCTAATTCAAATGGTTTAACTAAATCAGTCCAAGGGGAGAAACGTTTAGTTTCCTGTTCGATGTAATAATGAAAAACAGTTCCAGCTGCAGGAAATTTAACTGTTTTAAATTCATTTGTAAACCATTTACTGAATTCATTACGCCAATCGGTGATTTGATCTTGAAATAAAGCAGACCCAAAAGCCCACACCGTCGAAAAAACAAAATAAATTTCATACCATTCTTTTGGACAATCAGCCGGTACGTTTACTTGTGTCAAAAAACAATCCAAAAGAAAGCAAAGCATCGAGATATGAGCAATTTCAGATATTGGCGTAATTTTTTTAACTTTTCCTCTGACCATATCTAAACAAGGTGGAACATATTTATCGAAAAGGATCATTAAATTAGCCTTTTCACTTTGATTAGTTCTTGTATCTATCCAGGAAGCTACATAAGGATTCCAACCTAAATCGGCAGGATTTATATATAAAATACCAGCTCGAGAAACTGTAGCAGGTGTTGCTGTTCTTAATGAAGCAATTTCAAATAATAACCTCATATACGGTGTTAAGGCAATTCTTTCATTACTTGCTAAAGTTAAAACTTTATTATCATCCATTAAAGTGTTTAATGATTCGATCCACATCGGATCAATATCTCCATCTAAAACGATCCATTTCGGACCGTTGCCAGGTATATTAACTTGATCTCGCATAATTACAGAAAATAATCCATCTTTCCATTCACGAGTTGCAGGATTTATTACGCCAAACAATTCGTCGTTTGTTACAGCTTTTGGATTTAAATCGTTATAAAATGGTTTTCGTTTTTGATTAAAATATGTACGATTTAGCGTTTTCCATACCATAGTTTTACCGGTTCCAGCAAATCCAATAATAAACACGGAATGTCTTACAGCGAATAATTCTTCCAATTGTACTATTTTTAAAACAAATCCTTCTTCCGGTTGTAATTTTAGATCAATTGATGATGCTTTTACCAGTTTCTCAAAATCAACATTTCTTTTTCTGGGTACATCCAATGCAGGAAATAGATCGCCAATTAATCCCATAAACACTGGTACATCATCAGTTACTATTTTTGGTATGTTAAAATCTCTTAATGCTCTCATAAGCACTTGATCTTCCGGTCTTTGACGATCGCTTCTTTTTAAAGAACCCGCAACTACCAATACAGATTTAATTGCTCTTAATCCCCAATCGTAATGATCTTGTTTACTTAATAATTCTTTACACAAAGTGTAAAGGGTAATGAATTTTCTCGCAAGTAATCTTGCATCTAAGAAACCTTCAGCGACCAACATAATTTCGCAAATTAATTCAAAATCGGGAACTACCATTGCGCAGGGTCTAAATAATGCTTTTAAGTTTTCTGGGAGTTCGGTTCTTCCTGCATACCCAGGATTCATCGTAATAAATATTCCAATCTATTAAATAATAATAATTATTTATAAAATCTGTTAAGTAACACTGATCGACAAAGTTTTTACCACACGGATTCTGAATGCTAATTATTACTTTACATAATCACTTTACAAAACGTATAATGCTTTTTTATTAGGATATTTCCAGCATGGAGAAATAATACCAGGGCAAATGCAGTCCTTGTATGTTGGCAGATTTTTGTGCAACAGACCAGCTTCAAGTAAAATGCTTAGAAAATCTTAACTTTTAGTTTTAAGAAACAAATTTTTAAGTGTAATTGTAAACAAAATCTCAGTCAAGTTTCTGCCACAAAAAAAATATGAGTGCCAAATTTTTGCCAAAAATCTTGATGACAAATTAAAAGTTAATTTTTGTCGATCAGTGTAATTTTTTTCTAAATATTAAAGAAAAACTTTTATCACGTAATTAACTTACTGTGGGGGTTAAAATTATATCAGCTCCCAAAAAGAAAAATCTTTGTTTTTTATCTTTAATCGCATCTTGAATACATTTTACTTGTACAGCCACGACGGATAATACTTCAACTGAAATTCGATTAAATTCATCAAAACATCCCCAAGTACCAGTTTGTGCTAATCCTTTATAAATATTTCCGCACGATCGATAATCCATTTGCTCGGAACAATTAAATACATAAACCATAATGCCCAAAGCCTTTCCTAAATCTTTAGTTGTTTCAGTTTTTCCTGTTCCAGCAGGACCAGCTGGTGCTCCACCCATAATAAGATGTAAACTTTGTGTTAACGTGATATAACATCGATCAGTTAACGGTGTAATAACTAATCTTGGAGTATTCCCTAAATATTCGTATTGATATCTAAATTGGGCATCGCAAATATTCGCAAAGCAATCTTTAATTTTAACATCCCATCGATGTCGTAGTTGACTTTGCCATTGGAAAGCTTGGGAACTTTCAACTTTTTGTACAATCATTTTTGCAACAACATCTCTTGAATGTACATCAATTGTACAAATTGTCATTGTTTTTTGTCGGTCACCTGGTGTTAGATCACCCAATAGTAATACAATTAACGAACCCAATTGGGCAATTTGTTTCTTATTATAATCTTTAACTGAGTTTTCATATCCTTCCTCTAATTTACTGAAAGCAACATTTACTTCTGTTGTCCACCAAATTTGTGTACCGCATAATGCTGGTTGAGCTGGATAATCAAAAATCCATACTTCTCTTGGTTTTTCATCGTAGGTTACAATTGCTTCACCAAATGATTTATGTAAAGTGGCTCTCATTATATCAATAACACGATTTAACCAAACTTCAACTTTACCAGAACAATCACAAAACGATGGAAATTCAACATATTCTTCATTCTCCTTAGAAATCATACCTTTTGCTCTTTTTGCGTCAACAAAAACCAATTTAGCTAAATTATCAAATAATTTTGTAAGATGTTTTCCAACTAATTCAGGTTGATTTCCGTTCGATAAAATATCTAATAAATCAGCTGATGATACAAAGTAAAACCTTGGAAATGCAAGTCGTTTAGTTTCAAGATAATCATTAAGAGCTTTTTCACAAAGTAGTAGTTGCTGGAGAATTACTTCTAAACGTTCATATAATCCGGGTTTATTCGTTGCTTTAACAACATTTAAATTAGATGTCATCGATCCTAAAACGTCTTTAAAATCTTTATCGAGTTTATCAAAACGTTTTGAATCTTCTGGTAATTGATTTCTTATATCTTCAGAACCAACGAAAATACTTTCTAAATAAGTCCATTTTCTTTGTACTTCAAAGAAGATATTTATAACTTGATCGGCGTTCGATAATTTTTTTTGCCAATCAGAAACTTCTTCCAAGAAAAATGCAATAAATTTCGATGTCATCATATTTTGAAGTTGTCCTTGGTTGTCTTCTAATGTTTCAATTAACTCTTCAGATGCAACCAATAATTTCATTTTCGTTCTCTCATGCATCTCAGTACCAAATTCCATTGTTGTCCACGTTGCATTTAATTCTTTCAATACCTTTTCCATCGCCATTTCTTTTACAGATTTATCAACTATAGTCTTTACTTCTTCCTCATATTCGTGAAGCTTCAATGCCAAAAGATCATTCAATGTAGTATCATCATCCATTACAAATTTTACCTACAAAATTTAAAAATTGTTTGTTTTCTTTTAGGATTTGTGTATTAGGATTAAGGTATAATTTTCTAAGAAAATACAATTTTATAAAACGAAATTTATTTGTGTTTATTGTACAGGGTGATATGAATTTATCTGAAAATGATATTTTCCAACCAATTGCTATCGCCTCAAATTGTTTTAAAATTATCTAATAATGAATAAAATCATCTAAAATATTCAAAATCAGACGATGTACAGTATACCCTCTATATAGCAATAATCGTGATTACTGCAATAAAAACTAAGTTACAAAAGTCTCCATTAAATTACATATTCCACTTTGCAATAACTTTGCACAAAGCAAACTACCTTTATAATCGAAAACATGCAATTCTTCATTGAGTGGTCAACGTTAAATCTATCGGTTAAAAGAGTAGTTTTTACTATCTATATTTACTTTCCATAATACTTATTATACTAGTTAGCAAAATACCTTAAATAAAATGGCTTTTAACATAAAATGCGCAAAAAGAAAAATTGCTGTTAACAATGTTAAGATTGTTTACTTTCTGAAAATACAACGAGTGCAGTTCAAGTCATAGTTGTGGTATGAAGAAATCTTACTCGAATTGCCAGAGCAGCAATTTTGGCAACAGAATAATCCAAGAAAAGTTAAAATGGAATGCGTTGCAAGCAATAGCAGCGATTCGGAATGATGTGCTTTGTTATTGGGTGATAATCTTAAAAAAAAAAGCTTATGCACCATCTACAGAGATGTGAAAGCGGCTTTACCTGCTTCGAGTCGAGCGTAAAGCCCTTTTGCATCTCTGTCTATGGTACATGACATGTAAAGACGGTAGTACTATAGTCATTAGTTGGAATCAAAAAAAGGCTGAGCTACTTGTTCTGCTTATTACTAAGCCGTTTACTGAATATAACTGCAATGTTAACCTTGAACACGCAACCACTAGCTGTATAGGCAACTATTCCAGCCCTTACCACTTTTAGCCTTCAATGCCTTCAAAGCATTCAAAACTGTGTTGATGCCAATATGTTTAGATGAATTTAAAGCCTGCCCGCAATTATTGATAATAACAAATTAATTGTGATCGCTATATCGAGGGTTTATTGTAGGTGTATCAGTAATTCAACTATTTTAAAACTATCTAAAATTGTCAAATTACTCATGGTTTAATCTAATGGTTTAAAACTGCAAGAATAATTCTAAAATGACTGAAAATACATTAAAAGTTACTTTTAAATTCCATAGATATCACATTTAACAACAATATTTTTCTAAAAATCGTATTAAATTCTTTCAAAAATTACTTCAAATAGTTTTGAATCATCAAATTCATTCGAAGGACATAGAAAATTGCTACAATACTTTTGCTATGATTTAAAATTATCTAAAAATCTTTTCCAAAAAATAAATATATCAATTTAGGTGTAAATTGCCTAATAAAATGGTTTCTAAAATCACAAATATTTTCTAAAAATCACAACATTATATGTTTACACTTAACTGAATCACCCTGTATTTTTCGTTTATGTATTTTACTTTTTTTGGCTTTTGTAGACGTTTTGTTGAGTTCAATGCGATTTACTCACTGTATAATGTGGTGGAAGTCGTTCCGAAACCTTTTTTGCAGCGTTAAAATAAAAACTTCATTTAAAATATAAATTATCTAGGTTTTTAAATTGAATGGTTTGTGTAAATGAATGAATATATTACCTTTGTAGCTTGCATTAATTGTATCCAATGTCTATCTCTTATAGCTGGATTTTGCAATTCAGTAACAGCTCTCAACGAAGTTAACATATTTTTAATTTGAGCTTCCATTTGTATATAAACATCCCAACCTTTAATTTCCTTATCCATAGTACGAACTTCTTTTGCAAACTTTTTCAGCTCCATTTCCATACCTTCAACGTCAATTTTTTTCCACCGCGTGTATTTCCATTCGTCAATCGATGAATTAACGATATTAACAAAATCCCATAATTGTTTTAATAATCGTAATTCTTTCCGGGAACATTTTAATTGTTTAAACTCGGGCATTGTTAATTCAAAGAGATTCGCCTGTTCGCCCAAATCCTGTTGGTAATTTTCTAATTCCGTAATTTGCATATTACATTTATCGAGTAATTTGTACATGTTGGTACAGGAAAATTTGAAAAAACTTTGCCTCCTGAAATAATCTCTATGTACACTTTGTCTAATATCAAGGACAGAAATTCTTCTTTTAATTGCATTAATCTGTTTTGCTTGTAACGGTGCCACAGCTTGTTTTGTTGTAGCAGCAACTTTTTTACATGTTAACCATTTATCAGGTAATTCTTGTAACTGTGTATAAACTTCTTCTGTAAATTCAACGCCATATTCTTTTAATAAATCCATAATTTGTTTCAATGGTTCAAACATAACATCTGTAGCTGGAGTACGTTCTTTAACTTTAAATAAATAACCCATCACTTTAAGAAGTCCATCATAGTCATCCTCATCAAGAGGAGTTTGCATAACTTTAATTGCATCAATAATAAATTCTTCTAATTCATTTATACTATTCATGACGTGATCTACAAGATGTTGTTTAAACATATTACTCCATTTACATACAATATTAAGTATAGCTTGTCTTAATGGCCTCAAATCAATTCTTAACCATGTATTAACTATAAATTCTGTAGGCATTTTTTCAACTTCTTTATATAAAGCTTCATATTTATCGATTTCGTCTTTAAATTGTGGTATAGTTGGTTTTGACTCTGGTATAGGGTCAGCTGTTTCATCTTTCAACATTTCAATTTCATCAGCAGTTAGTTGCCGCGCGTACTTTAAAAATTCTTCTAAATATTCTTTTCTATCATCTATCCATAGATAAGAATATTTATCAAGTGTTTTCTCGTAAGTTACAACACCATCAATTGCATTTGCTACAATATTTAATATTTCATCGTACATAGTTTTTAATGTAAGATCATCAAGAATTTCTTGTAAATAATTATCTTGTTCATCATATGAGAGAACTGGTGGTTCTTCACCTTCAGTTCCCTGAGTAGGGTCATCACCAGCGTCGGTTAAAGTACCAACTGCTGTTGTAATCGTTTTCTCCTCATCGGGTACTGGCGGTGGTGCATCAGGATCTTCTTCCGGTGGTGGATTTATTTTTATTATTCGAGGCATATGTAAAGACATATTGTGAATATCCTGTAATAATGTTTGTATAAAATATAATACATTATCTGGATCATCTAAATCAACGGATGGCATAAAAATGACATTTGGTTCATGAAGTTCAGCTAAAAGCTCAAAAAGTGGATATGATACTTTATCATCAACCATTTCTTTGTTAAAAAAACTGAAAGAAACGTGGGTAGCACTAATCATTCTTTGAAGAAGTACTTTATCTAAATAAACTTCATATAAATTCCAAGCTTTTGTTCGATTTTCTTCAGCTTCAATTTCTTCAGGTGTTTTTTCAGGTTCAGGTGGATCAGCTGGTGGTTCATCTTTACCACCTTTTCCTTTACCACCTTTATCATCCTTAGCATCTTTAGATTCTGCTTCCTCAGGTTTATCATCTTTTCCTTTTTTCCCAACTTTTTTCTCATCTTTTGTGGCTTCTTCTTCTTTTCCCTTTTTCCCACCTTTTTTCTCATCTTTTGAAGCTTCTTCATCTTTTTTATCTTTCTTTTTCCCATCCTTTTCTCCTTCACCACCTTCATCTGCTTCTACAGGTTTATCTTCTTCTTCGTCAGATACTTCTGGCTCTTCAGATGGTATTGGAATATTAAAGTATAACATATAATTCATTTCTCGTGCTTTATCGATTTCTTGAGCGCAAGCTGTCACTTGATCGAAACGTCTTTGCACGCGTTCCTTTCTATCATCTAACATGATGGGGTTTTCATCTTTTTTTTCACGCCTTTCATATAACGATTCTTTTGCCCAAGCATCTATATCTGCTAAGTAATGAGAAATGTTAGATTCGGCGAGTAGAACGCGATCGTAAAGATCTTTTATTTGATTGTAAGTGTCTTCGATGAATTCTGTATCTAAAAATAAAAACTTTCATGAGTAAGAATAAAAATATTGGATACATTTTGGACATTATATCAGTAATGTTTATAACTTTACTGTAAAACGAAACTTATAACATAAAAAAGTAAAACACTAGAAAAGAACTTACTGTCGCTAGCCCATGTTAAATTATTAATAAGAGAACTTAATTTAACATCAATATCATCAACTTGATCAGCAATTAATCCACGTTCTTCCGGTAAAGTTCTCGTTTTTAAATGATTGTACCATTCAACGATTCGTATAAGTTTCATAATAACGTTGTAAAGTTCTTCGTATCGTTCAAATAATTCACGCGCTGCTGGGTCAATATCTTCTAATTCTAATGCCCTTAAATACTTAACTTCACGAAGCAGACACACCAATTCTTTGTCCAAATTTAAAGCAAGTAATCCATCCTGCCTTGTTAATTGTGTCTTATTTAGACTCACACTAAGAATACCAGGAACCGTGGCTAACCAAGCTGCCATCGTTTGATGTTCATCGTTTTTAATGATATCTAACATCTCATTCCATTTTGTATAAACGTAATCGGCTTCTTCAGATTGAACGACTTCGTGCTCGACTAATTTAAACTCGTTGCCCGGTTTTGCAATACGTTCTCTCAACTTCATTAACCAAAACATTCTACCAGCTACAGGTGGAAAATATTTATCAATTGGTATTACACCCTTAATACCTTCATCATACAGTATTTTAACTGTGTCGCATTCTTCGTTTAAATATCCAAGTGCTACTTTATATTTATCGTAAATTTCAGCTGCTATTACTGGACGTTCAAGTAATGATCCACAAATAGAAACAAATTTAAAAAAACTGGTTATATTGATACATTCATCTAATGCTTGGACGAAAATAGCAGCCAGTCTTCGATCTAAATCATAACATTTATCCATAAATTCTCTATAATCAGTTTCAATGTTATGATCTTCAGGAAGTAATATGTCATATTGTATATTTGGAAATACTTTAAATGCTAAATTAAAATCTTCGAGAACTTCAATAACTTTACTAGAAAGTGATCGTCCTTTTAATCCACCAATTTCAACTTTTTCCAATTTCAAAAATTCTATGGTAGTTTCTAGTATGTCTCTTATCAAATTTAATCGTGTCATAAAATCAAATAAACGTTGAAAAACATTTCTTGCATGAAAATTCCACGGAACGAACTCGACATCTTCCGGAAAATAACTTTCCAAATCGTTTCGTACATTTTCAAAGGAACGTGTAAATAATTCCAAGTTGTCAATACAGATTATTAGTTTTTTCAAAACTTCTTCAGGTTCACCTTGAAAAATTGAACTTGGATCAATAGCTTTAGCAACAGCTTCAATAAATAAATTTCCAATTTCTTGTAATAATGTCACCATTTTACTGCTCGTACAATAATATCTTGAATGTGCCCACAACATTCCAAGAACGTGACAGAGCGGCTTGATGTATTTATCATTTTCAAGAAAGTCTTCTTCCATCGATAAAAAATGTTTGATCATCGGTTTTAAATACAAACAAATATCTCTAGCTTCTAAAATTGCGGCTACGATATTTTTAAATGTCGACTTAAAACACGATAAATAAGAGCTTTCAGTTAATTCTAAATAATGTATCATTTGTTTAACACGAGGATCTCTTAACTGGTCATAAATACATTCAAGACTTTTTAATCGAAAATTCCAAAATTCTACCTCTTTCATTGGAGTCGGATTTGCACCACCAGCAAAAGCTAATCTTGAATTTTGTTTTAATACATCGGAGCAAATATTAAACCAAATTATTACAGCATTTTCTATAGCTGCTTTCAAATGAAGATCATAATCAGCTCCTTCACTTTCTGTGAATCTATTTACTACTTCAAATATTTCATTAGTTCCAGGTGGTAATGGTAGAAGAGGTTGACTTTTAAGAGCACCACGCAACTAAAAATAAATTATTAAATAATACATGTTATAATTTAAACAATTATAAATATCATTTACTTGATAAACCGTATTTTTGAACATTTCTATATGAGCTTGGACATCTTGTGCTACAACTTTCGGCCATCCCACATGATTCTTAGGATTACTTAATAATGGCACAAAAATGTCTTCAGTTAAAACTGAAAGTTCTTCCACCGATTTATAAGAATAATCACCGATAATGAGCACTTGTTTCATATTTTCAACAGTTAAAATTTCAGGAATTCTTCGAATGAAATAACTACCTTTACTTTTCATGTTTGCCGGATATGTATATGATGGTGTTAAAAGACCCGATGGTGCCATATACATTATCATCATTGGTACGCTTCCATTGTCGAGAAAATTCATAAAAAGTTTCTAAAAAAAGTTAAATTGCAGTTAACACAGATGTTGTTAATAACTTGAGTTCTAAATAACTGAACACTTACCTTACTATCTGCATCTTGAAACATTTTTGCCCATTTATCCTGTTTCAGTTTCAACGATTTCGTCAGGTAATTATTCACAAAATCAAGACGATGATCTGCAGCCGCTTCGTCTTTCTTTTTATCACCCATTCTTTAGGCAATAAAAGACGAGGACACGGCTAAAAACCGAAAACTCTGCAAAAAATGGGAGCTTTCAATTCCGTTCTGTCTATTTTTTTTTCTAACAACGTCTCGTCATCAATAGTAACCGGTAACCAAGAGCAACTTCGATTTCGTTCGATCAACGGTACAATATAAACGCTGGCGTCAGGTTTGAGGGAAACACCCATAACAACTGGAAAGAGTATAGATACGTGTTAGCGTGTTTTGTAGTGTAGTTTTGGCCATTAAGAATAATTGGCACGTCAGCTGAATTGAATTGGTGCCAAGTACGGAAATTTTCGGTTAGCTTCCATGCTACTTTTTTTATTAATTTTTAGATTGTTTTTAAATTACGAAAATCGTTATTATTAATTACGTGACAACGACATCTTCAATGTGTTATTAGTTATTAGGGCGGCGAGTGATTTATGACCACATCATTTCCACGATAACAACCCTCGTAAATATCAGTAAATATCTATTATGGTTTATCGAGTTAATTGTCTACCTGAAAAAAATTAGGTTTAGATAAGAATTTAATAACTACCGAAGCCATAATAACAATAATCCAGACAAAATGATTAAAACCACGTGATGCTGTGATGGTTTCGACAGGACGTTGCGGGTTTTCCTAGAAAGTTTGACTAAATTCAACCATCTCCTGGAAGCATTCCAATGAGTGATTAATCGGCTAATTAGCGCCGTTATTCTCGGTAATATTAGGAAATTCGGGAAGTATCGATCACCGTACGGAGAACTGCAATAACACACGCCACTAAATCAGCGAAATGAAACAATTAGGCGCACACCGTGCATTTCAATCGCCTCGTTCTCCACCCACCCCTCCCCGGTTCGTTATTGCAAAGATCTAAATTATGGATTGATGTTCGTGTGCACTGATGAAAATTGCCGATTCTGTCAGACACAGCTTTACCATTCTGACCTTTAAAATTGAATTAGATATTGTGACAAAATCAATGAAACGTTAAAACTTACATTAAAGCAAATATATTTCTTTGTCAACTTTAAAAATTAATTACTCAGTATATTCTGTAAATCGGCATTAATAATATTTTTACAATAAAATTACATATAATAGCTTGATTTCCCATAGAAGTCTAAAAAAGTAGCTAACGGGTAACTGGTTGTCAAAACAGTTCTGAAGTGAAATATTTAAATTGATACTATGCTCTGTACTTGTTCATGTGGTCATCAAGCAATTTGATGTTAGATAATACTCTGATAAAAGTATAAATAAAGAAATAAATGATTAATTTGATTAATTGTTGCTTAATTAAATTCCGATTCTATAATATAGAAAGTATACTCAAAAAAAATCTCAGATCCAGCATCAATATGGAACTGTTTCTACATATCAAGAATTTATCTCTTGAAGGTAATCGGCGAAAGATAAGGTTTGTCCAAATAAAATTGTGTTAAAGGTGACTAAACAATAGATTACCCAAGCTTTCCACGAATTTGAAAATCTACAAATAGTGTCTGTTGGTGTTAATCTAAATACCATACCAAGCTTGCAAAAAGTTTATGTTTGAAGAATTTTTAAAAATCAGTTCATCGTTTAGCAGAGAGACTTAAGACAGAAGCAGTTGTCTCTGTTGATTTGTTTGACTATCAATTTGTTACTTTCTGACTTAGCATGATTGATTTCACTAAAAACTGATTTTTTAGTTTCAAGTTGAGGTTGATGTCAAAGTCTACCTTGTTACTACTATCATTTAGAATCCTCCATTTAGATTCTACTTCTAGATTATCTTGTTCCATCATTAATCACTATCTTCCCCTGCCATTAATTTTTTCACTTCTTCCTCCAACTCTACCTGAGATAATTTTTGATATGAAGTCATTTCACCAAAAAAGGCAAAAAAACTACTAAAAGAGATAGAAAAAAAGTAGCTTACATGTCATGATTTCGGTTTTCAAGAAACTGCTAATGTCGAAAACTTTAAATAGCTATCGTCTTTTGTTTTCGTGTTATCGAGAGAAACTGAAAAATTTGCAAAAACGAATAACCCAACCCAAATATCCTACTTATTACCAAAGATGGAGTTTTTTATTATAAAAATTGTGACATCATTCCCTCCTTTATTTCTAAAACTCCAATTATAACGACGTTTCGGGAAATGTTCCCATCGTCAGGTTAATAATACTCTTATCTAAAGAAACACGAATTACTAAATTAAAAATAACATAATTACTATTACAAACATGAAAAACAATCTCCATACACTTAAATCACAAAAGATTTTTTTGTTTAGTTTATAGAATATGATTCTTACCTAAGACTATTCATCAATTTTTATCATTAATTGTTTCTTAAATTTATTCCGATACATCTTATCATGCTTACGAATCAAGTCTAAGAGAAATTTTCATACAAGGTCAGATAACAATTGTATTCCTTTATCCGAAACCTGTTTTCTCTCCCATATTCTATTATATCACTAATTTATTTAAAATATCCGCATAATGTGCCCCTATTCTTCCTACATCGGTTTTAAAGTGAACTGTTTTATTATTATTTTTTGTTATGAAGATAGACTCTAAATTTTTCCTTATTTCTATGTTTTTATTTGTTGTTAATATCTTAGGATTATCGAAATCAAACTTATGATTTAAAGTTACAGAATGTTGGCACAATGCTGTTTTGTTTTGAATTTTTATTTGTTTAGTATCGTATTTGTGTTGTTGTATTCGTTTTTTAAGATGTTGTTTTGATTCCCCTATATATATTTTATTACAATCAATGCAATTTAATTGGTATATAGTATCTACTTTATCTAATGTTTTGATTTTGTCCTTCATGAATATGGGAGAGAAAACAGGTTTCGGATAAAGGAATACAATTGTTATCTGACCTTGTATGAAAATTTCTCTTAGACTTGATTCGTAAGCATGATAAGATGTATCGGAATAAATTTAAGAAACAATTAATGATAAAAATTGATGAATAGTCTTAGGTAAGAATCATATTCTATAAACTAAACAAAAAAATCTGTTGTGATTTAAGTGTATGGAGATTGTTTTTCATGTTTGTAATAGTAATTATGTTATTTTTAATTTAGTAATTCGTGTTTCTTTAGATAAGAGTATTATTAACCTGATGATGGGAACATTTCCCGAAACGTCGTTATAATTGGAGTTTTAGAAATAAAGGAGGGAATGATGTCACAATTTTTATAATAAAATATACCAAAGCCTCCATAAACTAAAAATTAGAGACAAAGATGGAGTATTATATGAGAGATGGTGAAAGATGGAGTATTATTTATGGAGTAAATTATGAACAATTGAAACAAAACTAACCCAGCCCAACATTTTTTCATTACCATCAACTCACGAGAACTACTTTAACTACGAAGGAATCATGATATAATATGATATAAATCGACGTCACTCCGTTTACTGGTGAAATAGTATTCGCATTTAATATCTTCTGGTGCCAGATAGGATTCAGTTTCCAAAAACTATTGAAAAAAAATCTGAATGTAAAGCTATTAATAAAAAATTGAATGAAAATAATTCAAAAAAGCTCGGTAAAAAAGCATTCAAATATTGTGTGAGTTAAATACCCTTACAGTACTTTTTATTTATAATTTTTTTACATGAACAATTTATTTAAAATGAAAATGGTGAATTAAAAACATTTTTGGTATCAACGTTTCCAACAAATATGAAAACAAACATAAAAACAAATCAGATCGATTATTAATAATCTAAATTGCTAACAAAATATCCAATGGCAAACAAACGTTATTTGGATTATAGAAATATCGAGGATTAAAATTAGCAATTAAATTTGAAATTATTTCTCGATAATTTTCCATTTATTTATGATTATCCAAAACTGTTTGAAAGCTATAATAACAAAAAATTTCTTCATTAAACAACGTTTTATTAAAAAAATTTTAATTTACGCGACAAAAACATGTTAATATTGATACAAAGATAAAAACGTGTATATGCACTCAACGCTAAAATCTCATCAACAAAGCATTAATCCAGAAGGAAAACCTTAATCAAACTTGGATGCCATAAATCTACTTTTATTTGGTAAATTAATAAAAATCGAAAATACAACATCACGCAGGTGCTTTGTATCTCACAGAACCCAATTACACCATGATGCGGTGTTATAAAGAGAACGTTTTAGTGAAATTTTGTAAACAAGGGCAACCATCAACTTTTTCCTTTACAAACCACCAGGAACCCCGGCCACGAATTGATTATTATTTTTCCTGGTTTCGCGTTCACGTCCACTCCATCACGTGAACGTGTCACTCTGGGGCGCGGAAATGCCCTCGACATTGTGCTTAATTACGAACTGGACGCGCGTCGAGGACACCGAGTGGCAAAACCAATTTCGCACCGTCACCACAAAAAGTTCTCTTCGATTCCCTCCAATTCCACGCCCTCAGGTTTTATTGAGTACCGCGAAACCCGATTTGTTTTGAATTCAATATAAAACAATCTTCAAAACAATTAAAAAAAATTTTAATTAAACGACCCCTAAGAAATCATTACGTTGAATGGATAAACGTGTATGGTTTCTATTTTCACGTCAAAATTTTAAGTACCATTCCATGTAATGTTAGAATATTTGTAGCCGCCACTACTACACATTACTCAACGACGACGCAACAAATTGCTGCGTTTAACTTCTTGGGACTACTAGTGTGTTAGGGGGCATTTATTTCACGGGGGAGCAGCTCCAGCGAGACATTACCTCACGACAATGCGATAAATGACAACGTTTAAGTTCTTCAGGTCGTCGCAAATTTATTCTCTTTATAAAGAACAACATTTCCCGGCGGCTCCACCATTTTTAAGCTTCGTACTAATTTAAACAAAATTTTAAAGTTTATTTTTTACCATTTTTGATTAAATTTCTCATGACAAGCAACCATGTTATAGAGGCGAAAGGATTACGCTAACTCATAAACAATGGATAGCTCTCGTTGTGTAAACGTTATTGTGTAGCTGCAACGCTTGGTTAACATGAAAAGTATGCCTCGTTGAATTTATTAACCAATTACGCACAAGGGGGTTCCTCATTGGAAAGTTTAAATTATAACGGGGCATCATTACAATGTGGTTACATCACTATTTTATTAATATTATTTTAAAAAGAGCCTCTATTTGCTTTCGATGAGAAAATGTACTTAAAGTAAGAAAACTTGACTAACACCAGTTAGCGAACTATCAAAAGCAAGTTTTCTATGTAAGTAATCTCGTTTAGTCGTCGACACTCTTTTCCATTTACATGCAAATAAGCGAAAAGGTCGTATCGATAGGATGTCGAGTTCCTTTCCTAGTTCGCTCTCGCAACACTATAATCGTTATTCCTGCATCGGCAAAATCAGATTAAACCAACGTCTTCGTTTCAATTCCCTTTTCTCATCTCGCGACCGAGATGATTTGCTTTCCACGACTGGCCGCGATAGCTTCTCCCAGGTAACGATTGCGTTGCGACGCCGCTGGTTTTCAATCGAACCGCGATAATTTAATTTTCTCTAACCTCTCCACTTCAACGGCAACTTCCTGGCTCAGCTACCCCAACCAATTCAAGGTTGGATTTTAAAAGACCTAACCCACAAATCCCGTCAATTCCAAAAGAAATCACGTACATCTTTTCGAGAAAAAATAACGGATAAATCTACTTTTACAAATCGAAACTAAGAAACGACCTGAAATGATTCTTCTTCTATTATGACTTTCCTTTATCTAACTGTATATCAGGTATCAAAAATTAATTGAATTCAAATATCTCCAATCTGTGCAACTTGATATTCTAGTTGTTATTTATTCCAGTCTAAAAGATAAAATATTCGATGTTAGAACTAGACATATTTAGTTTAGACAAATTCTTCTTCATCGGGATCATTATAGGAACCACTAGATTCATCAACCATGTTAATTACATCATTTTCACTTAATTCTTTATCAATCACTAGTTCTGCAATATCTCTTTCAGTAACATCATCGAAACCTTCTCCACCGAAATCTTGACTATGACATTAATTCATCATCTGTCAAGATCTATCTCTGAAATATCTCCTAAAATGCTGACTGTCGACTGTTTGTCCATCTCTTTGGCGAGATTATCTTCATTTCTTCTACTTTTAACATGCTCTTAATTTTATTTGTGTCTTCGCGTATTACGTCATTATTGGGCAGATGCTGTGTCTCGTAGACAGCCTGAAATTGCTTAGTTGATCCAACTTCTCAGGTGCTTTGCGGGGTCGTGGATGGTTGACATGTACACATTCTTTCGGGAGAATTACATGACTTAAATGCTACCATCATACAATAGACAACTTCATCTCTGAGAGAAAAGACACGCCTTTATCATTACTTATTAGAAAGCTAGGTTTTTGGTTTTCGAGGTGAGTTTAGTAGTTAAATCCTTTATAACACCTTCTCGGTGACCAATCTGTAGTTATTTTTATTCGTCAGTCCAGCGTGTAGCTCTCAAGCAGACTCTTTCTCCATCCTTCAAACAGCCCACGTGAATTGCCCAATTCTCTTTCAGTTCTGCAATTCAGGTAATCACATTAGTAACTCCCGTCCTGCTAGATATTGTATTATTTATGCTAATTATCTGAGTTGTACCAATCATTTCATGGTACTTACTTATGGTGGTCGGCATAGCACGAAATTAAATCTAGTTTCATATTAAATTATATTAGTTTCTTTAAAATCTCTGTCTCGACTCAAGTCTGTCATGTCGCTGAGTAGCGTTGAATCGTTTTGTTTACCTCTTAATGCATTTCGATAAAAACTTATTTACTTGCTATGTTAGCCCCCAATTAGACAATGTTTCAAATTTACAGTATTTTGATCATAACAAGAGAATCTCTTAGCCGATTTCGATGAACAATGGGTGCGTTCACTAGAGAATTCCGTTTACGTTGGCAAACACAAGCGATTTACGGTAGCGATGGCGCCTTGATTAACGACCTATTTCTTGAAACATAAATATTGAATACAATTGATACTTATACTGTTTATAGGCAATAGAAAGAAGTTAGATATGTAACGCGTTTGTAAGCTCACGTTTATTAACGTGAGTCATAGCTGATGTTGTTTCCATTATGATTAATAATACTTTTTTAGATGGAACTTTTCCTAACTTATCGAAAAAAGCTAGAATTGCTCCCATCTATAAAAGTGGTGATCAAGATAATGGTCACTTAACATAAGCCAGAATGCGTTCAACAATTGGCAAATTGTTTGAATTATAGTGTAAGTTATTAGTACTAACTTACCAATGCAAATTATAGCTGCTGATTATGTTTTACACAGTTGTATATTGATCCAAGACAATGCATGTGACGATTACCATATTGATGGTAATATTGAAACTATTGACAATAATCAGAATTAGAAAAACTCTTCAACGTCAAGTACTTTTTATCAAAAACTGCAAAGAGTACTTACACCAGATCTTTTACGATTTTAACTTTCCCTTTTTGAATTCTGTGGTGCACTACTAATAGTTGTGGTAACAATTAAAGGAGAAGTACCAGCATCTGTAGATATAATAAAAGTTTGAGAGATTTCATTTTCAACTAACGCTTGTAAAACTGTAGTGGGACTGGAGGGAACAAATTCAAAAGCAGTTGATGTTTTGAAGATAGAAAGAGTTAGCGAAATCGCAGTAAATTGGTGTCTATTTAGAGAAAAAGGCATCAATTCAAGAAAAAAGTAGATGGAGGGAGTACGCTTTATATTTTTAATATATTTTTGTATACACAATATTATTGTATTTTGTATTATAATGTATATAAGAGAAATTATTGAAAAAAATATCTTTAACACATCAAAACTACTTTCTATTTTTGTTATCTTATATTCCTAGGTCATGATAAAATGACCTAAATTCACGAAATTGTATTAGGTCTTTTAGAATAATATAAGGTCAATAGAAAGTGTGAGAGATATGAAAGAAAATGAGGTCAAAACTTTTTCAGGATTAAAATTAATATTTTTCCACGCCAGGTCGTGTACCTGGAGCGATGTTCATGAAAAAATATGGTCCCGCATTTACTTTTCATGGCCCCTAGCGCCGCGCTGAAAATATACGGTCGACATCTTGTGCCAGCGGCAAAAACAGCAGCAGTTGGAGCGCTGATTTAAGCACTGGGGCGATGTCGTCTGGCTCCATCTTGTTGAGAAGCACGTGACCCATCCCACGACGCGACGTTCCCATCACGTGCTGCATTCTAATAACTTTCAAAGCTTGAAAAACAATTTTCCTTTATTTAGACAGCTCCATTCAGCAAATAAAGGACTTCAATTCCAAAAATCGTTTCGCTGTTCTCTTAATACCTCGCTGACAGATCGATTTCATTAAATTACAATGGCAATTAGTTTCTACTTTAATACCATTCCAACGACGAGATGCTTCCAGGAGATCGATCGATTGTACATCATCACATACGAGAAGCACTTAACGCGAATGTACTATGGAACGAAACTGATGGCGTCGATTAAAAAATAAAAAAAAAGATGAAGAAGGGGTACAGCATGCCATCATATTGCAAGAAAAAGAACGACAAAAAATATAGGAAAAGCATAACGTGCAATAAAACTGGTAATTTACGGCCGTATCATTTTATTGGTCTCTTCAGGCTAGGATGAAGGGTATTGGGACTATAGAGAAGGGAAGGAAAGGGAAGAGGAAGAGGATCAGAACGAGGTGCAACGGCCCATCAACGACTTGATTTATTACATCCCACTAATCGACGCGTACTCGCGCAGGTGGCGCCGTCTCGTGATAAAAGCCGCACAAGTCCGTTCTGCGAACCATACAAGCTCAACATTTCCAACTGTGGAAACCTCTTCACGTCCCTAAATAGAAATTAACTGACAGACGACATCTTATAAAGTTTACAACTGAAACAAAGTACACTGGTATGTTCTAAATGTCGTTATTTGTTTTGATGTTCATTTAAAATGTTAACAATAGATAATTTACGTTATGAATTACATTTTATGTACGTTTCTTTATTGAATACTTTCCATCAAATTAATTAGCATAAAGCATCTCTTTATAAAGATATTATAAACCTCTGTACTACATAACAAATATTGCCCAAATTGAAATTTCTTAATATTCCTCGTATAGAAAACATCCCAACAATTTCAAATATCTCCGGTTACCGAAAATCTCCTTTGATGCCACTCTCCCGCCTCCTCCTAACACTGAGTTGAAATGAAATTCCGTGCCGTTCGCATGGACGAAAATCGGTGGTAAGCCTGTAAGTGAAATGCATTTACAAAGATGCACCTTCTACAGACCGTTTGTGGTTTAACAATACCCGATACGTTCACAAATTAAAGTAAAAAAAAAGAAATTGAAAGAATTTTAATTGTAAAGGTACGACCACATTTGTTATGACGGCTGCTCACTTCGAGGGTGGTTCTTTGTGCACTTGCTTCTCGTGGAAGTGGAACCCTGCGGGTTAACGGTGCTCATTCGTTTGAATACGTATATACGGGAGGCTTTTCAGGCGAATTTCCCTCGGTTTATACTCTCAACCTCCTATACTTTTCCGGACTACACCACGGCAGGTGAATATTTTAAACCACCTCGCTGTTTGCTTAATTCTCCAACGCTGGCAGAATGTTACCATACCTTTTTTAGTTCTTTTCACAGCCGTCTCGTTGATCGGTTATCGACTCTTTTTATTGTTTCTTTATTTTTTTAAAGAGCCCAGTTAAGGTACACCTACAATGAAAAATATAGGGCGCGCTTATACAAAAGCTTAGAATAGAAGTTGCTTTTTTCATCTTTTTTTTCAGTATTGTGAATTAAAAATGAATGGAATTCGTTTGGAAACTGTGTACATAGGCTAATGTTCGAGATGGAAACACGGGAAAAGTTTTTGAAGTAAATGGAAAAAAAAATTGGGGAGAAGGGAAAAAGGTTTAGCTGGTAAAAGATTTTAAAACTTAAGAAGAAAAAAAGAAAAGAGTAAGGAGGAAAAATAAAAGTTTTACCTGGGTAAGGAAAGGAAAGAAGTTTACTAAGATAGTAGTGAAAAGTATTCACACAGTGTATGAATCAATATTAACTTTTATCATACTTTTCAAAAAACATTTAATTTTTTAATATAAAATATAGAATATATAGAATAAAATTAGCAGCAGTCGATTTCATCTACAACGTTAAATCAATGTAACGAACGTAAAGATTGCTTCATGGTTGTAATAATTTATCAATTGATTTGAGAAAATACATTACCACGAGTATAAGTGCATATCTTGCTTTTGGGATGGAAGGTAAGCAATGTATTGTTACAATTTTAAGAACACAATATATTTGGCAACTACTATAAAAATTCTATTCCAGAGTTGGGGTAAGAATTGCCAATATCTATTCTGACTGAATAAAAATCTGACTTATAGCGGCATATACCTTTTCGACCGGATCAAACATTCTAGGGCTTAAATAATTACTTAGAGTTAGTTATCCTTTGTTCCTAGTATAGCAAGTTTGACCAAATCGCTTAAATAGCAACTCTGGGCAATGCAGTTACTTTTCCTGAGTAGCTCAGAGATTAGTTTTAGGAAATCATGAATTGAGACCTAGGGTAAAAACTTTAAAGTAGTGATGGAACGGATAGTGATTTTCCGGCCATTATGGTTATAATTGTTGGTGCATTTCTGAAGTGATACCCCATTGCCACATTATTGCGACATTTGAATAAAAATGAAATTAATAAAAAAGCTGATAAGATGTGTCATCTTATTTGGATCCATGATACAAAATGAACTGATTGATGAGCTGATTCAACTAACGAAGCAACTCTAAAAAGAGGATACTTTAATTAATAATTGGCGATGTTTCCACAAGGATCCTTCAAGAAATTAATTTTATAGCGAATTTTGAAAATTATCGATGAAAATTGCAACATCGAAAATTTGATCAAAACTTCAAATATTGTTTTCTCAAAAACTAAAAGTTATTTTTTAAAACGTGTTGGTTCATTGGAAAGAGGACACTTTTATTAACACTTTGGGAAATTTTCATACTCAAATTCCAAAAAATGGATTTTATAGGAATTTTTAAAACTTAATCGGCGAAAATTACAAAATACGAAAAAATTTTCGATCATTTCAAAAATGTATTTCTCAAGAACTAAAAGTGATTTTTCAAAACGGCTTGTTGTATTAAAAAGAGGATACTTTAATTAATATTTGGTGATATTTCCACAAGGATCCTTCAAAAAATTAATTTTATAGCGAATTTTGAAAATTATCGATGAAAATTGCAACATCGACAATTTGATCAAAACTTCAAATATTGTTTTCTCCAAAACTAAAAGTTAGTTTTCAAAACGTGTTGGTTCATTGGAAAAAGGACACTTTTATTACCACTTTGGGAAATTTTCATACTCATATTCCAAGAACTGGATTTTATACATCGTTATACATCGAGACTTTATATATCGTGTTGGGATTGTTACAATGAGGTTGGTAATGACAAACCTGATATAAATATAGTTGTATTCACTAAAAAAAATCCTATTGGGGTTGAACTTGATTATTATCTGTAATGTCCAACACCTAAAAGAGATACTAATTCCGGATATCCGTTCCACCTCTGGAGGAACCAGTGTGAATTAACTCAGTTATTATCAAAGATAAACTCGGAATTTTGCATATGCGTTGAATTAATTTTTGAATTATGTAGGATTTATGATAATCCTAGAAGTTCAATGATAACATTGCATCTATGGAAAGATTGTTATTCTAACAAAAGTTAAATCATACGACCAAGCAATTTTATACTACTTAATTCAAAATCCTTATTACTCCTTTACTCATTGCATCGAAATGTTCATGGATTTATGGCACGGATTGGGAAAACAACACCATGCACGGTAGTCTAAATTTTGTACAAGTAGAAAACGATCCAACAAAACATTTATCGTCCAAAATTTTTGGAAAAACGTTTTGTAACTCTGAACTACTCTCTAATAACAACCATACGTTAGCACAATGTTTCCAGCTTTGGTATACAACTTCAGAATTGCTATTTCAGATTTACTACTTGAAGAAAAAACGAAACTCTGAAGTAGCAGTTTAGAAATAACATCTTTGGGCACTAAGCTGATTAGATTATTTTGCATAAATAAGACTGCTATATCTGCTAGATTAAATAACAACTCAAAAAACGTGTTAACCGACTCACTTATGGATTGACAGCAAGCAGTAGTGGTTGGAAAGTATCGATCGAGGTCACATGTAATGAACTAGGTATAATTGCTCGCAGAGTTCGGTGTTGTCAATTACATCATGCAATTAAATACTGCCAGAAACACTTCTACGTGAATGACATGTAAATTTATTTATGGTCTAGAGGAGATGTCTTCGATGATCAAAATCTTTTTACGGTTCAAATAGTTTTAATATTATTTCTGTAGAATTTGTTAGTCGAAAACTTCTATATTTCCAATATAGCTTAGGTTTGTGCCTATATCTATAGAATTGCTAATTCTACAAGCTTTCTCAAAATGCTTAAACAGCAACTCTACTCGTAATACAGATTTTCATGGTGTAAACAATATATCGTTTACTCATATAGTTCCTTAACTTTAGCAATCCCGACGTGAGTCTAGAACATAAAGGTATAACTGAAATCAAAATCCAATTTAATTTTTGAACTGTATAAGGTTTCTGCCAGTTCTCAAAGTCTGGTGATAATGCGACATCTAAGGAAAGATAGTCACTATTAATTGTTTCTAAACTACAGGGGTGGTTTATTGCATCAGATGTATTTTTTTGTAAATTCTAATAATAATAATTGATCGAGTAATTTAGAGTGCATTTCAAAGTATTGAGATATTTAGTCTGTTGCTCGTTTTGAAGTTGTAAAATTATTGTTTTATATTTTATTATGTTATTTAGGATTATAAACGCAAAACATTGAAATAAATCCGCATTATGCATGTCCATATTTAAAGTGAAGGACAAGCGTGTTTAACATTTAATTGTACGTAAAATGCAAACAGTGAATACTGCCAAGTACCAGACGTAATTGCAATTTGCAGCGTATACAGACAGAGCACCTCTCGGACCCGGTCAGGCAGATAATAATGTTCGCTAGATCAACATTAGTTCAGGCGTGAGAACTGGCCCTATGTTGAAATTTTGGTCGACAGGTGAAAAGTTTTCGCAATTCTAACCGAACAAGCATTTCCGATACCTTACCACGAACAACCCACGCCACCTCGCGTCAATGAAAAACAAATATTTAACTTTATCAAAGTCTCCACTTTAAATAGAACTTTACCTTCCCGCTAAAAAAGTTAAAATGAGTAATATTAAGTTAAATTTTTATAAATATTCAAATAACGTAGACTATCCAAAAATTCTTGTTTCTTTTTTGAAAGTCTTTTAATATCAAACTTTGCCGAGTATATCCTCAACCAGAAAACCCTTCTCATAAAATACAAACTGCACCCGAAAACCGCCCCCAAAAAGTCTCCGGAATCCGCCGTCGAGTTATTTTAAAAGCGCCACGAAGTTTTCTCGCCGTAAAACCGAAAGCTTCACGGTGGGCTTTCAATGTAGAACAACCTCAACCCTTACCTATCCCAATCTTTAAGCTAGTGGCATATAACCAACTCAATATACAAAGAAAAATATTATTTTTCTTTTCTTTGTTTTTAGACAAAAATGTGGAAATTATTGCTAGCTTCAATCGTCATGGCAACGGTAACGGTTCACGCATTTGGTTTTCATCGCCATCTATTGGACACCATCGACGTTTGCATATTGACGTGTGACCAGTGTTTCAAAACAGGTGGATTAACGGAATGTGCAAACGAGTGCATCCAAACCGGTGGACTTATGAACACTCTATGGAAACTGAGATGTCCTCCACTAGCAGCCATCGTTGATGAAGAACTCCCCTCGGTGCAACAAGTTTAACATCTCCCTAAAGTTATCCCCTAAAAAATTTAAAATAATACACTAACTTTTCAAATTTATTAAAGTCTTTTATTAAATTTTATCCTATCATTACTTTTTTTCAGAAAATATTCTAGAACATTCTAGTTCTGTTTATTACAACACTTGTTTGTTATTGACATTATAAGAATAAATACAAGTCCAGCTACGTTAAACTAGAAGAGTAAACTGGGAGAATTTAACATTAACTTTGTGATGATGAAAAGTTTTTGAAAAACATTTTGGTTGTATGGAAATGAATGGAAATAAGGTGTTTATGCGCCATCTGTTTGTTTATGTAGGCGTTTTCGAATTGAACTAAAGCACCCTCTATTTTTGAGAAAGTTAAAAAGTGTATGAAGTTTTTGAATAATAAATCGAGAAATGATTTGAGTTGGAAAAAGTTCCAAATAAAATTTTCAACAACAAGGAATAGAATTAATTGAATGAAAATGATTATTAACTGTAATAAATCGTTTTCGGGTTGGGTTAGTAAAAGCGATAATAAGAAATCGAGTTAGTTTCGCATTTCATTACGAGATGTCGTGTTAATTGGAAAAGAAAAAAATCGAAATAATTGTAAATGAAACGATGGACGTGAAGATGAAAAGAAAACTTGTAGTAACATATAACATCAGGAGAAGATACTGACAACGAAAAAAATACGAAGAGACTGTACAAACAATAAAGACAGTCAGGTAGCACAAAAATGTGGACTACAAAAGAACAAAGTATGTTCATGTATAGGCAGAATGTTGGATTTGTTGATCTCTAATGCTGACCTGAATTTTCACATAATAAGATCTGATAATCCAGTTGTACCAGATGATTCTTATCATTCCAGTCTTGAAGTGGAAGTTTACCACTCTACACCTACTAATCAACAGCAGTTCCCATCTTCTGATAATTTAGGATATAACTTCCATCGAGCAAATTACCCTGCATTATATGATCACTTCTTTAAGTATGATTGGTCTTTTTTGCTTTCCCATACCGATGTCATTGAGGCTTTGGATGTCTTCTATGATGCGATGATTAATACACATATCCCTATTAAAGCCAAATCTAATAATTCTTACCAACCATGGTTTTCGGCGGAAATAGAAACGTATTAATATTAAAAAATTTTATCACAAAAAATGGATCAAAACAAAAAAACTAGTATTTTATAACGAATTTAAGCGACTTACATTAAGTATCTTAACAACATACAAGATACCATCAAAACAAATCTGTCCAGTATATGGAATTTTCTCCGAGCTAAGAAACCACAAGAATATCCAGTAATCTGATTGATAATGACAGCAATGTTCTTGCTGATCCTCAAGATATTGTAAATGCTTTTGTTAACATGTTTTCTGCTGTTCACACTGTATCTACTGACCGCACTTTCATTGAATTTGATTTCAATCCGTTGCCATACTCTTTTCATATCATTACAGAAGAGGAGCTAATTAAATTAATGGCAACGTTTCCTAATAAGCATACTGCTGGAGATGATTTGTTGCCAAGTTTTATGGTCAGAGACTGCCGTTATATATTTGCTTGCCCTCTTAAATTTATTATTAACTTGTCCATTACGTCCTGTGAATTTCCTGAACGATGGAAACGATCAAGAATTGTGCCGGTTTATAAACTCCGGTCCCTCTCAAACTATAGACCAATTTCGATAATTTCTAATTTTGCTAAACTATTTGAAAAGTTATTATATTCTTTTATGCACACCAGCACATGCCCCTTTGTGTCAGCTTCCCAGCATGGTTTTGTTTCCGGTCGCTCTACAATTACCAACTTGGCTACGATTTCCGAGTTTATCTGTAGCACCTTCTTAATTCTCTTGCATAAATTGAGCTCTTTCGGATTTGTCCCTTCAGCAATTCAACTTCTGGTCTCTTATTTGCAACATAGAAAATGTTATGTTGCTTACAATGAATATTTTTCTAATGAGTTCACTTTTACCTCAGGGGTTCCAGCGGGATCAAATTTGGGCAATTGTATTATTACATTATTGAAAATATATTGTTATCCTTTTTTATGCTATGCCTGTTGGGTAATAAAGGAATATTATTATAATCACATCTTGAACTTTACTCCGAACGAAATGCCAAAAAAATGCGAAGTTGGACTTACTCTACCACTTCACAAAAAAGCAGACAAGAAACACTGCAAGAATTATAGAGGTATAATCTTAGTAAGTACAGTAGTAAAGATTTTTTTAAAAAAATATATAAAGATGATTTTATGAAACAAATTGGACCATTACGTCCATTACTAGCAAATACACTACAGACCACGTATTTGGAATAACAAAAGAAATTATTAATAGAATTTTTGCAAGAAACAAAACAGTATATATAATATTTAGAGTTTTATAAAAGACCTTTGATAAAGTACCAAGACTAAGACAACAGGGAAGCCAAATCAGAACAGAACTTAATACAGAATTATGTAATAAGAATATAAACAACAATGACAACTCGGGTGATGACGTCACCTAAGTCGTCTTCTAAACAACACAGCACATATCAAAATAATATGGGACTGCAAGCCACCATGGAAGAAAAAGAGAGATCAACGAAAACTCATCAGCGAAAAAGCTCGTACAGAAGACAAAAACCTGAAAAACTTATAAAAATTTAGCTTTAAGTTTAAGTTATAAATAAGTATAAAGAGTCTATTAAGTATGAATTTAAATTTAGTTGTACTTCAATGAACCAACCAAGTTGATTTCAACTATTGGAACCATCAAACGATGTTGTGACAAAGAAGGAGAAACAACGAAAATAAACTTACCAAAGCTTTAATATTTGATTCTTTTAATTTTATCAAAACAACAACCATTATTATTGATCACTCAGGAGTAACTACACGGTTGGCGTAAACAACTAATAACTCAATTCTATACTGTAACAACATTACACGTCACGGTATAGTACTAACACGCTTGTCAATTGTTGGATAATTCCATACTGTAACTAGTAACTATTTTAGTTAAAACGAAAATTTTAATTCTAAAGTAAAAATAAATTGTTTATGGTAAATGTTATATTATCATAAGGTAATAGTCAAATTTTGGACTAGCAATTCTAAAATTTATAACAATTTTCTGCAGTCAAGGCGTGTTACACAAAAATGGCCAAAAAAAGCATGTAAAAGGTTAAGGAATTTTTTTGTTGGGACATATAAAAAAACATTAATTATATTTTCAAAATTAACATTTTATTTCATCATATTTTTCAACCTAACACAATTAAAATTACAACTACTTACATAAGAAAATATAGTTTAATATCTCATCAAATTTATTAATCCTAATTTAAACTACATCAATTTTTCTTAAATTTTACTTTTCTTTAACCTTCTTTCTCCTCAACCTTCTTATCTTCAATCTTTTTATCTTCCACCCTTTCAGGTCCAGTAATATTAACCTTAATAATTTTCTCTTCCAACGCAGGATCGACCTTCCTCGGTGCAGTAATGGTAAGAATCCCATCCGATGACAAAGTTGAAACGACATTTTTCAATTCATGTCCACGAGGAATTACAAATTTCCTTACGAAATGTCGCGTGATAAAACCGGAATCTTCTTTCTTTTCATGTTTCGCTTCTACTTGAATCGCATTTTCTCCGGCTGTTTTAACGGTGATATCTTCTGGCGAAAAATTTTGAACGTCAAGTTTAACTTCGAATTTTTCATCGTTGTGGGTGATGCTTTCCGGTTGTTCTTTGTAATCCAATGGAAATCTTTTATGAGATTTATTTATTTCGACCATGAAGGGTTGAAGCAGTTCTTCAGTCATTCTCATGTGGTTTTCTAACATGCGAAGGGGGCGCATCATGTGAGCCATGTCGCGGAAGATCAACGGGATTAAAGACATTTTTAAATCGTTGTGTTGATGTGTTTGTTTAGGAGTTGCGACGACTTAGGATTTTTCGTTGCGAATTTGATGTTTTCGCGGTTGTGTTTGGTTTGGAACTGACGCAACCCAATCAGCTACCGCTATTTATACTACCTGTCAACATTCTAGAATGTTTCGATATGTTCCAGTGAAGTTGAGAAGAATCTAGAAATATTATGAAATTTCTCGAAGTATAATTTTTGATTAATTATAAATAACGTTTAATTTTAATGAATCAGAAATGTAAAGAATAATAAAAATAATCATAAATAAATAATTTTTTAATCAACGTGTATTTTTAAGTAAAGATAAAATTAATGCAAAAATTAAGACTTTTGTGAAATTGTTTTGATGGATAATTCTAGATTAATATTAAAGAATATCTGGGTTCTAAAATATTCTAGATTTTTTTGTATAAATCATAATAAATTAGAAAATGACGCAACCCAAATAACACGTTGTTATTCCAACAAAATCCAATAACGATTTTAATAAACATTAATGTTTGTGAAATGTTATGTGCACAAAACGAGAAAATAAAAACCTGTCTAAAGACGCAGAACAAAATCCAAAACTTTCTAGTTCTTGGTTTTGTGAAATAATAGTTGCTTACCCATGCGTGACGTCACGAACGGACCGTCAAGTTGTACACCTGTTCCCGGTATGTAGATTTTACTATCTTTAAGCAAAATTTAGAGATTTTTGATATATTGATATATTGGGAAAAGTTCACAAAGGATATGGAGTTTGATCTATATCGTGTACAAAAACGGATATAGAAAATGCTACAGTATCAAAAGAAAAGCATCAATGAGTATGTCCACCTCAACCATATCAGCAAAAAAGAATGGCTGAAATATTTTAAAGAACAGTATGAGTAAATACCATCTCAAATAAGACCGAGAAATTGAAGTAGAAATGATACCGACGTCAAAATATTCTCGGAACAAATTGGTGATTTAATTACGAATGAAATGTTAAAGCACGATTGACAGGTACTTCAAGATCGACTATTCACACTTATTAACAAAATCATAATAACAGGCAGGGTGCCCCAACAGTGGAAAAGTACTATTTACAAAATAGTATGATTTTGATAGTATGGAAATTGTATGATAATACAATAGTATTCAATAGTAATGAATATCTGAAAAGAACACTCGAAATAGCAGAAGAGCAGCAGGGATTCTGGAAGAATAGAGGCACAACGGATGCAATCTTTATTATTAAGCAGATTATAGAAAAATCAATAGAATTTAATAATCCCGCCTTTTTCTGTTTGGTCGACTTGGCCAAAGACTTGCCTAAAGCCTTTAAAGAAACAGGACGTTATTAATATATTAGAAAATGAAAATGTACCAGCACAAATAATAGACATAATAGATGATATAGACACCAACAATACTACAAAAATAAGGACTACCCAAGGCATAAGCGAAGAATTACGTGTGAACGAAGGAGCAAGACAGGGGGATTCACTAAGTCCGTTCGTGATCAACTTACTAATGAACCGTATAATAGAAGCCATCAGATCTAAACTAAGATACAAGATAGGGACCCAAAATCTTAACGAAGATGACCTACAAAGACTGGTTTATCATTTCAACATAGCAGCTAAGCAATATAATATGAAAATTTCAACGGAAATTACAAAATGTATGGTAATATCCAAAGAACCAAGACGCTGCAAACTACAAGTTGAAGACTCTATAATAGAATAAGTTATGCATGTTAAATATCTAGGTGTAGAAATTACAAAGCATCGAGATGTATATAAGGAAGCAGAAGCACAAGTTACAAGAGCGACACAAGTGGCATGCTGTCTAAGGGATACTATATGGCGGAACAAATATATACGTGTAAAAAAATATATATAAAGCCATGGTACGACCCATACTAACATATGCGTATATGCCAAAAACCCTCGGAAAACACATGAAGTCTATATATCCTCTATGGTACTCAACTAATCTAAAGCGAATGCATAACCTAAAGAAACACTACCATAAATTGTCTATACGAACCAATTACTCCTTTTATCGAGCAATGTATGTTCGTCTCCGCCGGGACTGTAAAACACATATGCGAAAGGATGACCAGGAATATGTAAGGTCCTCGGAACAGAACATGAAGAATGACACCAAAAACAGTACTGTCTCACCAAATATTCTCAAACGAGATGGTGATTTTTTTTCTGATCTAACGACTATAGTTGATATGTTCGCCGATCATTTTGAAAGTATGCATCTTCCGGCTCCAGATGTCAATGTTAATGTTGGCAATGACTGGGATGGTGTCTCTTTAGGCATCTCTGAGGTGAGTCATGATGAGATTTTGGAAACTTTTAAAAAATTTATGACAAAAACTACAACAGGTCCAGATGGTATCCCCGCATATGTAGTGAAAGACTACGCTCCTGCATTATTACAGCCTCTGCAGCATATTTTATTTTAATAATCAAGAATGCTGAATTCCCGAAGATCTGAAAGTTGAGCAGAGTTTGCCGTGTAATTATCGGCCTATATCCAATATAAATAATTTGTTCAAGCTTTTCGATCAAATTGTGACACGCATAGTCGAATTTTACCCGTATATCTGACCAGCAACCTGGGTTTTGCAAATCCACAACCACCAACCTACTCTGTTTTACTCAGTACGTATCGAATGCACTAGATTGTCGAGGGCAGGTGGATGTAATATATACTGACTTTTCACGAGCTTTTGATTGCTTGGAGCATGGTTTGTTATCCTTATGGTTGGTTATGCTTGTACTTCTAGTATCTTATGTATCCGATCGCAGACAATACGTTGAGTTAAGTGGTATGAAGTCAAGGCAAATACATGTTATTAGTGGCGTACCCCAGGGATCCATACTAGACCCTTTGCTGTTCAACATCTATATAAATGATTTTACCTACGATTTTCAATACGAATTCACTCCTGTTGTTGCAGCTCCTGTTGGTTGTAAGCAGCATTGTGAATTACTTTATGACAGACTTTATTTCTGGTATTCTGGGAACAAATTAACATTAAATACCACATGCCAGGTAATGACATACAGTCAGAAACATAACATCATACTTTTTGATTATGTGCTTGTAGTGGATCACCTGTCACGTATCTCAATCAAAGATCTTGTAGTGTGGTTTGATGGTGGTTTTTCCTTTAATGAACATATCGACAGAACATCGGCTGGTGTCCTTAAGTTGGCTACACACGTAATTGCAAACTTGACAAGTATGCATGATCAATCTTTTTGTACAAGCATGTACAATTTTCCTTCGATACCACACGATACAAGTATGCTTGAACAAGCACCAGTTTGCGCTGGGACTATGTCGAGCTCGGACGACGATGCGCTCGCACTGGCTGCTTTTTGCCTTGTCCATAAGAGGAAAACGCGGAAAAAAAAACGTGATATATGGTATAAAGAGTGGTTATTGAAGAGAAAAACCTACTTCCATATTAATTTACTGAGTGAATTAAAGATATATCCACGTGACCGGCATAATTATTAAAAATCCTTACACGTAGGGAGAAATCATCAAGCGGATTGTACAAGCAAAATGTTTGTGAAAAATTATCCTATAAACGCTAAAGCATACTTGTACAAAAAGATTGATCATGCATACTTGTCAAGTTTGCAGTTACGTGTGTAGCCACCCTTAGAACGCCAGGGTTTATCACAAGAAATAGTTTGGAGTTGACTGATTTAAAAACAATAATAGATCTTTATTTTACGTTAGTGCGTAGCAAACTTGAATATTGCTGCATAGTGTGGACCCCGTCTTATTTGAAGCACATTTCCACCATCCAGAAAGTTCAAAGAAAATTTGTTAGGTTTATCCACTATCTCGATTGTGGCTATTATTCACCTAGAGGAGAACTATGTACATCTACTACGACGTTATGGCCTCCCTCCAGAGTCTTGAGGATTGAAGAAGAGTACTGTCTGCTGGGTTTGTGCTGGATGTGACGTCGGGTGTGCTGGTTGCATCGGATGTCTTAGCTCAACTGAATATATGTGCGCGGGTTTGTAGTATCTTTATGCCGAATCGCGCTAACACGAATATAGGTCTAAATTTCCCGATATACAGACTAATGCGTGCAGGTAATTTAGTCGAGTGACACTTTTTTTTAATTTTGTTTGCTTGTCTTTTCTTTTTTTTGTTGGGATCAATTATCTGTTCATTGTAACATTATCTCTTTATATGATACTGAGACGTCAGCAAAAACAAAGAAGACTCTTGAGATCTATGTCGAATGTGACACTACAAAATAGGCAGACCAACACCTCTATCAGAGAAAGATGTAACATACAGGATGTAGTAAAATAGACAAAAGTAAGAAAGAAATGGTGGAAGAAGAATGTGGAAAGAATGGATGAGAGGAGATTGGCCAGAATATAAAGACCATAAGGACGACTGCCCAAGAGATGGGCACAGAGCTGGGTCTTCTCATCAGTGGAGTAAAGTCCAAACAGGGATACATCCCTACTAGAAAGTAGAAGAAGAAGAAGAAGTGATTTTTTTAATTAAATTTATTTTTTTAAAGTATAAATAAAAAATATTTTTTCTCTTTTCAACTAAATTCTTTAAGATTATCCTTATTTTTAACAGCTTCAACTAAACTTTTATACCTCAACATACACTCCTCCCTAGTTTTATCCGGAACGTTTTCCGAGATTCGATCCCAACGCTCCAAACAACCTTTCGGAAACTTAACTAAGGCATCTTCGAGTGCTTTCTGTTGAATCTGACTCCAATTATTTTGTGATTGTTCCACGCCTAATTTCCCGCCTTTCGTTTTTTGCTTCACTTTAATGGGCTCGCTCGGTTCTTCTTCTTGTTGATTAGGTAATCTATACGCGTTATTTTTCATTTTATTTGCCATATAAGTCACTTCTGGTACCGATCGATTTAAAGCTTCGGAAATTAATTCCCAACGATTAGAAGTTCCGCCTGGATATTTTTTAACGAGCGATATTAATTGTTCTAAATCGTCATCAGTCCATAATCCACCGGAAATTGGTGGAGGTTGAGAATCGGTGTTAGCGATATTATCGGGCGATGAATAATTAGTTGTCGTTTCAAAATTGGGCCCTTCTGGGATTTTAAAACCCGGTTTTCTTCTTCTGATTGTTTTTGATTCTAAAACTATGGTTTCCTCGGGTTGTTCTTCTTTTTGGATGATTTCTTCAACTTTTTCTATCGCTTTTTGTTTAAAATATGAATATAAGTATGTTATAAAGCTTGGAATTGATGTAATGAAATAAATGGTCCATTTTGGGATTTGAAATGGTAAGGTATCTAAAAATGATGGTTTTGGAATTTCGATTGTTGCAACTATTTTTTTTTGCTTTTTTCCTTTTACTTGATCTAAAGTTAATTTTTTTTCAAAGTAAGCTCCCCATGCTACTAAGTACTGCCCGATTGTAATAATAATAAATAATATAATCGACGTTTCTAATAAACCCATTTTACGGACGTAACGATAATAATAAACAGCGGATTTCCAATTTGGCAGTCCATTAACGAGGACTTCATCGTAATATTTTCTTTTATTCGCGTCTTTTAATACATCATATATTGCTACGACGTGTCTAAATTGTTCTGAAGTGTCCACCCCGGGGTTTTTATCTGGATGAAGTAACAACGATTGTCTCCGAAAAGCGCTTTTAATATCCGATAGAGATGCATTCTGGAAAGTTGTAAATAAGTTATTTTATGTAAACATTTATGTGGTGACTTGCTTGTGTAATGTTGAACGCTTCATAAAAATTCACTTTTACTTCTTCAACAACATCGAATACTTCCAATTGATCTGAATCAAAACCGAAAACATTGTTCACTTTGGTTGTAAATAAAAGTAAAGCAAAACAAATTTTAAGATAATACATGATTTTGGTAAGTTAATAATTGTTATTACAAGTAATTTAAGTGGTTTGGAAACGTGGATTTTCTGAGGAATGTGGTGAATTTAGATTTGACGGGAAACGTATGTGGATATAACCTCAAAATCACGCAACATAACCTTAAAAAAAATCAATCTCGTTTATTTTCTCATTTTTTTACAGTAAAACTAATCTAAACCGGGATTGTATATTGTAGCATAAGAATCCAAAAAATAAATACTTTTTAAATATGTGATAACGTTTAAAAAATAAATATAACCTCTAAATTAACTTAAAATATGAAAAAAAGTATTATTTCATTTTTGAAATAATAAAACACATTTATTGCATAAACCCGCTTTAACTCCACCATCAGGTAAAATATACGCCAAATCTGAATTGCACCTCACAGGTGAAAACATATTTAATTGTCCGTTACTATCACTCAAATCTTTTAATTTCCATATTCCGATTCTTTTTGATTTTCCCTGTTTAGCTAAAACATAACAATCGTCCTCAGTTTCAATTATACCTGATATTACAGCCCAATGAGCTTTGGTTCCATTATTTAAACAAGGCTCATCATTTTTATCAACATCATAAGGCACTAATAAACAACCTCCATCGAATAGGAAATGTTTTATATAACCACTATTTAAAGTTCCTTCAAAAACTTGTGTTCTATAGGTAGTGAATTGATTTGCAAGTTCACACATGTTATAACAACTGAACATTTCACCATTAATGGAAAATTTTCGTCGGACAGCTTCTTGATAGATTAAATTGACGGTTTCTTTGGTTGGGTTTGCTGTTAATAAAGCTAAAGCGACGATTCCACATTGAGGTCCATCTTGGATGAGAACTCCTAAAGGTTTGTACTTGAATTCTTTTGGATGGAGCAATTCCACCATTTGGAAGAGTTTACATTGTTTTTGTAAATCTGGGTAAGGTTCTAACCAAGAAAAATCCATTTCATAAAAATAATATAAACTATATTTAGATACTGATTCACATAAAAACATTAATACTAATATCTTTGTCAACCGTTTCAGAAAAGTTTTTTTAGGTTAACTAAAACTACCGGATTCTTCTATTTACTTAGACCATTTAAATTCAAAAAAAAACTAAATGGGAAGTATTAAGAAATCTCAAAATAAACCTAATTGCGCCGGCAAAGAAAACTTCGAACGTATGAATTATTTGTATCAAATTAGTAATCTTTTTGGAGTTGAACAAAACGATAATTCAAAATCGTTTTCAAGGCATTGTACAAATTTGATGATAACTATTTCAAAAAAAACTGTTTTAAGAATGTAAGATTCCAAAATTTGTATTCCTTATGTGGATTTAATTAAAAATTTGTTTTAGTGAACCAAAAATTAAAAGAACAATCTGCAAATTATGCAAAATTATTTTAATTCCAAGGAAAACTTGCAAAGTCAAGGTAACAAAAAGAAAAGTTAAATGGACTTGTAACACTTGTAAAACGTCCAAGGTGTATTTAACAAATAAAGAGTATCCTTGTTGGGTTGATAATCCTCAAAGTGTATTGGAAAAATTGGAGTATACAAATACAAAATAAATATGTGAATAAAGTTAATTCGTTTAATATACATGATTTTTATTTAAAATTGATTATATTTATTACTCTTAGTTATAAAGAAAGTAGGTATTTAGAAAAATTTACGTGAGAGATTTGTAATCTTGCAATAATTTGACTTTACTTTTTATGTATTGGCAAAGTGAGTAAAATGGAAATTAAATTAACCCGTTTATGCCCAAATTTTTTTTTTTAATTTTTGTGTTTCCAGTGTAATTTTGATGCAGTTTTTATCCTTTGGAACTGACTTCAAGAATTATTTTTAAGAAAATACTATTTTTTCGTAAATGTTCCATTAATGAAACAATGGACATGAACAGGACCATATACTTTAAATAATAAATGTATTAGAATTATACTATTATACTCCATTATCTTATGTGGAAGTGAACAAAACAGGATTCATGCAGAAGCTGGATATTTGGTAACTATCCGGTATCCGGCCGCATTTTAAAAAATGGCCGAATAGGCCGGGTATTAAAAACCTATTACTTAGTACTCCACCATTCACAGGAATGTATAAAACCCTGTATAAAATCTCTTGCAGTTTCGTCTAGTTTCCTTCTCTTCGCTTGTAATTCATCATCATATTCATTACTAACAGAACTGTCGCTGTTATCACTTTCGATTATTAATTAAAATATCCTCATTTTAATGCAAAAAGCCGTTTTGAAAAATCACTTTCAGTTCTTGAGAAATAAATTTTTGAAATAATCGACAATTTTTTCGAATTTTGCAATTTTCGCCGATTAAGTTTTAAAAATTCGTATAAAATCCACTTCTTGGAATATGATTATGAAAATTTCCCAAAGTGTTAACAAGAGTGTCCTCTTTCCAATGAACCAACACGTTTTGAAAAGTAACTTTTAGTTTTTGAGAAAACAATTGAAGTTTTGATAAAATTTTCGATGTTCCAATTTTCATCGATAATTTTCAAAATTCGCTATAAAATTTATTTCTTGAAGGATTCTTATGGAAATATCGCCAATTATTAATTAAAGTATCCTCTTTTTAAAGTTGCTTCGTTAGTTAAATCAGCATCAAAAAAGTTCATTTTGTATCTTGGATCAGCTTTCTTATTAATTTCATTTTTATTCAAATATCGCAATAATGTGACAATGTACAATGCCGGATAACCGAATATCCGGCTTTTCGCAAAATGACTATCCGTTCCATCACTAATTTATTGTATTGAGTTACTACATGAGGTTGTGCAACTGGCAATATTTTTTCTGTTTTGATATCCACCTTTCCACTCAACAATCTGGAAGCGTAGAATCATAAGTTTTGACCATCAGAATCATTCTATTATCATGCCAGCTTGTAACGGTTAGTTATTGGCAACATCTGTACAATAGTCACAGAAACCTGTCTTTCTTTTCCACCACTTTTGAATGCATTATAGGACACTTTACAATTCTATTTTATTTGATAGTTCCCGTACATCCATATCTTTTTCCTGTAAATGAGTTACTAGTTTGTTTTGGTAGGACTTTTATCAGTCTAAGTACAGTAGCCTCTCCACAACCAAATTCTGGTTCCTTTATAGTTGGTTTTCTCACTTTTTTTGTAGTTGTCTCCAAAACGAGTAGCCAAAACTAAAGCAATCCTAATCCAATGGTACTCAATCCTAAAGCAGTAACCAGAAAGTAATTTAGCTTCAAAGCAATACAAGAACAAAGCAACTGAACTACGAAGTAACCTATTCCAAAGCAAACCAACACAAATTCAAAGTAGGCCAAGCCAAAACTAATGCAATCGAATTCCATCTTCAAATAACCCAATGCTACTTCAATCGTAATAACTCAACCCCAAAGGAATTTAACCACAAAGCAATACAATTTCAAAGCAGCTGAGCAAAGTAACTCAGCAACAAAGAAAGCAAATCTTAAAACAACTTATACTCACAGCAATTCAACCCAACCCAAACAAACTCATTGTACCAGTATCTCAAGCAAGTCAACCCCAAAGCTTGCTACTCAGGCCTAAAGCAACACCAACTCAAACCCACAAAGTAACTCAACTCGAAGCTGATCCAACATCAAAAGAATGCGACTTCAAAATAACTTAACTGATTCCATTGCAATTGAAGCTTTTTACAAACAATCCAACTTCAAAAGCCAACCTAACCGCAAGTATTCCAATTAAAAACCAAGTCAAACCCAAAACCAGTCATTCTAAACCTAAAGCAATGTAATCAATCAAGAAGTTAATCCAAACTGGACTTCTAGTGGACTTGAGTTGATTTGAACCCAACCGAGCCACAAACCAAGCCAAGCGAACTTTTGCCCAATCTAACGTAAACTGAGAAGAAACTAACCTAAATTCAGCTAACCCAATTCAAAAAGAACTCATTCATTAGCTAAAACAAGTCCAAACCAAGCCAACAGAGTCATAAAGTAACTTAATGATAAAGACTAAAAGAATCCAATCTTTTAGCAACTTACCTACAAATTAATTTAATATCAAAGCAAGATAACCTTAAAGCAACACAACCAAAAAATAACCCATTTCCAACCGAACCCAATATTTGCTGTAAATGAAACTAGATACGTGGATGGGTTGCTATTTTTCATAATTTATAGTTTAATGATAACAACACCATCAATTTTTGTGGATATACGTGAAAAGTGGTGTTTATAGATTTCTTACACTTAAAAAACTTAATAAAGAATATCCTAATAATCTTTGAATCTTTATTTACATTTATTTGTTATTTATTTATTTAAAAAACATCAACTTCACATAAATCAATAAACTTCATTAAAATGACAACAACAGATACAGAAGCACTTTCAGATATTTGCACTGAACTAAAATCAAAATATGATGGTGATCCATTGTTCACCGACAAATCTCCTCCACTTTCGGAAGGAGTTATTAGGCATCGAGTTTTCATGAATCTGGTGGATACTTACAATGCAAAACACATAGCTTCGGTAAAAACGCAATTTTTTTAATTACCTTATTTTTAATTTCAAATATACTTACCAGTTTCTAACTGATCAAGTTGCTGGAAAGATTGCTGCGCCAGGTGGCGAAGGCGAAGGTGAGGAAGGTGGTGGTGGGGGTGCCGAAGAACAAGAAATTGTCGCACCAAAAGAGCTCCCTGAATTGGTAACAGGAGATAAATACGAAATTATCGGAACTTTACAGGTTCCTTTTCATAAAAAAACTGAAGATATTTTATATACAATTGAGGAAAATAATGAAGACTTTTATACAGAAATTATGAGATGTAGAACTATTATATACAATATAGGAGAAAATGGAAACGAAATACCGAAAGCTCTTGAAACTTTACAAAGTAAGATTAAAATTTTGATTATAAAAGCACACGTTTACTTTTTTTCTTAGAAATTGTTGATGAAATCGAAAAAGTTGAAGATATTGGCCCAAAAACCTTTAAAGCTTACTCAGAATTAAGAGTTTTTGTGCTAATATCAACCGTTATGACTTGGGGCAACACAAAACCCATTGATCCGGAGGATCCGGAAACGCCATTTAATGAGAGTGATTTTAAAAAACGGAAACCACATCCGAATTATTTAGAGCATATAGGTTGTGAGCGAGAAGTAGTACTTCAAGGAAGAAAAGTTGGATTTTCACATTGTTTTTATAAATATAACTATTTTAATTTTTTTTAGTTTCCAGCTAAATTAAAAACTTATGTTATTTGTTGTGGAGTGATTTACGGAGAACAAGAAGAAGATTTAAGTTTTTTCTTTAAATTAGCTTTTTATAATGAAGAATATATGCCGATCCTTTTACCCGGCAATAATCGTATCCCACTTATTCATATTGCAGATCTTTCAAAGTTATTATTTTTAATCTTAAAATTTTACAAAACATTTACATTATCTTTTTAGAATAGTACATGGTATTATTGAACTGATACCAAAAAAACAATTTATTTTAGCAGTTGAACAAACTCCTTGTACATTAAAACAAATTATAAAAGCTTTATCTCAAACTATGGGCACTGGAAAAGTTAAAGAAATCCCTAAAGAAGATGCGTTTTTATACGCAGATTTTACGGTTTCATTTGATTTCAGTTTTTGTACGCTTTTTAAACAATCTTTTTTAGCAAGATATGTTCGATAAATTTACAGTTAATTTAACTATGGAGCCAGGTTTCATAGCCGAAGATATGGAATTAGAATGGAAAAACGAAATGAATTTAGCCGAAAATATGGCTGCGATTGTAAACGAGTATAAAACATCGCGCAAATTAGTTCCAATTAAAATCTTGATTCATGGACCACCGGCCGTTGGAAAAACAACTTTAGCTGAAAAATTATCAGAAAAATACAACGTAGTTCATTTAACTGCAAAAAAAGTCATTGATATGACTCTCAAAGATCTGGTAATTTAATTTAAAGTTTAGACCGAATTCGAGCAAAACTTATAATTTGCAGAGAGATAAAATCACCGATGAAAAAGAGAGAATAAAAAAGAAAGAAGAAGAGGCGGCTGCCAAAGGCGGGGGGGAAGGCGGAGATGAAGACGCCGAAGACGCCGGAGAAGAACAAGAAGAGGAGGAAGGTGAAGAGGTTGATCTTGAAGCAATTCAAGATCAAATACGTGAAATTGAAACTGCTTTAAATGGAACTGAAAATGGAAGGTTACCAGATGATATGTTAATTGGTCTTGTTAAAGCACAATTAAAATCAAATAGATGTTCAAATCAAGGTTATGTTTTGGATGGATTTCCAAAAACTATGGAACAAGTATTTTTTTTTGTTATATAGGGTCTTCCAAGTAGAGGTTTTATTTTAAATTAATTTAATAACTCTTATGTTGTCCTTGAGCACTTGAATCATTGTTGGAGCGTTGGCGTAGATCTTTAAGATAGCCCCAACGAAAGACGTCCAATGGTGTTAAATCGCACTATCTCGACGGCCAATTGATGTCTCGATTTCAAGAAGTTTGTCCAGGAAATTTGTCACGCAATAGAGTAATCGTTACACAAGCAGTGTGGCATATCCTGCTAAAAATAAACGTCGTTTATATCCATAGCATCAATTTCGGGCAAAAAAATCAATCAGCATCATTTTCAAAAAAATAAGGTCAAATTGTTATTCGTTGTTGATAAAGTGCTTTCTCGACCAGTTGTCTTGGATGTTCGGAGCCCTCAATTTGCCAATTTCCCCAAAGCTCCTGATGAGGATTCTATAACTTCAAAAATGCTGATTCATATCAACAAGTTGAGAAGGCCAGTTTCCGAAAAGGTTTCAGTACTATCGCACTAATAGAAAAAATTACAGAATAAAATGTCCTTTTACAATTGGCATTCATCGATTATCACAAAGCCTTTGATAGTATTGAGGCCTGGTCATTTCTGGCAGCATTAGAAAATGCTAGAATAGATTACGATACACCGCCATCATCAAAAATATAGATGAGGACACAAAAACAGAGAAAATTCCTCATGGTAAAGGCTTGACTCTATGTCGCCCAAGTTCACCTTGGCTTTGGAAAATGTATTTAAGTAATTGGATTGGGAAAATATGATTCTGAATGTGGATGGTGTACACTTGAATCATTTAAGGTTCGCAGACGATTTGGTACTGGTCAGTTCAGACATAGAGGAACTGGAATAATGCAAGATCTAAACGAACACTCAAAGAAAATTGGTTTAAATATGAATTTGCATAAAACCAGAATAATGAGTCAATGGCAAAATGACTCCTTAGAACATGTAAGTCAGTACACATATATTTTGGTCACACTATTGACATTGGTAAAGAAAGCGAAAGATACAACTATCAAGGGCTGCATTAATAATACTCAGTTTTAGACTGAAAAAGAAAGAAATTCTGAGAAGCCTAAAATCTTGGCCTTGACAAGGAAAATTGCAGAACAACTTAGTGCAACCCAAAGAGCGATGGAATGCTCGTTCCATCACCATGTCCTCAATGTCTAACAGTGTATGAATACAGGCTGAGGAAGAAGAAGAAATCTGTCAATTTTGCTTGTTGACATAACCAAGCAGATGAAAATGGGCCTCAATACTCAGAATAATTTTGTTCACAAAATTGTGATTGTGTTCGTGCATTGCGAGCACCCAATCAGTGAATGTGCTGACTTTGGACAAGATCTTTCTGTAAAATTAATGTAAAAAATTGATAAATCCAATTCCTTTGGACATCTTGAAATGGACAAATCTGGGTTTTCATACATACTAAGCTACGCCGACAATATTTTAATGGATTAATGGAAGATGATGATCAGAAGCAGTACAAACATTACGAGCTATCTCAGCGAAATTCTTTCAAAGTGAATTTCCGTTATTTCAATACGTTGTGAGCGTATCTCGATCTATTTCTCATAACTTCACAATTTTTACTTGTAAAATTTAATATCACTGGCTGTTTTATTTTATCCTCTTGTTGGAAGACCCTTTATTACCTTCAAAATTAATAAAATATTTCTTTTAGACCAAATCATTATTTGGTGGGGGTGGTGGAGATGGTGGTGGTGGTGAAGAAGAAGAAGCAGAAGAAGAGGATGAAGAAGGTGGTGGTGGAGGTGGACCAAAACCCACAATTCTCCCCGATTTTGTGATAACCCTTTACGCAACTGATGAATTTCTTTGTAATCGAATAATGCAACTTCCTGAAAGAGATATTCAAGATACCCATTACACCGAAGAGGGGATGTTAAGAAGATTAACTGATTTTCACGCTAATAACACCGAGGATAACACAATGTTAAATTATTTTGATGAAATCGAAATTCATCCGTTAGTTGTTGACGCGATGAAAGAACCGGAATTAAACTTAGAGGGGGAAGTTGAACCGATTCCGACGGAAATTTTAGCAAAACTCGGTCCGCCGATTAAATTCGAACCAACATTGCAAGAAGAAATATTAATAAATGAATGTGTTGAAAAAGAAAGGCAACTGAAAGAGGAAGAAGAAAGATTAAAGAAAGAATTGGTCGAGCAACATGCGTATGAAGAGTATCAGAATAAAATGGAGGAGTGGACGAGTTCCATGGAAAAAATACAATTAGAAGAAGAAAGATTGATTGTAGCTCAATGTGAACCGTTAAGAAATTATTTGGTAAAATTTGTTTTTCCGACGTTAACAAGAGGATTAATGGAATTAGCCAAATTGAAGCCATACGATCCTGTTGATTTCTTAGCGGAATATTTATTTAAAGAAAATCCCGAAGGGCATATGTTTGACCCTTCTTATACAAGAGAAGGTGAAGCTTTGGATGAAGTTAAAGAATCTCTATCTACTACTGATTCCAAAAGTACCACAGCGACAAATCAACAATAGTTTTGATATCTTTATTAAAAAATATGATTGTAATAAAAAGTGAATAAAAATATTTGATAAATTTAATTTTATTAATTTTTGCTAAAAACCAGTCTGTGATTCTAAGCTTAGGAATATTATTTTAAAAACCTACTTATATTTAATGCACATAGCCGCTCGTAAAGATAATAGTAACAAAAAATTATAAAATTTAGCTATTTACATCAATTTTTTTTATTTAACAATAAAAAAAATTCAAATATCACCCATACTTTACTCAACTTTCCAATAAAAACGCTTGCGTTTCCATCGGACACAATTCAATCTCACCACTTTTTCTAAATTCACCTAATCTTTTCATAAACGACAAAGTTGTTTTTTCAATTTGTTTGTATTCATCGATTGGGAACAAATTTTGTAATCGAATTGTACCATTACTTAAAGGAAAACGTTCTAATTGAACCCCATTACTATAACACAAATCAAGCATCGTTCTGTGTAAAACCAAACCGACCAAGTCAACATATCCAACATCTTTTAATCCCGTCCGAACAATTGGAACGGAAATATCAACACCAAACCCAACAAATTGATTTAAAATGTCATTTTGATTTTCTGGGATATAACTAAAATGTTGATTTGACTCCAAATCATCAATATCATCAAATTTTAACATTCGAATTAAAGGATTTAATAAGGTTTCTAGAGCAACGTAAGAAGCTAAAGTACGAAAACCTGATGGATGTCCATCAATAGTCGTTTGACAATTCGGATTATTAATTGGCTCTAAAACGATTCGAAACGTTTGTCGAATCACTCGATTATCTAAAACACCTTGCCCAAGACCTAAATTATCATCTTGATTTAATCTCCTATCCAACATCACTTCAATCATTCCTTCTTTAAGAGATGATCCACCAAGTGGGGTTGATGATAAAAGAGTTAACCTTGAATATTTATCTTCTATAAATAATGTTGTTGGAACTGGGTAATAATTCGCTTGAAGTGGGAGCTTTTTAAAACGTTTTCTTCTAATAATCTATAAATTGAGTAAATAAAAATAACCTTATTTTGATCACGTTTAAATTCTTACTTCATGTCCGTTAAGATCAGTAAAGAAATCATCCCCGTTTTTAATGTTTGTTGATAATCTCATTGCCAACTCGAAATTGTTCGTTGATTTTATGTTAACAGTGTTGTGGATTTCTAAACCAATACCATCAGCACCTAAAAATTAATTTTACATTTAGATTAACAAAAATAGTTGTTTATTAAACAAGGGAAAAAAGTATTAGCTAAAATCTAATATTTTTCCCGTGTATAATACACTATTTTTTTCTGTGACGGGAAAAACGACGATTTAATATTGAAAAAACATATTATTACAATACAGGTGAATCACATTCATGAAATACGTGCCTTTAATTATTCGTTTTTTTTTTGAAACGGCCAGGTTTTTTTAAAAGTTACCAGGATTAGGAAACTTTTTGGATTTAATTTCCCCTTAAATTGGGTTATTACCTTTTATTTTGGCCAAAGGTTTAAAAAGTTTTTTCAAATTTTGGGGGATTATTCATTTTTTTGAATTGCTTCATTTATTTTCACTTTGTTCCCATTTATTATTATTTTTGTTTTCTTTTCTCCGGAGGTTTTTGATTTTTTTAAACTTTTAGGCCGGACTTTTGAGGTTTTTACTTGGGTTCTTGAGGATTCTTCTTTGTTTTGGAGTTAGTTTGGTTTAATTCTTTTCATTTTTTTGCCTTTTCCTTTTTCTTGTTCGTTTTTTTTGTAATTCCCCTTTTTTAAGGTTATTAAGTTTTTTGATTTTTTGGCGTTGTTGAATTACCCCCGGTTTTGGGCCCAGTTGCTTCACCTTTAGTTTTTGGCCCGTTCTTTTCCAAAGTTTTTTTCCTTTGGCATTCATTCCAAATTAATTTTTAATTTTGGAAAAATTTCCTTGGCTTTTTATTAAAAAACCAAACAATTTCTGGAATTCCGTCTCATAGGCATGTGTTTAAATGATTTCTAGAGAATTAAATTCCCTTTCAGGTAGGCTAAAAAAATATGGGGAGTTCCATTTAAAATTTTCGACTTTCTTACCATTGAATAAGAAGAAACGGTAATTCAATTTTTGACCAACCTGTATACTTGTACTTTAATACAACAAATGACAATCTATTTGACATCTGAAGAGTAATCGTGCCAATTTAGAACATTTTTGAATAAACATTGGCTGAGATATGGGGTTTTAAAAAGCATAGTGTAATTTGCCAAAAAAAAAACTTAAAATCAAAAGTAACTTGAAAACGAAAAATGCTAGGTACCAATAACTTTTATCAAAATCAACTTATTTTTTCGCATATAATTAAAAGGTGTAATAAAAACTGTACAATTCCATTTAAAATAACGAAGGTGTGGTCTACTTCCGGTAGACTGAAAGTGGCCATCTTGAAACTATCTTATAATTAGATCGAAAGTTTCGAATGAACAACCCATGTTACCAAAATTTCAAACCTCAATAAAAAAAGTTTAACGAACCAGTTACGTAAGACACCTGTATGCAGGGTGCGTCAAATGTCTGGAATATAGCCAATAACTTCGCCATTTGTGGTTTTAAAGAAAAATGTTTCAAATACAAGATCCTTATTAATCATGGTGCATTTTTTGGCGATATTTACTTGTTTATATTGTTTTTTGTTTCGTTGCTATGGCAACCAACATTGCTATTTTAAATGGGATGCATATATTTTTTTTGCATACTTTGATACATACATAGTTCATCTATGCGATGAACATATCAAATCATATGGTTGTATAAGAAAAAAATCGAGCGTTTTTTGAAAATCTTAAATCAGCAATTACAAGCAAAGTAGGCGCCGAAATAACGCAGTTGACAGCTTTAAATGTCAAAAAAATTACAGTTGCAACAATTATCAATAATTAGACATAGAGGAACTTATCCTCTATAAAAGTATGCAAAAAAAATAGATGTAATTCCATTTAAAATAACAATGTTGGTTGCCGTAGCAACGAAACAAAGAACAATGTAAACAAGCAAGTATAGTCAAAAAATGCGCCACAATTAACAAAGAATTTTTTATTTGAAACATTTCTCTTTAAAACCACAAATGGCGGAGTTATTGGCTATATTCCAGATATTTGACACACCCTGTATATCCGAGAGAAAAGTACTCAGTACTCGCCGGTTGTACAATATACCGATAAATCTACCTGATAACTATCCGGCCGACAACCTTATCGGGAGGATAAAGATTAAGATAGGATTGCTATCGGTGAAATAAGAGTTGGTTGGTGGCACTTTTTCCCCATATCTAGTAATTTGTGCCGTAGGTTGGTAACGTCTTTCTTTAAAATTTGAATCATTTTGACAATAACAATAGACAACCTAAGCCTTGACGTCACACAGATGGGCGGAGCTTATACTGACTCCCAACATTTTCGTTGCTAACGGTAAATCACCATATGCAATTTTCCATTAGTGTTAAAATAAAATAAACTAAATGATGACATTTCAAATGACGTTTTTTGGCGATTTATCTTAGCAACTGTGGTTAGCAACGAAATTGTTTGGAGTCAGTATAAGCTCCGCCCACCTCTATGACGTCATACTTAGGCAGGCTATTGTTTAAAACAATTTTTCATGACACACAACTGCACACAACTGACACAACGTAAGTATAGAATTAACGGTTAATATTATAGGTTAACCTATGCAGTAACCATACAAAGTTTTTACGACGAATGTCACTTAAGATGCAATATACAAAAATACATATATTTCCATAGAAACCAGGACGTACCTACTTACTCTTAACCTTTTTCCAAGCAAAACTGTTTCTTTGCAAAACTACCCAATGCCTGTACTATTAAGCTATGTTGCATTTTATGTGGGACAGTGCAAATGTATAGCAGTTTCGTAATTATGGTTACTGCATTCATATATTACGAGTTATATGAAATTCTCGGTATATAAAAACCTTGGTAACCATATATATCTGGCGGATAACTGTCTTATCGGCACCGCTGAGTACCCGATAAGTTATCCTGCCGATAATCTCACCGACAAAAATATCCGTACATTGTAATACAGAACAAACTAACTTATCAGCCAGATAACGTTGTCCGCAGTAATTTCATAAAAAGTGACATTTTGTTACCTGTCAACTGTCAACAGAGATAAAAAATCAAACGTTGTTCCCGTCACAGAAAAGAAATTAATTTTTGTTATTACCTTCAGAATTAAACAAGTACACAGCATGATCAACAAACGGAACTTGAACTCTCACTGAAGACAAAATAGGACCTTCAACAATTCTTATTAACGTTGCCTCAACTTTTATAGGAACTGCTTCCTTATCAGGTAAAAATAAGTATGCTCCACTCCTTTCTGGTCTTTTAATCGCCCCATATGATGCGAAATCCAAATGAACGGGATACGTTTTTTCTTTAACTTTAATCGCTTTTAATAAACCTAAATTGTTAAAACTTGCTAAAATTTGTTCATTTTTAATCGTAAATTCTCTTGAATTTTTTATCGACTCAATTTTTCCAAAGATGTTATTTTCTTCGTCATCATCAAGATTTGAATTTAATAAAGTGATTTTAGCAAAATTTGTTTCTGGGGGAACATTAATTTGATCAACTACGGTTATGGTGTAGCCAAGAAGTGATATAGGCGGTATTTCGACGCTAAATGATATTAAATATTTTGTTGTTGAAATCGTTGATGAATATTCAAAAATTGGTGAAATTTGACATTCGACGATTTCATTTCTATGATTAGTTAATTGAATATATGGCGTTGAAACGATAAATGTAACAATTTCTTTTCTTGAAAAAGTTAATGAGTTATATAAAACAATCCTTTTTGTTCTTAATTCTTTTCCTATTGTAATTGTATATTGTTCAGGAAGATTTTCAAGAGATGTTCTTATATCATCAATATTAAAATAAGTTAATTGAGTATTTAAATTGTCAATATTTTCTTTGGATAACAAAATTTTTGTGCAAATTTGTAAAATCATTTGACAATTTTGAATCGCCTCCAGCATTCTTATTCCATAATCTTCCATTACGTAATCTTTCGCGGTTCCAGTTATGCCATCGTGATGTTGAAATAATCCTAGAGATTGCCGAGAATTCGTTAAATAGTTTTCAACAAAATCATAGTTAATCAATTTATTTTTTAACATCGCAATGAAAGATAAAGTTTCTGCTGCTTTAATATAACCTATTAAAACTCGATCTAAACGTTTATAAAGTGGCCTCGATGTATAATATCCACTCCAATAATGATCATCACGATCTGCGTAAGTGAAAAAGTCGCCAGATAAACTTGGAAAAATTGAATCATCATTCTCTTCATGTAAACCATTAAAATAATCATTTAAAGTTCCGAATTTTACGTGAGCATTTAAATGAACTTTAGAATTAATATAATCAAAAAGGTGTTGATAATTTTTAAATTGAACATCCCACTCATTTCTTTGTGTGTATCGAAAATCATCACCTAAAGGTATTAATAAAACGTTTGTTTTATACAAAGTCGATTTTTTTCGATATTGATCTAATAACTTAATTGCTTTTTCCTCAACATTTCGATCATTAATTTCTTCTGGGGGTACTTTCCACGGACAATGTAACCCAAATCCAGGTAAACGTTTGAAATCAAATTGACAACATATTTTTGGATCTGGGCCACATGTGTGTGGGATATCGTAAGAATAAAATGGCATCATATGAGTGAACATATCTGTAACACCATTTCCATCCCATAATTGCCTCCAAAAAAATTCTAGTTGTTTTTTACTTGATAATTCTTTTTTAATTGAATAATGTACTCGTTGGATTAACATATTTTTTAACCCCATTTCTTTTAAAAAGACAGCTTGTGTTGGACTCATCCCAAAGGGATCAATTGCCCAACCATTTAAGGGGGTGTAATTTAAATTCTTTTTTAACCACAAATGACCCTCTGTTAATTGGTGTAATGTTGCTATCCAATGGGAATTTGCTTCATCATTCATCACCCATCCTCCTGTTACAATTTCTAATTGTCCTTTATGTAATAAACTGAAAGAAATATTTTGAGGATATAATATAAGGATATACAGAGTGTCTCACGTAACTTTTTAAGGTTCTAACAAACCGGCTACATGAGACACCAATTTTTTTTTAATTACTTTTTCACAATCTTTCTTGATTCTTGGTCCAATTCACTCCACCACATTGCAAAAAATGATATTTCTGCCCAAATAAATTTCCTCCTAGAATCCTCTTGTAACTTATCAACCATATTATCCAAAATGTGCTTTGTTTCCGTTTCATAATACTCATCAAACGTTTTTACCCAGCCAGGATCATTATGCGAATGTGGAACGACAAACACTTTTAATTTATGATGAGCATTCCACATTTTATCATCAACTTCAATTTTCCAACCTTGTTTCCATACACCTCCATCAGGATTGTCAAATTTTAAATCATTATAAACATCCAACATTTGAATTGTTGATTGAGGAATGTAATCAACTAATATTGGACATGTTAATGGGTAAATCATGTGTGATATAGATGAGTTATGATGTTTTTTCCGTGGAATTGGCGGTTTTGGACGAATTGGAGTTGCAATATTAATTTCTTGGTGGTCGTTTATTCGGACCCATTCGTTCTAAGTAAAAAAATATAAATTAATAATTCACTAATGATAAAAAAAAGTAACATACCGCCTTAAAATCTTGTTCAGCCATGTATTCATCAGCAACAGATAATTTTTTGGACAACAATAGCAACGCGAAAATACTTAGAATGCATGCAGCACCAAAAAAAGCGAAAATTATCTTCAGTTTCATTTTTGAATACGTATAAATAGTTAAAATAACTTGAAACTCTTTTTTCTCCTTCAAATCTGCATATTTTTATCGGTCTTTTTGACAACTGTCAACGTCAAATTATGTTCATAGACGCATTTTAAAGTTCGGTATATACTAGTCATTGGGAAGATTTAGAAAAGGATAGCTTTATATAAATTACTTGTAACAAAGAGAGATGAAAATTTACTCAAAAAAGAATTAGTACATTTTATTCATAAGAAAATGTTTTAAGCATCTTAAACATAAATATCTTATAAAATAGTCTGTTTTAAACTTTTAAAAGTATAAATAACTTTAACTATTAGATTTTTTGCCGATTTTGTTATTAGATGTTAATTTGGTTGCCTACCATAATTTGAATATTTAATATTAATTCTTTGATATATCTATATCATAATTGTAAATAAAATTGATAACGTGCAGTAATTTTTAAATATTTCTAAGCATAATTCAATAACTAAGGTTACATCTCTTCCTATAGCGTTTATGCGATTCGGCTAAAATTAAGTTTTAGGGATGAATACTAAAAATTTTCAAATTGTAGTATATGTCACACATACGCAGTAAAATCTGGAAAGTTTTAGACGATTTAAGACTCTATGGAGTTGAAAATAAGAAGGTATTAGAATTCTAGATATTAGATGATATTGAGTTATCAGAGAAATATCTTTCTGTAGGCTATTAGCATTGACTATTTTATACCAGACTGCTAACCGCTACGTAAAAATTGGTAACGCCTAAAGTGTTATTTTTGGATTTGTCCGCTATGGGGGCGCTGGTGGATTTTATAATAATAATGGATATGATTAAGAGATGGCAGCACTATTTTTGATTTATATTCCCCCTCTTATATTTTCTTGTACTAATAATAAAAATTGTTTAATATTTCTTTTTTAATTAATAAATAAAATTTTATTGTATGAAAACATTATAGGTTTTCCGTAAAAACTGGTTGTTTCTACCAGTTTATTTTCATTAAAAAAAAATATTAATTTTTAGAGAAATTTTTTCAATACTTTGAACAATTTTAAGAGTTGTTCTATCTGGTTTTAAGTTAAGTACTTGGTTAAATCCCGAGATAACTGACAGGTTGTTTCCACCAGTTTCTACGGAAAAAGATGGTAAAGGCGGGCTTTACGTCGCAGGCCGAGTTTATTTTAGTTTATTTGCTTTACATATCTATAATTATTATTTAAAACTAGTTATTAAACCTAAAATTATTGGTCTTTAATTGCAAACAAGCTTTATCTTTTATTAATATTTTGAAATAATATAGTAATTAGACAAGGGGTTAAAAGGCACGGAAACAAAATATATTAAAAGGTCGAACTTGAGCGGAGAGTAGAGGATTTCCATTCAAGTCCATCCTAAATAAAATATTGAAACATTTATTAGAGTACTTGAGGTAGAGGTACTTCAGATAGAGATACTTGAGGCAGTGATAGAGGTACTTGAGATAGAGATAGAGATACTTGAGGTAGGGGTACTTGGCTAGAGATACTTCAATGAAGTGGCGAACCAGTTCGCGTATCGTGTAGATCTAGCTTTATACAAGCATATGTTGTTTCTTCTAAGAAGCAAACCTTTCGGAAGAAGAACGCATCCCTGGAAGAGCTAGAGGTCGAGCTAGAGAGATAAAGATAAATAAATAAATAAACAAACAAAGATAAAATTATTCTTAATTTTTAAAATGTTATTTTCTTTGAAAAAAGTTAATGTCTTTTTTATGTATGACTCTTTATCCAACTCAACGAGGCCTGCATTTTTGTCTCCCATGGTAACAATACGATTTTCTATTTTAATATTATGTTTCAAATTTTTAATGCGAAGAATTAATTTAGTATGGAAAGATTTTATGTTGACGTTCTTATTCCCACTCGTTTTCCCTCACTCTTTCACCTTTATCATCTGGCGAACGTTCCTTATGACCTTCAGTCCAATTTCATCCCTCATCATGTTGACTCAAGTTATTTAATTTTAAAGGAAATTTTAACGTGTTAATTGTAAGTTTAAAAATTTTCTTTCTTTTTTGATTTCTTATATTTAGTTATTATGGTTCTTTCTCTACAGGTTTGGTAATTTGTTTTGTCGTTAATTTTTAACATTTATTTTTAAACACTTTGAAAAACGAGATTTACGATGAATAGAAAAACGCCATTTTAATTTTTTGGATTTTTCAATTTACTCTTCAAGTTTTTTTACATTTGAATTTTTCGTAAACGGAATCTTTTTGAAGAAATACTCTGAAACAATACTCTCTTCACTCTCGATGCTCCTACACCGACGGTAATTATATATATTTTTTATCTGTGTTTTTGTTATATCTGAATGTTCCTTAGTCCTGCCTGAAGATAATCGTTCGAAATGTTCGAAGATAGCACCGAAATAAAATATTTTCATCGTTTATACGACTTTTAATTTTTTTTAGCAGCAAAAAACCATACAACTTACCTGGAAAAATCCACCAAATCGATAATAGAGGCATCTTCAATAGTCCCCGAGATCAAGAAAACCTTAATCCCTCGGGAAAAATCAAGCAGGTGCCCCAAACTCTATGGTCTGCCCAAAATCCCCTCCCTCAGGAAGGCTGTTCCGGATCGGGGACCATGTAGGATCGTTTTCCAAGTGGCTGATAAGTGCAGGGCGTCATCTCTCTTGTTGAAGGTACCGTTCTTCTCTATTTCGATGGACTCGCGGATGAGTCTGGTGCTCCAATGTGGAACGTTGGCTATTTCCATATCTGAAGCTGCTAGTTTTCCATATATACATATACATAGAATAATCATGCAAAATAATTTGATATTAAAATAGTATTATTTAAGTGTTTGCCTAACCTATCCTTTGATATGGACTCCCTCAGCTGATAGAATGAGAGTCATTCGACTTGCGCATACTACATATCAATCCTATTATTCCACGTGGAAAATAANTGCCAAGCACACCCACTGGGGATCAAGGCTTATCACAACTAAGGGAAGAGAACTCAAGGAATATATCAGTGAACTACATGCTAGTAGAAGAGGCATGGAATATAAATTCTGACCATTCTCCCATCCTACTTCTATTGTTAATAGACAACCTGATTGGTTTGATTGATTTCCAACTCATCTTAGAAAACAAGATTAACCTCGCAGTTAGACATAAATCCAAAGAACAGCTTGATAAGGAAATCGAGTTACTGGTTAACTGTATCCAACAGGCAGCATGGGACAGTACCCCTAATCCTAAGGACATAAGAGATCTAAGCTCCTGCAGATAAAACTAGACTGAATAATGCCACTCAACAGTTGGAAAGGGTTATCAAGAATAATGCTCTAAACGAGCAAAAAGGAAATAGCTTTGCAGAACACCTAGCAAACACATTTAAAACCAACGCAGGAGAATAGCAGTTAGAACTGATAATACAAAATCAGGACACTGTAGAAATAACCTTCACTACTCCAAAGGAGATATCCACTGTAATCAAAGAAAATATCGACTCGAAGAAAGGTCCTAGTTTTGACCTAATTACATGCGAAATTTTAACACATTTACCAAGCAAAATGCAGCCTTCAGACTCAAGTATGTGCTTACCCTGTGGAATGTTGCTGAGGTCATAATGATCCCTAAGCTGGGGAAACCACCAAACGAAGTTTCGTCATACAGACTAATATCGCTATTACCAGTGATATTAAAATTAGTTGAGAAGATACACATCAGTTTTGATTCAGAGAGGACACTCCACTGTAGTCTATGTACTGATTTAGGCCCAGTTTATTCATCTTTGGTTAAATTTAACTATCGGATATTTACCATAGTTACTGCTCAAATAGCCAATCATGGCAAGTGAAATTACAGCAATCATGGAAAATATCCAGTAGTTAAATGTAACCAAAGGTGAATAAACTGGGTCTTACTGTAAGGAAGGTCTGTTCTTCTGTCTTTTTGGATATGGCTGAGACATTTGATAAAGTTTGGCATGAAGGACTCAAATACACACTGACAAATTCTTACCCAAACAGTATGCAAAACTGTTAGATTCGTTTATATCAGAAGGAGTCTTTAGAATAAAGTAAGAAGAAAATAGTTCAATCTGAATTAGTTCAGATTTAAAAGAATGCAGGCGTGCCACAAGGAAGTGTACTTGGACCAGTCCTGTACCTCTTGTACACTAGTGACAACCCTAAATTAGAAAACGATACTATTGCTACTTTTGCTGATGACACGGTCATCCTGGCCATTGGCATTCATCATGAAAAAGCAGCAAATATACTATAGACATCAATTTATTAAAATTAATGAGTGGACCAAAAAATGGAGAATTACCTTAAATAAGAATAAATCGGTACATGTTAATTTTACAAACAAAAAGGAGCAATATATACCAATCAGAGTAGATGATAAACACCATATGCGAACACAGCTAAATATCTGAGATTAACCTTGGATGCAAAACTTCGCTGGAAAGCTGATATCAAAAACAAACGGGAAGAGCTTGGAATCAGATATAAAAAAATTTATCGGATGTTGGGGAGGAAATCGACTCTGTCAACATATAATAAATTACTTATGTATAAACAGATCCTGAAACTGATATGGACCTATGGGGATGTGCCAGCGAAAGCAACACCCAAATCATCCAGAAATTCCAGAATAATGTGTTAAGGAACATCGTTGATGCACCCTGGTACTTTTGAAGCAATGACATCCACCTGTACCTGGGGATGGACACTGTCAGCCAGACGAAAATTTTAAATGGAACATCCCATATTTGACTAGCTTATCAGATAGAGAATTTAATTCACTACAAATCTTCAGTGTTGTCCCTATACCTATCAGTTAGAGTTTTTAAGATTTTGTAGAATTAATCAAAATTATGCAAAGAATGGCAGATTTTGTTCATTTTTTCATTAGTAGGACATGAAATAAGACCATGAAAATACGTAATTAAGCATTAATAATGATTTAAACAAGAAAATGATAAATAATTCTCAACCAAACTTTATTTATCAGTGTTCAAATATGTAAGTAGTCGTTATTAGAGTATATGCGATAAGATAATTTATAATAATTAGTATTGTAGCATCTATGTTCGAATATATGCCTTAAATATTGTATTTTTTCTTTAATTTATTTAAATAGATTATGTTTATTTATTTCTTTCATAATTTGTTTCAATAGTTGATCCCACGGTTAGGCACGGAGGCCCTAGTGTTTGCTTTACATAACTTTTATTTTAATTTTAAAATTTTTTTCTTTAATAGATGCTTGCGCCAATTCACGCCATCAAATCACTAAACAAGATACACTAAAAGACATTTCCACATTTAAAGATTGGTATTATTTCCTTCAGTAAAATGTTTATTAGTGTTTATTAGTTTATTACCTACTTCATTTTAGTGCGTTTTTAAGATTCTTTCTAAGGAGAATTTTAAATAGTAACGATTGTATCTAAGTAACACCAATGCACTTTATGTATTAATTGTTAGCTATCGACCCTTAAACATTAAACCCTTGAGCAAAGTGAAAGCATTTTATTCCTCGGATAATGAGAGAGATGAAGAAAAGTTTTTCAGATGCTATTTCTTTGATGTCATTTAGATACAGTGTATATATATATACCATATATTGCCATGAAACAAATAGTTGAATGTGTTACTTACAGCAAATGGTTTGTATCTTCTGGAAAAATGATAAGTCATCATTTTTCATTCGTAGGCATATGCAGATGATTGCAGGTGGTGGTGGCAACAGAGGCTAAAAAGTTGAAAAGGACCATGAGATCGATGGAAAAATACTTTGGAAGAAGACGGCAAAGTGAGAAGTGGCGATGTTTTTTACTAACGGTAACGGGGTGAGGGGTCATATTAGGCAGAAAGTTAGAAAGGCATGTAGATTATTAGGACTGATATAGAGTCGGGGGAAACCAATATTTGGAAAAAATTGATGCAGACGGAAAATAATGTTTGATGGATTGGTGGATAATGTATGGAGCGGAAATACATATAGAGGGGTGGAAGAAATACAAGATTGTAGAAAAGATCCAGGAAAGATATTGGAAGTGAGAGAGGAGTTGAAGCTGGACAAGATGAGGCTGGAAGCAGGCAGAAGGGCGATAAAGTACAAAGATGGGAAAGCAAAATCGAATTTTCAACCAATAAAATACTTTGTCATTAGTCATTATAAACAAGAAAGTAAAAATAACTAAATATTTAATAGGAGTCTAACGAAACAAATTTATTTCATTATCCATGGCAACACACTAAAAGCATAATAAAAGTTTGATCAATTCAAATCCTAAATCTACCAAAACTCAACCTAAACAAATAAAATATTTGTCCGTTAAATTTTTCTTATATTAGAAAACCCAGCAAATTTTGATAAAAATATGGATAACATATTAATGGCAAGTGAAATAGACTTTTACATTGACACTATGAAACCAACAAATCTTGACGAAATAGGAACCAAACCGTAATAACAATTTATTAAAAAACATTTAAAACAAATCTGATTTATTTTTAATCGTTAAGGTTCTTGGATTGGCATCAACGTCTACAAAAAATAAACCAACAAGCAGTAATAGAAGCGTCATCATTAAAAGAAGAATATGTTAAAGAAGTTTTGGTTTCAATGCAAAAGGTAAATTATTTATTAAATCAAATTAACCATCTAATTATAAATTTTAGGTAAACGTTCTTGTCCATGAAGCCGTTTTAATAAGCGTATGGAAAACAAAAATTCTTCCACTACTTTTATGTTTAAATCCACAACCAGAAAACACTTTTCTTGCTTATACGATTTTATTTCACGAAGCAGTTAGCGTGGCTCTTATCGAACTCACAATGTTCCATCCAAGCACACCGGAAAGCTTAGGAGATATCGCAGCTGATTTACTTAGTTATGCCTACGATTCAGTAGCTCAACTTCTTGTAATCGATCACAATGATGATTTACCACATGAAAAAGCTGAAATTGAATTGAGAAGACAGCAAGATGATTTAGCTTTTGGTATAGGAATACGTTGCTTGAGTATTTTAAGATATATTGCTGAACATTCAGATAGGTAATTCTCCAGGTTAATTTAATTTAATTTAACCACCACTTTATTTGATTTCTTTTAGATTAACTTATGGCATAATTGATAGGTTATTAAATGTGCATGATGTACCCGTACTTTTGATTGAAGTTTTACTACACCACCCATGGCATCAAAATGGACTATTATATAAAAATAATCAATGGATAAAGTGGGATGGTGAGGGTTTACCACAATGTGAAGCTCAAATTTGGTTAGCTTTACACCAAGTTCTTTTAAATCCCAATTGTGGTCCTCATTATGCAATTACTGATTCACGAAAATCCCAATTAATGAAACTGTTACCTATAATTTCCCCGGTTCTGCTTGATCAATTATCTCCGTTAATAGATTTAAAATATTGGCTTTGTCAATTATCTGTTTCATCACAACCCGCGGCTCCACCTAAACCGATTTTATTAGAGACGATTTTAGAGATAAAGAATAAAATTTTAGCCCAAGGTGAACGAAAATGGAAAAAAATTGCTAAACAACAACTTCCAATTGTTTTTTGCACCGACCAAAAAACTTTAATGGAAATTGCGCAAGGACTTACAGAAGCTTATAATTTGGATTTAATTGAAAAGTTAGATGATGACAAAGCAAGGACATGCGAGAAATGTGGTAATTCTGCTATACAACGTTGTTCAAAGTGTAAAAGTGTTTGGTATTGTGGAAAACAATGTCAAGTTGATGATTGGAGTAAGCATAAGGTTCATTGTATTGAAGCAACCACTTAAGTCGAGGCTAAATTAAAATTTAATTTGCCAGTTTTTATAATAAAGTTGAATTTTTTTGTATTGTAAACATATTTATGATTTTAATAATTTTTATATATTTTTGCTGTTTAAATAAAAATTTGATTTTATTTATTTTGCATCATATTATGAATAAAGAAAAATAATGACAGCTTTACAAAGGGATACAAAGATATAATCAAAGGTAGAAATGAGTGTTCAGAATTCCAATATAACTGAAACAGTCTTGAAAAATGGAAAGTTAGAACTATTGGTAATATGAAGCTCAAAGGAGCTGAAGAACGAAGATATCGTATAATAAGAAACACAATTAAAAGAAACTCTGACTGGAGTTTTAGAATTTTAGAGTTTGAAGATGTTACCAATCCTTCAATTTTTACATACTTTATCGATTTTTTGAAAAACCGCCCCATTGTTGGGAAAACATTGATGGACAGAGAAAGAAGTAAGAACATCAGACAGGCTTGTAGGATAGATAACATGAATAATTGGGTATTAGACAGAAAGGAGAAATGGAATGAGCACATCAAGCGAATGACAGAAGAACGAATTATGAAAATAACATGGGACAAATCACCATCAGGACGAAGAAGCATAGAAAACGAAGAAAACCTAGAAAAAGATGGATCGACAACCTTCCAAACGATTAGGAGGTAAAAAAAGTTAAGAAAAACAGACAGTTATGCCTACAATTCGTTTTTTTTCCTACAATACCTGTCAAATTGTTGTAAAGTTGGCAAAATTAACAGGGAGTTTTGTGTTATCATGTTTTAAAATAAATATGTCAAACTGACGTTTGTTTGAGCTTTTGTTATTCAAAAAGTCAAAAGTAATAAAATTAAAGAAAATGAACGCAAGAAATTCGCGTTTATTTGCCATTTGTTAGCCTAAAAAAGGCGTTTAATATGTACTGTGTTAAAATCGTATTTATCTAAAAATGTATTTTAACCTGAACTATTTAGTTACTGAAAATGTTACTAAAAATCAGGAAAGCAACATAAATTTTATAAAGGTCCTAACTAATACCAACAGAAACCCTAAATAATTTACCTTGACAATTATTATGGAAAAAAAAGTATAAATACAGAAGGAAGAACAACAACTAAATATACCAATTTTGTTGGAGGTAAAGTCATTGTTAACTAAAAAGTTAAAAGAAAGGTTTAATTATTTAAAGAATCTTTAACTAATTGAATAACAGTTTCATTTGTAAAACCATTGATTACTTTAAATAAAAAATCGTCATTCCCATCACTATTTTCTTCTTCCCCAACTGTTGTTGATGAAACAAATCTTGCAGATTGTGAAGTTAAAAATTCATCAAAATCTTTCACATCTAAATCTTTTAGCAATACAATTTCTTCACTGTATTTCTCCAAAATATGATTACAATCAATATTTTCATTAATTTTTTCAACTTTCTTTTTAGATTTCAATGCAATTTTTCTTCTACACACATCTAATATTTGTAATGAATTATTTAAACCCATCTGTTCCTCTAGTAATTTCTAAAATTTTGAAATTATTATAAAAAAAAATAAAATTACTTGTTTACAGACCATATCTGTACTTGGATTTATTAGAATCTTTTTTTGCAGTTCTCCAATTTCTTTGTAAAAGCGACCAATTATAAACTGTACTATAGCTTCATCAAATTGTTTTTCATCGTCATATACTGGAGACTTTAACCAAGTATTTACACTGATTGCAAATTCTAAATTTTCAACATAATGCCACCAATTATGAGGCACAAATAATACATCACCAGGTTCCAAAATTATCATTTTACAATTATTTAAATCTATCTAAGCAAAAATAAATGTTTTAAAGATAATCCTTTTTGGAATTATCTAAATTTTAAAGATTACCATTAAATTTAGATTTATTTGGACTAAAAAAATTTAATTTGGAAAAAATGCTGCTTTCTTCATAAGGAATTCGAGTAGGTTGTAAATTTTGATTTGGAGGAAATAATAACCATCGTTTTCTAAAAATAATTATTTAAAAATAAAAAAATTTAGATGCAATTTTAATTTACCGGCCATAAATTTGAGCTACAAGGTTATAACCATAAGTATCTTTATGGCAAGGTGTATGTGCACCTTTTGTACCAAACCATATTGTACTTTCTTTTGCAGTATATTCCGGAAAACCTAAAGATTTCCAAGATATGCACTAAAGCAAATAATATAATAAATCAAAGGCAAGCAAAATTTAAAACAATTACATTTTGGATTTCATCAACATCTTTAAAGTGTTCAACTAAGTGTTTATAATCACAATATCCCCAATTTTCTGTATCATCAATTTCTAAGAATTCATTAAAAGTACTGGATCTAATTTCAGTTTTATTATCCCATTGTGGATTCTAAAAAACTAAATTACAATAAATTTCATTTTAAATTTTCATAATTGATTCTCTAACTTCTGTATAAGTCCATTTTCCTACTCGATATTTAACAATTTCATTTTTAAGAACATTTTTCCAATCTTGTAACCTCCAAGATAAAATATGCCAATTTAAAACATTTTTAAAAACTATTGGTTGATTATAATTTTCTATTAAATAACGAAAATCTTCTTGTACACCAGAACAATCATTATATTTTCTTTTAACGCTCATTTTGGCTCATTTTTTAACGATTTAGGTTATTTTGAAGATATTGACAATTGACATTTTAAGAGAACGTTCATTAAACGAAACAGATTTTTTTAGATTATTTATGAAATTTGTTGATTATTTTCGTATTTAAACATTAATACAATACAATTTGTCTTTTATCACTTAAAATAAATTATGTGTTCTTTTTAAAAATTAATGATTATGAAAACGTTCATGAATCGCTCTCAAATTTTATTTTTTGAGAGTTAATAAAATATGGTGTAGATTTTGATAAATCGATTATATTAATTAAAAAAATAAATTAAATGATAAATATTAATTAATTTTTATAAATAAAAATCGTTTGTGGTAATTAGTTGATGACGTTTTGCGCATGCGCCCTCTACATTTCGATACTGCAGTTTTATCTCCGCCCATTGTAATGTGACAGTTCGTGGCTGTCAGTTGACTGTCAGTGAGTTAAAATTCTTGTTAAAACAAGGTGCTCAGTACTCGTTTGTAATCATTATTCTTTGTTGTGCTAGCGTTATCTACGCTTTAATCAACCAGATAAGTAAGTTTTTTTCTAATTTACATCCTCGTTATCTCATTCAAAAATAATCAGATAATTATGTGCCTCCGTCTCATATCACCAGTTTGCTTTTACAACGGTTTTTGGTTATAATTCTTTGAATTATAATCGGTATTAGAATGTCTTATATTTATAGGTCGGTTTTTAATGCTTTTTTTTAATTTCTATCTTGAAATTCTGGGTTGAGCTACGAGTTGAGTACGCCCCCCCGAGTTGGTACATAGTTATTGATTTTTCTTTGACAATACCGGAACATACACGTACATTTAAAATTAAACCCCGATTTCTTCGATTGACCGTGTTTGAGATTAATTTTTTTAATTTACAGCAAAATGCCAGCTCCGGCAGCTGCTGAAAATGGGGCTCCCCGCACCGAACTTCAAGAATTACAAATAAAGGCATCACAAGTTACAGATGATGTAAGTTTTTGTTGTTAATTTATAATTTTGTTACTTTTTGATGTATTTAATGTGTTTTGTTGTTTTTTTTACAGTCCCTTGAGAGTACACGGCGGATGCTGGCCCTTTGCGAAGAGGTAAATATCATAAAATTAGGGTGATTGATGTTTTCTCGGTGTTGGTCATGATATTAAATGTATGTTTTCCGTGCAAGATTACGTTTTAATTTTTGGTTTAATATTTTTTGTATAAAACATAATCTTGGACTCGATAAATGTTTTAACTTCTCTCTTTCTTTAGCAGTCGGTGGTGAAATGATGATAATCTTCATAAATATTTTCACATTTTTTTATTATTTTTATTTTAAGTTTATTTTTTTACGATTTATTGAAATTCAGTTTTTCCTATTTATTTTTTAAATTTGTTACATTCTGTGCTTTAGGACCTAAAATCCAAAAATTTCTACTCTCCTCTTGGGGAATAAAATGATTTATTACAAAGTGTTTAAATTTAAAATGAGAGTAAAAATTTTTAGGGCAATTTAAAAAAAAACAGAAAAAGAATATGTAAATGTGACTAACTTCTCTTCCATGCTGTCTTCTGGTAAATGTGGATGTGTACACTGACAATGAGTCGTTGCTTCTCATTATGACAGCTTAGTGCTGTTTTATTTTATTTTATTTTTATTTTTTGAAATACGTGTTTAGGTGGCGTCTATTTAATATCTGTGCTGCATGATTGTGCACTGTAATTAATTAATATCTATTAACTCTTGACTTGTTGTCTCTTTACTTACCTCTTATTCTCTGTATACAACCGAAAAAAAACCTATTCTCTGATTCTCTTCTCTATGCAGAGCAGGCCTACCACTTCCCCCCCGTTCATATCGACCTTTGAAACGTTTTTTTAAACTAATTCAAATGAATTTAAGCAAAGTCACAAGCCCATTATTTTTTTAATTTCAGATTTAGTTATTATTTTTTGAGTTTATCAATGGTACCAGGTAGTTCACAAGAATGAATACTTTAAAATATCTGTTTGCTTAAGTAAGAATATGTGATTTAATAAATTTAATCATTAAAAACACAAGATTCTCTAAAGAATCTTTTGAACAATTTAAATTTAGGGATATATTGAGAAAATCTTTCAAAATTTAAAAAAAAATTATAGTTTGTAAAAACTAGCTATAAAAACTTTTGGAATTTGCCAAGGATTTAATAGAACTGAACTAAGAGTAGTCTTGTGTACCACAAGCTTACTTCATTACATTAAAATGTAATAACTTGTTAATAAAACAGTGGTAAAATTTACTTATCTCAATGACTCATCATACTTAACCCTGCGGGACGCGCGTATGTATTTATTACTTATGGACGCGCACTGGGGATTTTTTACCCATGTCACGTATATGGACAATTAGGGTCAAATATACAGGAATACATTGTTTCAGAACTGTTTTGGGTAAAATACATATAATGGTGTCCACACATTGCGCGGCAGCAATACGCGGCATAATTCTGCTTAAACAGAAGATTTTCGTTGATTCTGTCACTTTCTCCTTCTGTTACGCACGATCAATCTTGATCTTCCTGGTCGTGGATTAATTATTTCAGTAAAATAATTCACTTTGGTTACAAAAAACGGTTTTTATAAAACGATTGAGACTTTTATCAAGCAATCTATTTCTGTGCGTGTCAACACGCGAATCTTTAAAAATTATCTGCGTATATTTTACCAGGCGCGCGTTCTTCCGAGTCAATATAAACTAAAAAAAAAACGCCAGTAAACCACTTTCTGAGTTAAGACAGTTTTTAGAACAAATTTCTGCTGTTAAATAGATAAGGTTTAATATTTGTATTACGATTACGACCAAAGATTACGATTTACAAACGAAACTGCTTTCCAACTATGGACTAAACATACTTTACTGTTTTACTATCTTTTAAATATTATCGGATAAACTGAATGTGTTAAGATTCTTTAAATGATAATTAATCCCGTCAGAACTCTGATGTTGCGCCACCACCGAGATATCCATAAACGTCTTTGAGTGTATCAGGCTTGTGGAATTGGTGCGAAATCTTCCCCTCATATTAATTGCGTATCGTCCACAAACGCCTTTGCATTGTCTATTGGTGTTAACCCATCCACCAATTCATTTCTAGCTACGTAGGTATGACATGGTATCCGGATCTAGGAAACACTGTTCACATATTTCTGTTTAGTATTTTTTTCAACCACAAGACCTGTTTTCACAGTTTACAATGTCAGACTTGTTCTTTTGCCCTCTATTTAGGAGAAAACAACCACCCATTTCAATGCCAAACTATCACTCGGTAGCGTTTTTGATCCATTTGTAAACAGTTAGATAGCTACCTCTATCATGGAACTTTTGATATCGATCCAGGCCTGTCTTTTAAGTCGGTTATTGTCCTCGTTAAATCTTCTGGCATTAACAGCACCACATCGTTCGCACAAAGGTGTTAGGTCAAGTAGCACTTCCATTACAATTGATGTAGTCCTCATCACATCAGATATCGATATTTGTTTAATGCGTAATAGTTTACTGAGAATTGTATGCTATATAATATTTCTGTACATAATCATAACTAATCCTTTACATAATCCTTCAAGTTTTAGTTTCCCTACAAAGCCTATTTTATAGAACTTTCTTCAGATGGATATTCCACGAGAAGGTTTTATCAAATGTCGAGGGCGTTTAATTATTTTGTGTAGTAGGTCCTCATTTTCTGGTGAAATGTACAATATTCGCATCACTGCCAAATTATTACATCTAGGATTCGCCGAAGAAGTCTCAATACTCACACTCATCGAGTTCATCATTGAACAGAACAGGGTCCGTTGTAGTTCTGTATAGTAGCCTTACCATATTTCTTTGACAATTTTTGCCGAAATATGTAATAATTACATCTTTCCGTGATTTAACAACGTTGGAAATAGTTGGAAAAATTAATCGTATTGTGTCTGTGTTGCAGTAATCAAAATATCACTGCTTTTTATCATTAGAATATATCTCATGCATAAACATGTCGTCGGGTCAGTATTATAACACACAAATTGCTGTTTAATACATACATATAGCTCTATAGCTATATCTCAGTTTAATCACACCTTTATCAGCCCTAATTTCACCCGCTAGGCTCTTTATACCTCAACTATTAAAGAAATCCCAATTGATACATAGTCAATTTTAACTTAAGTAGGTCTATGATCTGAGCAAAACGATTTACAAGTAAAATCGAATTACACGTAGTGTCAAGTTGGTACCAAAAATGAAGTACATCTACTCGTCCAGAACCTATGTTGTTTACAACAAGTTGTCAGAAGCGACTTACCTCTTTCGTTGATATCTAGGCTAGTCCACTCTGATTTTGGCGTTGCATTGAATTACTGGTTGACAATTTTGTTGTTTGTGTCAAGTTTGAGCATGGCAACGTTATTCGTTTTGAGACAGTATGCTGTATAGATGAAGACAATCCTCCCGTTCCAGCCCTTCTCATACCATTACATCACCTTCATGTGCCTTTAGCAAGAGTTGAAGTTCCTTCTTGACTTTTTTCGACTTCTAGTAATGCTAACGCATTCGCAGGACACTCCGTCGAGCTGATTTCGGGTAAATCGTTATATTTGCGTTTTTGGTATATATGACATAGACCACACTATAAAATCCTCCTGACTACTATGGTGGCCAACTTTTCTGATCTTCCAGGGAATCTGGTGGAATAGGGCTAAAAATGTCTCTCATTTGGACCGCCTTATTCTAATTATCATCTCGTTGGCAAATTTTGACACGCGATGTTTTTCCAAACTTTATCTCGTCTAACGTGTTGATATCTAGTTAGTCGAAATTAGTAGTTGATTCTTTCATGAAAATGGTTTTATGATGCACTCAACTTTAAACATAAAGAATAGTAAAATATGCTGGTTTGCGAATTTTGCTTTTATAACAACAAATCTACATCTATACAGGCTGTCCCATATCTTCCGCATCAGAGCAATATACGGTTGAAGAATACAATATTTTGAAGCAGAATGAGTATGTATAGAGAAATAAAGTGAGAAGAGTCTATTTAAATTATCTCTTGGTTCTAAATCTTCCTGATCAACCTTTTTTTCCTAATTTGTAGCCAAAACTTCATTTTCACTCGTTTAATGTAAAAGAAAGCTTCACCCAAACGGTTATTTCATTGATATTCTCGTTGTTAGCGGTGGGTATATTTAATTTTTTTATATCGAAACACAAACTTTATCTTATCAAACATGATGTTTCCTTAAACATTTATTAATTATACATTAATATTACATAATGTTCGAAATTAATCCGTTTTTTATTGGGTGTATTGGGGGCGAGTGTAACATTTAGTAAAAGAAGTTTTATGCAAAAACTTTGTATGATTTAGGTTTATCATTTTATCCATAAAGAATTAATTAATCATTTTTACAGATGTTGTAGGGGTACTCATTCTTCATGAACGCTTGGTATATAGTTATTTTTTTTTAAAGTTTAATTTGGTTCGATTGTCTTTTAATACTAATATATTATGTGTTTTTGATGTGTCTCTTGATCTCTATTTTAATTATAAACTAATTATTATATCTCTGGTAAATTATTAATATAGTAATATTATATGTGTATTTTGCTGTATTTTTTAATTTTTTTGGAAATGTTTCTTAAAATTTTCTGTTTTGTAAAAAAAAAAATAATTTCAAAGTGAAAATTTGGATGGTGACGGTAATTGTTCCTCTCTCTTTCCGTCTTCATTAAGTTATATCATTTTTTATTATTTTTTTTATATAGAGGAAGAATTACTGATGTTGTGGTAGCGGTAGCCCTGCAGTGTGGCTGTGTTGTGCTGTATCCATGTTTCAAAAATGACACACACACGATTCTTTATTATATTATTATATCTCCCCATTGTTTGTTCGTTGCACACACACACGCAGACTGCCTAACAAAGCCACTACCATAACATTCTTTTACTTGACATTTTTCAATTTAAATCTAATTCACAACAACTATTTTTCAGATTATTCTAAATAATCAAAATTAACGTTTAATAATTATTTTTTAATTTTTATGCTTTTTGTTATTGTGAGTTAGAAAAATGATTCAAAAATAAAATTTAAAAAAAAATTAAAACCAGATTAAACTCAAAATTTTTCAAAGAAAAAACTTTTTTTGTGTTAAATCGCGTCACAGAACCAGATCAACTTATCAACAAATTTATCAACAACCTCCACTCGACCGTCTACTAACATAACAACTACACTTTTACTTTTGTGCTGCTTACAAACAGAGCAAGGAGGCTGGTATCCGTACCTTGGTCGCCTTAGATGACCAGGGAGGTGAGTCCTTCTTAACAAACACTTTTCACTTTTAATCTATTAATTATATTTATAATCTAACCTAAAACCTCGTTATATATAACTTTTTCATCTTGTAACCCTAAAAAAATTTACGAAAAAAAAAAATCATTACATCTCAATTAACCTAACAACCTACATCATACTAATTTTATTTTTCTCATTATATTAAAAAATATATGATTAACACTTTGGATATGATACACAAATACAGTTTTTTTTAATTTTTATATAAAAACAAATACACTACTGCATGCCGCCTCGAAAGCTTTTACGTGTTGTTGCCTTTATTATAACAGAATCATTGGATCCGGATGATTATTTTTTGTTGTAATGAAAAAGCGCTGAACGACTACCGAGCGGTGTGTTTTATTTAAACAGCCTGTCTCTATTCTGTTTTCTGTTATTTCCGGCTTCTTTTGCACAAATTGTTATTGATTTTTTTAGACGTTTTATAGTGCGGTTCGGCCACCTACCGCTTATTATTATTATTTTTATGAACATACCAATGAAATATACTTTTAAAATCAGTATTTCGTATAATAACTAAGTATTTCATTGGTTTGTTCTTTTTGTTTTACAGAAAATAATTTAGTTAAGCGTAAAATTATGATATAAGTAGCTAATGTTTAGAATATATAAAGTGTTGATTGAATATTAGGCAGCTGTGTACACGTCTAGCGTTGTGTCAGTCAGTTAGCATACTATTTTATAGAGCACGGAAGCTGGAGGCCAGACCGTGGAAATGCTGCAACGTCAAGGCGGTAAGCTTAATAGAGAAAAAAATCTAAAACCTTGAGTAGCCTACAAATAGGGTGTTTTTTAATAGATTGAACAGGTGTGTTGGAGAATTTTCGGGAAAATACTAATAACTTAATCTCTCAAATAGACGAAAAGACGTCTACTTTAAAAAGAAATTTTTTTTGATATAATTTTTAACATTTTTTTTTTTTTATTTAATCTCTGTTTTTATTTTGTTTGGGGTTAGAAACTAACTAACTAAGGGTGCTCTGTTTCATGACGACCACACATTGTACAACCACCGTCGCGGGTCTTCGACAACACCATGGCCCCCGGTTTTAAGCGTTGTTGTTGTTTTCTTTATCGTTTCCGTTTTGGGGGGCCATGGTGTTGTGGCTACTTTGAAGCCCTTTCAAGCCGCCCTCACTGTGTCACTTCTTCGTGTTTGTAGAGCCACGAGGTGGGGATGAAAACCCTGGTCATGCTGGATGAACAGGGCGGTAAGCATCTAATTAAAAAAAATAAATAAATAAAACGAAAAACCAAAACCGATTTTTTGTACAAAAAAAAATCAATTACTTTTAATTTTACTCCGCGACTAAACAAGAACAACTTTAAAATTGAAATGATTTTCGAAAATTTTTAATTAAATAATAACAAAATTATCTCGACGTTGAAATGTTATTTTTAAAGCAGGAACAATAACGTACTTTTTAACTTTGAAATTCAATTTAAAAGCAATAAAATATTAATTTGACGTTAAAATCTTCATTTTGAGATTGGAAAATAATACATAAATCGATTTTATCTGTTTTTTTCTATTTCGTTGTGCAGTTATAAATCACCGTGTTGGGTAGATAAACATCAAATGAGGCATGTGAGCCTATTTAGATCAACCTCGGACAAGAAACCGAAGAAAGGGGATGTTTACCTATCTATCATGGTGATTTATAGCAACAAGCGTGCTCTACCTGTTGTGTTAGGGGGTTTAAACTACTGATTTCATAAACCTCCAGCGATTTTCATTCCATGTAGTATGTTTACTCTATCCGCTGTGTCTAAATTAGGGATTTTAGGATAATATTTTAGGGGATGTCTTTCGAGATTTAACTTGTTCATAATTTTACAACCTTTTCGCCTATATAGGTTGCGGTATATTTTGACACTGCACATTTAATTTTAAATGAATTAAGTTGTCATTAATATAAATTACATAAATCCCCTTCTCACATTTTTGTTAACTTTAGTTGAATATAAACATGGTGAAAGACATTTTATACTCACATATCGAGATGGAGGCATGATAGAGATTTTGAATGGATTTGATGGAAGATTTGATCGATTTTGTCAGCTTTTGAAAAGATCTTAGCATACTCCTAGACCCAGTTTTAATGCAAACTTGATTGATTCTTGACTCTGTACAAATTTGGCAAACATGGTGCAGACTTAATGCAAAATAGATATAAAAGATATACAGAGATGTGTGGATACAGACATAATGCGTCTATCAAGTCAGAGACTTAAAGTAGGCTTTGATGCAGGTTTAATAAAGCCTATCTGGAAACTTTATGCAGTTTTGAATAAGTCTTAATACACTCGTAGATATAATTTGTTACTGATCCGAAAGCGATATGTTACAGGCTTGATTGGATTCTTACCTCTATACTAACTTGTTAAAAGAACATGTTGAAGATTCGATACAAACATGATATAGACTTAATACGGACATGTGTCAATGCAAACTTAAAGAAGACTTACGGCATGAATGATAAAAATTAAATATCGACCTGATGGAAGCTTAATGCATCAATCAAGTTATGAGGCATAACAATGATTTGATCCGGATTCTTAATTTCAACAAATCTTGAAAGAGTCTTAAGATATTCATAATTGTAGTAATGATTCGATAGAGTATGAAATAGTCTTGTTAGATATCTAGCTCTATACAGGCCTCATTTGATAAAAACAAAGTGAAAACTTGAGGTAGACTTTATACGGAGTTATCTTAATGAAGATTTCGTGCAAGCTTCTTAGAAAATTAAAGTATACTCTATCGAGACATAATTCATCTATCAAGTGAGTGGCATAATGAAGATTTAATGCAGATTTTAAAGAGTTGATGCAGATTTAATAAGATTTTATCAAATCTTGATGAAGTCTTAATTCTGTACAGCTTTGAATTAAAACAAACATGTAGACTTTATACGATATTATCTAGATGCATACTTGATACAAATATGATACAAATTTAAAGTAGATTTGATAACAAACTTCATAGTCTTGATACAGAGTTATTTAGGATTGTTATGGAGATTTTATGCAATCTAGAAAGATGCTCAATACACTTCTAGATGCAGTATTGATTCACTTCTGATAAAGATATGGTGTTAATGAGGACTTACTTTCATACCAAAATTTGAAGGGAATTTTTTGTATTAAATTTTGTTATTGTAAGTTTAACATTGTGAAATCTATACAGGGATATTCTATGTTTTGTTCTTTCTATCTGATGAATTAGATGTTAGAACATCGTTGATAGTTTGGTCTTATCGTTAGTCATCAATTTTGTTGCACACTGGTCATAAGCAGTATCATTTAATGACGAATCATTCGATTTTTACCTTTAAAAGGTTTGAAAAGTATAATTACTAGTGGTGGAGGAGCACTTAATTTTTATCAAGAGGTCCTACTTTGACACTTAAGCCCTTGAGGCCTCCTGAGGCTATATACAGCCAATCTGTTTTGCATATACAGCGTGAAGAGGCAATAACAATCTCGTCAACGCTAAGATAACTTAATATGATTTCTGACAACTTCCAATCAATTTTTGGAGAATGCAGCAATTAAATTTTCTACCTTTTTTGCTGTGCTGGGTTATCAAAACTTAATGGCGGTCGATATCATAATTAGTAAATGAGTAGGTAATTTTTGAATTGACTCAATAAATAGGAATTTATAACAAACAAAAAGAGAGCCATGGAGCAGTATTAAGCCAAAAAACTTTGTCATCAACTTTAATGAATATGTGCCAAACTAGAAAAGCTATAACATTGACACTAACTCCATTAGTAACTAGGAGTATTAAACTTCTCAAATGTGTGTTGTGTTGTTAGTTAAGAATTAAGATAAGGCCTTGATGATATAGGAAATATAAGATGATATAGGGAAAGGCGAAAAACATGTTTAAAATAAACCAGATAGTGTAATTTGTCATTTATAAAAATAACAATTATATATAAAACGTCAAATTAATATTACTAACATTAAAAATAACACTTTAAACGTTACATTTTACTTTTAATATGAAAATATTCTAATAAAAATGTTCGAAAATAATTTCTGTGTGAATTTTGTTAATAGGACAATAAAAGATTTGTTGTCGCCCACCTCATCGCCCTTTTATTATTATAAGTCCTTATTTCTTTTTTGTTCTTTCACCAAAAATCGATGTTGATAGACTCTCTCTTCTAAAACACGAGGCGAGTTTTCAAAGAAACAGAGCAAACTTGGTCGAGATCCGAGAGGGTTTCCGTTTTTTTGATGGTTGCGTTTTTATTTCCGGTCGAACGATAATCGCGCAGTTTTCGGATTTCGTAGGAATGGGTGTTGCATGGGTTTTTTTGTTACTTTTTTTTTCTTCAATGGTGTGACCTCATTTATACGAAAAACCCGAAAAGAAAAAATCTTATGACGATTTCTGTTACTATATTTACCTACTATAATAATATTAATTGATTGTTATTTTTTTTTTTCGATGTTTAGAGCTTTGACTCGACTACACAAAAGCAACTGTGTTTGAGGCCGAGATGTTTTTTTATATATATTTTGTGTTTCGATGGAGGTTTCGACTTGTTGTTTTTCTAGAGAGAGTCTGCAACTCTACTACTACTAAAAACTACCTTTTATTAACTACTAAACAACTCTTACTCTCTACTCTTTACTTACTAAACTCAACTAACCCTTTTTATATACTCTTATCTACTCTTTTTCTTCTAACATGTTAAAAACGATTTTTTTATCCAAAAAATCAAAATTAATGGAATTTGTGGGAAATTTGAGTTATTTTTTACTGTTTTAAAGAAGCCGTTCTGATTAATAATGCGATTAATGTTAATCAGAACGGGCTCTTTTATCGCGATTAAAACATAACACGACATCTCCACCCTCCAGGGACTCCAACTTTTAACACCACTGTAAGTTTTACACATGTCTCACCTAAAAGCGACACTTTTCTATCCGCTCTCTCTTTTTATCAACTATTTTATTTAATTAAGAAAAATAAATACTATCCTTGTAGAAATAATTTTAGCCCATTAAAATTTATAAGTAGTTAGCATGCTTGATAGCTTCCCTTATAAAATTATTACTTCTACTCTTAAGTTACCGTTAAAGAGAAAAATCGATTTTTGAGGATACAAAGAAATCTTTAAAATTCGCTTTTTTTGTTTCTTTAAATTGACGTTAATTATTCATCTTCTCTTTACAATTTTTGAAGTAGCATGCCGCATGATTTGTAATTAAACATTATTAACTAAACACACTGTATAACACGAGCATAGATGATGATTTATTTGTAAATTAAAAAAAAAAAAAAAAGTTCCGACTTCGGATTTTAATTTTTGTGTTATGTGGCGTAATTTAGAGCAATTGGACCGGATTGAAGATGGAATGGACCAGATTAACACCGATATGCGCGAAGCCGAGAAAAATTTAACTGGAATGGAAAAATGTTGCGGACTTTGTGTACTTCCATGTCAAAAGTAAGTAAAACTCCACAATTTGAGTACGATAAAGGGTTGAACTGTTTTTAAAGAGAGCATATTATCCTCCTCGGTGGTTAAAGGATGAGGTTATTTATATATTTCTCTCCGTGAGCTATACAAACATTGGACATCCGCCAAGTATCGATCAAACTCGAAAGCACGAAGCACAGTTTTTTTTTTTTCGTTTAAATCGCAGCTTATCTATCAAAAACAGAAATTGTTGCTTCAGTATAACCTCGGAACCTCTTCTAACAAGATCCGTTATTCTCGTTAGAACGTTCATATTAATATCATCGATTTAATACACATATTTAAATATGAATGTTAGAGCTCATAGATAGACTCTAAATCGAGTTATTCCTCAAGTTGCTCTATTCCGTGTTCATAGATAAACTCATAAACCCCGAGTTGTCTATACGATGTATAAATCCAGAACGGTAGTTCTCGTTTTAATTGTTATTAGATTGTTGTATATGTCATTAAAAATTGAACGAGAAGTAGAACTAACACTAGACCTAGAACTAGAAGCATTCGGGTTTAGCTGTCCGTCTCTTAGCACGGCTAAACCCGCATGTTTCTAGTTCTAGGTCTAGTGTTAGTTCTAATGCTAATTCTAGGTTTAATTGGACCCCATTATACATCACTTGACTAACCGACATTTTATATCGTTTTTAGAGATTTTTATGCTGTCTGGTAGGTAAAGGTGTAACAGAAAAAATGCAGAATACCGAAAAACCTAAAATACTATTTGTTTTAAAGGATAAAGCTAAGCGCCAATTTGCATCATACGTCTAAGAACCGACTTAGATACACCAAGAAATTCTACAATAGAAAAAATAGATGAACCTACAATTTCGGACCAGTGTCGTTTTCTAGATGTTAATATAAAATTAACAGTTTATGTCTTTTATTTTATATAGAATTTAAGTCTAAGTAGTTTCGGCCCTTGGCTATCTTCAGAGACTCTACAAATAGATTAACGTTAATGTTAGTTCTAGTGGCAGTGGTAGGTAGCGCTAGTTATCATAAGATATTACTATGTTGCATATTTTTATTGAACTAAAACTAGAACGAGAACTAGAAACATTCAGGTTTAGTCGTGAAAAAAACTTTCACTTGTCAATGTCAACTTTAATTTTATTATTATATTTGTAATCTTCATAAAATAACCTTTAAAATGAGTCCAAACATGACGTATTTATCTCAAAAAACCAAAAAGATCGAACTTTCAACTTTTTTTTCAACTTTCAATTTTGACATATTTGTCAACTTCATAAAAAATTCTTTAAAATGAGTCCAAACTCGACATATTTAACTTTCATATTAATGGAGATACAATCACTTCCGGTTTGACACGTCAATTTTGACATATTTGTCATCTTCATTAAAAAAACCTTTAGAATAAGTCCAAACATGACGTATTTATCTCAAAAAACCAAAAAGATCGAACTTTCAACTTTTAATTTTGACATATTTGTCAACTTCATAAAAAATCCTTTAAAATGAGTCCAAACTCGACATATTTAACTTTAATATTAATGGAAATACAATCACTTCCGGTTTGAAACGTCAACGTCAATTTTGACATATTTGTCATCTTCATTAAAAAACCTTTAAAATGAGTCCAAAGATGACGCACTTATCTCAAAAAACAAAAAAGTTTGAATAAAAAACGTTAAACCCGAAGTTAGCAACAATGAAGATAACAATTTAATTTTTAAATATTAATACCAACCTTAATTTTTGATTTTTTTTAATTATATTTTTGTTTTTGTGACAAATATTAAGACATTTTATAAAAATTAAGAATATGTCAAAATGACATTGACATTTCAAATCGGAAGTTGCTTATATCTCGAGTAATATTGGAATTAAACGTATCATGTTTGGACTCATTTTAAAGGATTTTTCACGACGATTACAAATATGTCAAAATTGACGTTGACATTTTTAACCGGAAGTTCACCATAACTTCATTAATATTGAAGATAAATATGTCGTGTTTGTACTTATTTTAAAGGATTTTTAATGAAGATTACAAATATGTCAAAATTGAGGTTGACATTTTAAAAATTAAGTTCGTTATCATATAATAGAAGTTTTATAACTGAAGTTAATCTAGTGTTAGTTACTTTTCAGCACTTTCTTTTTATTTTTAACGTGTTTTTTGGGTCATTCTTTTGTTAAAAAAGAGCGTTCTTAAATTTTAACCTGTAAACTTGTAACACTTCGTCTTTAATTGCATTTTACAATTTTTTAAACATTAATTTTGTAAATTAGTAACTAATAATCTGATTTCGGCTTTCATATGTGATCTTTTTTAACAAAAGAAAAAGATTATTAAGTAACTTGTTTGTAAAATGGATAGGATAAGGGATGTTAATCTATTTGTAGAGTCTCTGAAAATGGCCAAGGGTCGAAAATAGTTAGATTTAAATTCTATATAAAATAGAAGTCAGTCTAAGAGTACAAAATCAAACTCTAGATAATTTTCTTCCACAATTTTGCACGCAACATCATTTTAACTATTGTATTTGTAATTAAATTTATGCCACGACTTATAAAAACATCCTGTATAATCGTAAAACGACTGACCAAGCGGATTCTGTGCTTGTGATGGCTGTCATCAGTGCTCTGTGATAAAAATAGACAGACACCAAGCAATTTTCAATAGTTTGAGCCTGTCTTATATTTTTAGAGAGATAAAAACGAAAATCCCGTTTTTCTCAACATTGTACATTTGTCGCTTAGTCAAGTGATGCATAACGCGGTCCAATTGTTATTCAGCGTTAGATTATTGTATATTTTTCATTGAATTAAAACTAGAACTAACACTAGACCTAGAACTAGAATCATTCGGGTTTAGCCGTCTTGAGAGACGTGCGGCTAAACCCGAATGTTTCTAGTTCTCGGTCTAGTGTTAGTTGTAGTATTGCGCTAGCACTATCACTAGAACTAACACAAGACCTAGAACTAGAATCATTCGGGTTTAGCCGTCTTGAGAGACGTGCGGCTAAACCCGAATGTTTCTAGTTCTCGGTCTAGTGTTAGTTCTAGTATTGCACTATCACTAGAACTAACACAAGACCTAGAACTAGAATCATTCGGGTTTGGCCGTCTTAAAAGACGCACGGCTAAATCCGAAAGCTTCTAGTTCTAGGTTTAGTGTTAGTTCTAATGCTAGTGTTAGATTCTTCCTTAGGTTATTGATAATTTTTCATATAACGAACTTTTGGTTATAACAAACACTCCCTTCCCCGTATTATTCCGTTATAATCAAAGTTTTTCACTGTATTTAATAAAATAAAATCTATAGAATCTAATGTTATTTTTTAAATGTTTAGAGGTTCATCTTTTAAAGAAGATGAAGGTACTTGGAAAGGTAACGACGATGGAAAAGTCGTAAACAATCAACCTCAACGAATGATGGACGATCGTAACGGTGCCGGTCCTCAAGGTGGATATATCGGTCGTATCACTAACGATGCTCGCGAGGAGGAAATGGAAGAGAACATGGGTCAAGTAAACACAATGATCGGCAATTTACGTAATATGGCCATCGATATGGGCTCAGAATTGGAGAACCAGAACAGACAAATCGATCGTATTAATCTCAAGGTAACCGTTTCCCGTGGAAACTTCCTTTTTTATCGTGTCTTTTTTTTTTTAACACTCATGTGATATTTTTGCACGGGAAGCTTTTCTTTTATTTCTTTTGTAACGACTTTTACCAACTTTTTTTCCGTTACCCAGCTGATTTGGCGAAAATGTTCGAGAAATCCCTGTTTTCCTGCTTTACGGTTTTGTGGGCGGGTTTGGGAGCGCGGTTATTGATCTTTCTCGGCGAGGATTAGAAATGGCGACAGATCTTGACATTGACTGTAGTCTATGGTCCGGGTTATTTTTAAATTAACCACCCCGGTTTGCGTGTTTACGCGGTTTATGAAAGATTTATGAACGTGTTTTGATCGAATGGGGATTATTATTAAAAAAACTATAAAAGTTGAAAACTGCTTTTTTAATGATTTTATTTATATCACTGATTTATTAATTTTTTTATGAGAAATATTGTATGCATACTTATTTTTATGAATGATTGTCGCTTGATGCAAGGAGAATTCGAAGTAGTTTTAAAAATAGATTGTGAAGTAGTGAATTATCTTGTTTGTTCCAAGAATGAGTGATTATTTCCGGAGTATTACATATTATCTTGGATAATAATTTATCTGAAATAGACGTGAGTCATAGATCTGTCGTCTAGCTGGGTGAATTTTTGCACTTTATTGCGAAGTTTATTGACAGAACTTTATTAAAGCATTTATAATATAAATTTGTGTGCCTCACGCTTTTTTAATTTTAACAATTTTTCTCTCGATTGATTGGTTTATTATGTTTGCTTGCATGGGTGTGGACCAATTTATTTATTTGTTTCTTATTAATAACTAAATGAATTAATATATTTACTTAAATAAATAATTACAACAAAATTGTGAAATCGTGAATGTGTTGTTTGAATGATGATCAAATCGAAATAAATAAAAGGCACCATTACAAAACATACACTTTTTAAATTAAACACAAAAAATATATCGTATGTTCAATAGAAATATCCTTGGGAGTTTTGAATTTGGCATTGACAATTAGAAGAATATAAATTTCTCTTAAAAAAATCGTTATCTAAATATAACGTTTTCAAAGTTGTCAACATATGATATATTCTGTCAATAAATAATAATTTTAAACAAATATTAAAACCAAAACAGTTTATCCTAAAATATATCAAATCAATCTTAATTAACAATAAATTAAAAAAAATTGGTTTTCAAAAATTTGACATGTATTATCGACACTTAAATATGTATGTCAAAATATTATAAATAATAATTTATTGTTAGTTAATTTGCAACAAATGGCAAACATAGTATATTTCATGGATAATTTTTTATTTTTAATAATGTAAATTTTTTTTTTATTTTGCAATGCTTTCTGACAACCAACAAAAACTACTACAACCACCTACATCAACAACATCCGAACAACAACAATCACCTACAATCGAAAAACAACAAAATAACCAACAAATACAACAACATAATCACTACTGGGACATAAATAAAATAAAACAAAAACTTTGGGGATAAACAACAACTACAGGGTGAATCGAACGCAACCAGGATAGAGGTGGCCAATCAACGAGCGCACGACCTGCTCAAGTAAACCTGTACGAACCGGTAATCATCAGGGTGGGGTGGCCCACAATAACAATACAACGTGTAGAGTTTAAATTATTATAAAAAATTAAATAATCAAAAAAAAAAAAGAATAACAACACAAAAAACACATTCACTGATTTGTTTTTTGGGGTGTCATGGATTGGCAAACAAATATTTACAAATATATTGAGACAACATTATACGTTATATTTATTTGATTAAATAATTTGATGCCTAAAAAAAAGTAAATAATTAATTGCCCCTTGACCACCCTTTTATTTATGAACGTACATCTATTTTGCGTTCTTGTTGTTGTTATTGATGACCTGCAGGGCGAGAGCAACGAAACTCGCATCGCCGTCGCTAACCAGAGGGCCAACAAGCTCCTGAAATCGTAAAAAGGGGGGCGCCTACGTACGTCACTCAAATTTTTTTTCGTTGTCGAGGAGGATGACGTCGAACAAAAAAAAACCAATTTTATACTCTACTTCACTTTTGACATGTATTAAAATTTTCTCTCTCTCTGTATAATCTACTAGTAGGTATCTCAATGTTTTTTGCTTAGCAAAAGGGGGATGATGAAAAAATAAAAATTAATATTGAAACGAAAAATTTACAAACAGAAAATTAATTAATAGGATAAATGAAATAAAATAACTCTAGTCTCTTAAATAGGACGCTATAATAATTATTAAAATGATTATTAGCTTTAGAGTAGGTTGGATAAAATAGTTAAAAAAATCCCTATTCTTTTTGGGACATTTGGCTTCCAAAAAAATAGATTAAAAAAACTACTTTAATTAATCGGTTAATTAATTAATTAGGGCTTGTTATTTATTACAAATAAATGTAAATTGTTAAAATTCATTAATTACTTGGACTACCTTAAACGAGAAGATTTTAATTTATTTTTTAATCTTAATCTGTTTTTTGTGCTGGTTATTTTATTTTTTATTTGTATTTTGGTGTTTGTAAAAGCAAGTTCATGTTTGTAATAATAATAATAACATTAACGATTGTGATACTTTTAATTTATAAACGTATAGTTAAAAAAAATTAATGGAGTTTGTAAAATTTTGCTTAAAATTGTGAAAGAATAGAATATGTAAAAATATCTTAAACTATAAACTTTTGGTTATTTTAAATGCAAAATGTTATGTTTTATTTATTAAATGCGTAACCATTTCAGTTAAACAAATCAAATTTTATATATTAACTAAAATTGACATCACAAACATTGTTTTAAAGTGAAAAGAACCACAAGGATATTTTTTAATATTATACCTTTCTTTTCAAACGTCATTACTTTATTAATGACTTGTTCTTATATTTAAGAGAAAAGTATTTCTCACCCTGATTGGGATGATTATTCGTACCTTCAACCCCTAATCATACAAAATCCAATCGAAATTCATAACATATTGTAATGATATATTCATTAATTTAACACAATTCACTTAATATTCATATTGCAATGTTTCCAGAAAAAGTTATTTACACCAAAGCCTGGAAAGTTATCTATTATTACAGGCGAGCAACATTGAGTCAACTTTGCAAAAGTGGATATTATTAAATTTTTTCTGACACTATTGAATGTCATAATTTTTTGATCAGAAAAAAATTTAAGGCAGGAAGAGTCTGGAAATGATCAACTTTCTTTCATCAATACAGCCTCACAAGTGCAACATTACATTACAATTTCGGGAAAAAAATTGTTAATAAGATTAACAAGTAATTGTTTAATGATAGACAAGATCATAAATTTTTGGATATGGTATCACAGCCTAAGTTAAGGTATCAATTTGGTGTAAAGCCTAATGATAAAGATTGTTACATCATAAAATATCACATATCTATCTATGTTCTCAGTATGGAACAGTTATTGTTGGAGAAAAAATTGACGAAATGTTGTGGTTGGAGATAAAATGCATCCACTGAACAATATATGTGTTGCACATCTCGTTCTAGTAAAGAAAAATTGTTAGGTAACGTTTCTGAGTCGTTTGAATATTTAAATAGTATTATTAATATTTTATTGAAGTCAGTTTATATATTTAGTCAGTTTATTCACCTATTAGGCATTGATATTAACTAATTTTCTTATACCTTGAAGGCATCGTTTCAAGTTTGTTATATTGGAAATATTTTTCTTCCGCAAATGCAGTATATGCCAAAAATTCTCAATTGGATTCAAATCTGGATGCTGCCTCAAGAAGCACCTTAAGCATCTTATACAACATTCATTCTTTAACTATACGTGAAGAATGTTTGGGGTCGTTGCCTTGTAAATATATGGAGTCATCTTGGATATGTCATTTTAGTATACTTTTTGGATTTCTTGTTGCAAAATTTTTAAATAACCTTTGGCATCTAAAATCCATTCAATAAAATGTTATTGGCTGACTCCATTATACGACATACTTCTCCAAACCATTAGGTGACTACCGCCATGTTTGATAGTGGCAAAATCCGTGTACAAAATTTTTTGCCAAAATATTAAAAGTATTTAACTTGATTAGAAAGTATTGGTCTAAATTGCAAGAATTCAGTAAGGTCAAAGGTTGCGTTAATATCTAAAAGCAGGTTACTGCACTTTCTCTACTTTTAATATCTATAATTTGAGACTATAGATTTGTAGTATCGCTATAATTGATTTTCTAGACAATTTTTGTAATATCTGTAATTATTTTCCGTTCTGGTTTGCTTTTTCTGTGTTTCTGCTCATCCGCAAGCAGCACTAGATTTCAGCACATTTAAGAAAACAGTGGCATTCCCAAACATCGAAGACCTCTACCTGCAATTTCTTGTCGTACCTTAAATAGAGCTGAAGATTGATGAGAGTCTTAAGTGTAAAGTGATGAAGTACTGGAAACTCCGACTCTTGCAATATCTAACATTCAAAATGAATCTGTAATTGTTAATATGACAAATACTCCCACCGAGGTTTATGTGGCATTGCAAATCAGTTTAGAAGCATATCTGGGATTTCTTGGAGTACTTTGGATTAAGCTGGACCTTGATGATTGTCTTAAAAGTGATACAACTTAAACAACAAGTGAACATTATACTTGGTTTCCTTCCTGTTTAATTGATTTGGTATATCTCCGAATAATCCACTATTTTAATTTTAGATTACAGTTTAAGTTTTTTTTTTGGCAAGTGGAATTTTGTTACAACAACAAAAAAAGAGTTCATAAAATAATGGAAAACGGGTGATGATTATATCGAAAATAAAACATGCACGCAATCAATAAACTGGAGTTAAAAACAGATAGTTATCGAGAACGGAGATTACAAAAATTGATCCATGACGAACTGGAAAATCGCATGATATCCTGAAATAAATGAGAAGATAAGAATCTATGCAGTTTCGATTTACACATTTATGTACTTTGTTACTTTTATAATAACTTTATGATATAATTTGGGTAAATTGAAACAAAAATATAACAAATTTTTCATAAATATCGACTTTGTGCAATTTAAAACTAGATATATAGAGAAAATTATGAAATGTTTACCGAAGTGGTTCTATTTTCCAATGAAGAGGGATTATTTACACGTGATGGATTTATTTAACTATAAGCATGCTTTGGCGGAATAAGCAATGTTAATACCAAGAACAGTATACCCAGAATGTTTGGACAAACATATAGATCTCATTATGTACAAAGAATTGATGGATAGAAAGTGTTTTTTACAAAGTAAAATTGTAATTTTGAAGTAATTTTCCTTATCAACAATAACTTTGATACGCTTTGTACCTATTATACTCGAAAGACAATGTTGCTATTTTACCTATGAACCAGATTCCTTTACAAGAAACAAAGATGCAGCTGTGCAAAGCAGTACATTTGCTAACATTGATATATGGAGCGGAATATTTCCATACTGAATAGCTGATCAATGCAAGATAAGCACAAAAGCAAAGTATCAGGTGCAGAAATGAGGTACCTAAGGCAAATAATAGGCAGGACCAGAAGAGATAGAGTCGGAAAGACAACCACAAGAGAGGAACTACGGACACGTGTGATGGTGGCACGAGGAGAAGAAAAGAGGCAGACCCAGTGGCTGAACAGTATCAAGAGTGCAATTCAGCAGTGGGGAAGGAAGACTGAAGAAGTAAAGGCGATGGCGCTGAACAGAAAAGAATACTAAAAATAGATAAAGAACCGGATGCTTTAAGATACAAGGGAAAAGACAAAGAAGAAGATAATGTTTTTCTTTTAACAGCTCAATTAATGACTTGGTTGATAAAATCTGGTACATTCGTATTGATGATGCGAACACTTTGTAGCTATGCATTAATACTTCTTTGTCATTGATATATTTTTATATTTATTGTCTTGAAAAGTATATTTTAATTGACTTACCCCCAGATCTATCGGTATCTTGCTCACTTCCAGCTATATCTTGGAAACTGGGTACGATGATTGATGTTGTATTTGAAGCCCTCATATATGACCTGCAATATAATGAAATAGATTGCGTTAATTAAAAACTCAAAAAACAACAATCTTATTTATGGTTTTCTTTTAATTTGTCTTATTTATAAATGCTTTTCTATGCACTAAAACAATAATTTTAGTTAATGTAGAAAATCACATTGTTAACTTAAAAATGTTGCGCAGTTAATATTTAAAAAAAACATTAAACGTTGTCTTTATAAAGCTCATTTTCATTTGAGCAAAATTTTACAAACTACCAAATTAAAACTCTGTGGTGCTTTTCCATAGAAAAACTTTTATTTACTCCAACATATCTTAGCGAATGTTAGAAAAAATGTTGTTAGATTAGATTTTTTGAAAAAAAAATATAGAAAATAGTTTAAAAAATAGTAAAAACGACTGCACATAGTTTAGTTTCTATCGAAATCTTCAACTTAACTTAAAACTTGTTCAATCGTATTTTTATATGTCTTTTTCATTCGTAAATGTAAGAAGATAATTTTTTTTTAATTATTTGATTATAACGCGTTCGCTAAAAGTAGAAAATTAATAGAAAACATTCTTCCATTTACGAATACGCGTTTAAATATTTAGAAAAACTTCTTCTAGTAGGAGGTAGGTCAAGTTAGATAAAAAGAAATACATAATATAAACAATTTTAAATAAAAATAGAAAAATAGATCTCGTTTTTTATTTGAGTTTGAAAAAAACGGGATATTTTTCCGCACACATTAGAAGATAAGATTTAAAGAAAAAGAAATGGAAGGATTTTAAATGCGATTTTTTGTGGCCCTATAAAAATCTAACAAATCATTTTTTTTTAAAACAATTTTTAATAAATTGCTGATGGCTCAATTTAGAAGTTTTTAAATGTAAGTGTTAAATTTTTATAGGTTAGAAGAAAAAATGTTACCAGTTCTATTTGGTTATAACAGAAAATAACTTTGTAAATATAAAATGAACTGGTAAATTTAATATCGCAACAATTTCAAAAAAAAATTAATAAATAAAGAATGTTAATGTTAAATGAGATTTGAATGTAAATAAAATATGAACGGTTTAAGAATGTGGCCTATAAAACCATTTTTTTATTTTTTTTGTACATTTAAAATAAGAATAAGAGCACAATTTGGACTACTAATGTTATATTTAATTTAAATATTGTCATTTATATAAAAAAAGCACAAGGTTTCTTCTTCAGTTAATATATTTTAAACATTTTAAAATCGTCATTAAACCTCTGTGCTAATTGAAAAAAATGCAAAAAAAAATCCTTATCTTTTGACAAACTCTTCCAAGTTATTATTAATTATTATTAAATATTTAAGGGTGTTTTTGTTAATGTACAGTATTTATCGGAGTACTGATAGGTTATATAAAAAAAAATAAACATAAATACCGTGAAACGAGTGATATAAACGAAATTAATCACTTTTACAAAATTTGAGAAATTTTTTGTAAATGTGGTTCGTTTTGTTTAAAAAAAACTTTAAGTGATGTCATTTATTGTGTGTAAGTAACGAGACCATTATAGCTGCGCTTAAGAAAAAATATATATAATGATGTAGTTACAACAAAAGAAGTAATAAAATAAATTGTAGTTATATATCAAGAAGAAAAATACAAGCAATTTGGTAATTTATATAATAATATTATAATTCAGAAAGTGTATTATTCTAATATAAATAAAATTATACAGATAAAAAATTGTAATGGAGTAGTTTGAGGAAATATTTAAAAAATAAAAAGTGTATTATTGCAAAAACTTTTGGATTTTATTAAAATACCATGACAAACAAGATTTTATAATGGTGCGACATTTTCATGGCCTCTCTCTTGGGTTGTATTCTGCTGCTTAAGAGCCTTTTTGGTATTCTATCCTCACTCATTCCTGTCATATTACCTGCCCATTGCAGTTTGATGAATTCTGAAATTGACGTTAAGTTCCTCGTTGTATCGCCTCCATTCTCCTTTATTGGACCAAAGATTTTCCTCAGTGTTTAAATACTTCCTGCTTATTCTTTGCGCTCTGTCAAAAATTATCATTTTGAATATTTATGTACAGTTTTGGAATATTCCATATTTATTATAAAGGGCAAAGTAAATTCTGTTCCTGGTCGTTATTCTATTTTATATTTCTGGAAACATCTTCAGAAGATTTTATTTAAGCATGTAGTACTAGAATTTTCAGTTTTTACAGTCATTAGATATTTTATTCGTCAATTGAAGACTTATCAGGTAGGGGTCAACAGAACTTTTTTCGTATATTCTGGCTCATTGCAATTTCTTCGATTTAACCAATACAAAAATTCTTGGACTTATTTTTGATGGTTGTGAAACCCAGAACAAGATTGTCCATATGGATCATCAACTATATTATTGATCAAACGAAGCGAATTACGTCAAACCTTGCAGCAAGTATAATTTGACTCTTTTCTGGCATTGTATAATTCATTCAAAAATAGAAGAAATGTTTAATGAGCATTTTCATTTTAATGCTAAAAATTTATCAATAATGGGTTAGGTTGGGTATAAAGTGTTTTATGTCATTCTGCATTGGTTTTCGACTCTCTATCTCAAGCAATGTCAAGAACAGCTGTTATACGGTAATTAGTATATCGTCACTTGAAAATTGTTTTGATTCATGCCCACTTTTGCATTGGTCAATTGCTACCGTTTTTATTTCAATACATTGTACCATGTTCAGCTACTAAAGAACATAATATTAAGCCAACACAAGCAGATTTATAGGAGTTACTTTGTACTAAGTCCAACATAGCCTTACTAAAGGGTTTTTAGTTTGTCAATTAAAAGACTTGTGGGTCAATCGATGCTATTATTTATGGAATACGACATCGAGACAAATCGGTCGAAATACCAGGAATTTCGATGCGTTCGATGTTGGCCTGCAGCTCATCTAATGTTATGTATTGGCTTATTGGCATAGACCAGCGATTAAATGTAACCCCAAAGAAAAAAGTCTAAAGGAGTTAAATCGCACGAACGAGGCGGCCATCCACTAGTTAAACGCGCCAAACACTTAATTATTTCGGGTAAAGTTGTGTCTTGTGCATCACTTCAGGCTGCTCATTCGTCCACTATCTGCAATTACATTATATCAAGTCCCCTGCCAATGTTAACAAAGCATGCAACCATGAGATAGAGAGACCTTTAAAATAAGAAAAAGAGCCAAATAGCAGGAAATCGCATTTGCAGCAGTCTGCTGAAAATTTTGGACTAAGATGTTACAGATTTTCCGGAATGAAAAAAGGTCATTTGGTCTGATTTCTGTATTCCTTAAAATAGGAATAAAATTATGTCTCTTGAACTGCAGTATTTCATCAAAAAATCATCCACAAATAGAAACATTCTTCAAACCTGGACATAGTAACGTCCAAGAAGTTCCTTGAACAGTACATAGTCCACTTATCTAATTTTTTATTAAAAATATTTAGACATATACCAGTGGTATTTAATATTCTATTAGCACTATTCCTTCTTCCCTTAGAAGCATCTAGTCTTCTGCAACAAGATATCTATTACAATGCAATACTTAATCTTCTGCAAATAATTTAATCTTTGCCTCAAACTCACTAAAATCGAACCATGTCTTTAGACGTTGGTATCTTCATGGAAATCACGCCTCACATTCCTGAAGGAGACACAATACTTTGGCGATCCGAAATTGTTACATGGTGCGCTTTCGAATGGTAAAGCACTATGCTGATATCTGTTATTACACAAAAAATACTAGGGATCTTTGTAATAATTTGAGGAAACGTTAACATCGGTAGTTTTCCATATGGACTTAATAAGTCAACATAACCTACATTATCGATGGTCGGTTAAATTGCTGGTAGGAATTCATTAGGGAGGATGTCTCCATTTAATTTACATAACCCTTTAACACAGAAGCATCATATTACATCTAATGTTGTTACTTAGGACAGTACCAAAAACCATCGTTTTTTATGGTTTTCCAAAGCTACTTCTGATCCATGTTGTTTTAACGTTCCATACAAAGCTACAAAAGCACTCCATTGCTGAAAGGCAATGGAGTGTATGGAACATCTCAAGCATACAGATAAAAGTTGTGATTAACAAGTGGTAACAGCACATAGGTACAACATTTGGTATGCTTACTGATATGGTTTGGCTCTTTCTTTTAGGTAACAGTGAATGATACTACATTAGGATGTAATTAATAATAGGATGTAAAGTATTCAATATATCGATGTAAAGTATTCAATATATCACTGTAAATTTCCAATAAATCTCCTATACAAAAGTATGGGGTCACTATTATTGATCTCATCAACATAAGACATACACCAGTTATACAATTTTTCATTACTTTATAATAAAAGGAAATGGGCATAGCTTTAAGAAGTCACTTAATAAAATAGCAAATGCCTTCACCAAAAAATAAAGTAATTGTTGAAACATTTTCCAATGTAACTTTATGCTAAAGAAAAGGACAAAAACTTTTTGTAATAAAATTTTAAAGAGATTGATAAAATTAATAAAGCTTAATAAAATGAGGTATGATATTTATGAGATAAAATTTGCAAGGTTTTATATTTATATCATTGCACTAAATACTTTGGATGTGATTTAAATCTAAAAATACGATTTTTAGAAAGTCTTTATTATTAAATTAACAAAGTCAATTACTCTTTAACATCTCTTTAAGAACATCTAAAGCTGGCGATTCCTCCCCAAAGTCCTAAAACAAAATCCATGTAGCAAATACCACCAATTTACCTTCATTTACTAGCTTAAAAAGAAATAGTTTACCTTTATTACAACACACGAACACCCAACGATCTTCCTTGCTTTTCCTGTGTTATCAATTTTACATAATCCGGCCCATTCTCCAAGTTTTTTGTTGTTATCAACTTTTATCAAAGGAATTTCATGTTCCGAGCAAAGAGCCGTAACTAACCTCTTGTACATAGGTTCATCGCAATTATCAGCAAGTATACACAAAACGGCCTGTCTTTTGTCAAGTGCCTTAGCTGCCTCGTGTATGCCATGTACGACGCCATCATGAATGAGGGCAGTTTTCAAGACTTCTTGTAAAGCCTCGTTAACATTCATCGTACCGCCAGTTGCGGCCGGCACAGAGGGAGCATCATCGCTGCAAAATAAAAATGAGGTTATGTTAGATAAATTTGAAATGTTATTTTATGGAAAATTTTGAATAATTTCGTTTGTGTCAGATGTAGGAATTTACAGCACGATTTTTTTAATTTGGGTTCCTCAGAAGAGGGAGCCTACAGACTCATCATTTCGAATAAATAATAAAAATAATTAATTTTTAGGTTATACTTACACATCAACATCAGACATTTTGAGGTTTCAGCTGAAATTGAAAAAATATAGTGTTAATTTGATTGATATTGTTCATTACGGTTTATTTTTAATAAAATTTAAGAAGATTTTGGGTTTATTTTATAGATGAATGGGGATTTAATCGGGAAAAATTACCTCATGTACTTGCCTCGAACACTGTTCAAAGTGGAAAGAGGAAAGAGTGGGAAAAGACGTTCCTGTTGGCGTTGCTGTCATATCTAAGCCGATAATATCACCAGCAAGGTAACCAACATAATATAAAAATTTTAAATTTAATTTACTTTTGCAATTTAATAAATGGTAATAAGAATATTACATTGAATATGTTAAATGTTCTATTTGTATTTTATCTAAATAAAACATTAAAAATGTTGTTGGCAGTGTGACCACCAACTTCGGCAGTTTAAACAGAGATGGCGCTAAAATTATTAATAGAGTGTAAGTTACAAATGTAACCCCATTATTACCCCAAATAGTCTTAGGCTCTGTAAAGTGTACAAATACTAGTATATTCCGATGATGTGGAGATCATAGGTAGAACTAAGAGAGATATGGTAGAGACTTTCATAACATGTACAAATGCAGCAAAAGAACTAGGTCTAAATATAAATGTTAAATCTTCAAGGATTTAAACCCCTTGATTTAAATTAAAACGGATCTTATACCGACAGTATATAATTTCAACCTAATTAAGGTCATATTTAGAAGCAGGGACGATTGGGCGAAGGTGAGCCTCAACTTAAAAAAGGAGCCCTTGCCTGATACACCAATGCGTCACAATATATTCGAATTAGAGGCATTAGTGGACCAAATGGACGCATTAAATTGCCCCTCAGCTCAGACATGACCATTTTTCAAGCAGAAGTTCTTGCTATAAACTTCTGCACCGTTTTGAACCTAGAAAAATGCATCCATAAACATTTTATTCCGCTCTAAAGACAATTCAGGCCTATATGTGTAACTCTGCACTTATCAGAGTGTTCCAGCAACCTAAGATAACTCGTTAGAGGCAATGATGTTACGCTATGGTGGGTTCCAGGTCACAGAGACATTGATGGCAATGAAAACGCGGACAAGCTGGCCAAAGAGGCAGCGAAAACCCTAACCCGGTTGTGGACTACAAAAAAGCCACTTAAAACAAGTAATCAGTAGTTAGGAGGCTTCAAAGATAACCTTACGCTGGAAAGAACTTCCAGGTCACAGACAAGCGAAGAGTATGATCACTCCAAAGAGGTTTTATGCCACAGCAGAGGGGATCTAAGGTCGCTCTCAAGCTTCTTAACTGGCCATGCGCCTCATCTCTACCACATTGGATAAGCTGAGGATCAAAATTATCGACTTTGTGCAGAAATAAAAAAAGAATATATGAGGTCAGTAGGTCAAGGTCATGATCACGCCAGGCGACCTTGACCTTGCGCTCCAGAGGCGGTTCATTAATCGGCAAATAGATGTGAAGTGGCCTTGCCATTGATCTTTACTTTTCGGTTCCAAGAGGAAGTTCGCAAGTCGGTAAATAGAAATGAAGGTATCCTTAGCCATCATTTCAACCTTCACTCCTCTTCTATATAACATTACGGTTCAGTTCTGTTTGTCACTTTGTATTATGAGTTGATCATTTTACCAGTTTGAGGGTTCCAAGTAACCTATCATTGTTATCTTTTGTGAGATTTCCGAAGATTACTAAACAAGCTGTAGTTGATTTGCAAGGATACGATATTCCTCATTTTGAGGTGAGAGAAGTTTGTCTATTGGACACAAATTCCACCTTTGTGCTACATGAAAACATTCGTGTTAGTGTGCCCAGAGATGGATTACCGATAGCACAACGATATGCAGCATGTTTTGTGGAAACTAACCACCACAGATTATCGTATAATGGTGGCTTAGTATCGTAACCAGAAGGATTAGCAAAAATTAAGGGTGTTGTAAAGGAGTACGATGTAATATACACGAAAGAAAAGCAGAAAAAACGGTTTTTAAAGCAACTTCTTGAGGGATGTGAGAAGACATGCATCGTTGATGTGGGTGATCCCAAGGAGAAATTCATAAATGTTCCATGGTTTAAGGAAACCAGTACTTCCATTAAAACTTGTTTTCGGCTTGTTTAATGATATATTTTGCGAACCATTGAAGTTTGTTTTTGACTTCTGCTGGTTAAAAAAATCCTCAGACATCGATTGCTCTAACATGGAAATGCTTTGCGAATTAGAACTATATCTCGAGTTTTTAGCAACATTTTGTTGCTCCATTGCGGAGCTCCTCTTAAGATTAGTTGATCTTGAATACTGATGTCACTAAATATACATTATATTATTAGTTATGTTGTTACACGTTGTATATATATTATTTAAACTTACTTGTTATTAAATTTAAAAACTAAACTGAACTGGTTACAACTGATTACAATTATGCACACTGATACAACATATTGACCAAGAAGACAAAAAGCGAAATTTATAATACTGTAATTAATGATAGATTGCTGGGAACGTTTGAAAGAAAGATACTTAGACACATATAAGGAGGAATTCACGTTTTAACAATGAACTGTATAAAAAATACCAGGAACCAGGCAACTATAAAAATTGGAAGACTGAGATGGATAGCACATGTGGAATGGATGAAGGAGGTGGAACTAACGAAATAAATAGTTAGACAAATACCAGTAGGACAGAAATTGAGAGGAAGGCTAAAGATGAGACATATGGACCAAATGGAGGGGAACCTCAAAGTGAGAAATTAGAGACCTAATGTAATCATGACGTAATGATGATGATGAGTCTAGGTTCTGTAACAAAAAAGTAAAACTGAAATGTTAAGTTTAAAAATCCAGTTGAGTTTACTTATAAAAAGATACAAATACAAAAAAAATACCACATTAATAAGATAACACTTCTTTGATACCTTATTTTGAGCATAAATTATTTAATCCTAACGGTCATGAGATTACAGAATTTTATTTTTATGCGTTGTAGTTACAATTTCAAAACGAAAAATTACACATTTAGATTATTACATAGGAGCTAAGGAAAAAAAAAATGAATTAAATCCATACGTTTATAATCATCATAAACATTGATCGAGAGTTTTGCAGTTTGTAAAATCGTACGTCACATATAAAATATATAATTATTATAATTTAAATATAAATTGTATTTTATTCAGTCATTTTAGTTTTCAGTTGTATTTATATACAGGACGAATTGTTTCCAGTTTTCTTTTTGCAATCACAATTATAGGATCTCAACTTAATCGTTTCACCTTTCAGAAAATAGTATTGATGAAGAATTTGGCAAGATTTATTTTACAATCATCGAAACTTTATTGCAATTTTACCTTTCTTTTTTTTTTTTTGTTAAATTATTATCATATTTGTTTTACCTAAATCCGTACGTTTACGAACAATAAACACAGATATGTGTCAAAACGACATCAAAAACACAAAACTTTTTAATAGTATACAATTAACAGCTATATATATACACACAGCTGCCTTTCCAAAAAAATGGCACATTTCACAGCAATTAAATAATAGTTGTCTTAATCAAGTATCGTTTTAATTATTTTCTTTTTAGTTTTAGTCACAATCCTTCAACAGGAGACGGAGTTGTTCCTTCTGGTAAGTTCTGTAACAATCCGGCTTTTTCTTCTTTAACCCCGGTCGTTCCATTGTAGACGGTTTCATATACTGGATTTACAAAATTATTTGACTAAATTTGAGAAGAAAAAAGGAAAAAAAAAAGAAATAAAACAAAAATAAAAAATAAATATATTCCTTAAGAACTTACCCTATCTGTATCTAAAGTAAATGGCTCAGCATCTCTATCTTGATAAATTGGATTATTAAAATCGTTCTCCTGTAACCTTTCATGTGAAAATGGCTTCCGTTTCCTAATATATAAATATCCGAAAATGGTGCTAGCTATCACGACCAAAATGATTACTGTTAACAATGTGACAAGAACGTAATTTCCATTTCCTGCGTTTGCTTGAGTCGATTCAATTAATTTGGGAGTTTCACAAGATTGGCCTTCAAATCCAATGGGGCATTTACAAAAATTAAGCCCGTTAGCGTCTATATCACAGGTACCATTGTTTAAACAACTGGGTTCGCATTTTGCTGTCGAATGTTCACAGTGTACTCCTTCAAAAGGTTTCCGACATTCACAATACACTTCGTTCAATGCACTTCGGCAGATTCCATCGTTAACACAAAGATTATCACATCGAGTATCAGTATTGTTATTAGCAGAAATGTAAATTTCGCAACGAATTCCTGTCCATTTTGGTGGGCATTTACAAGTAAATGAATTATTGGTATATATACATTTTCCTTCATTTAAGCATGGACAAGTTTTAGGGCATCCTGCTGGGGGGTTATCACCGTCACATAAGTTGATTTGGCATCTGCGTCCTGCGAAGAACGGTGAACATTCGCATTCAAGCTGCTTTATTCCACTCCCCATAATACAGGTTCCACCGTTCAAACATTTTTGCGAACACAAATCTTTTTCGCAGCGGTCACCTGCATATCCGGGATTACAACGGCATGTTGGCCCATCTGGTGTCGCTATACAATTTCCATTTTTACTACAAAAGTTATCACATACAAAAATATCGCAACACTTGCCCTTAAAACCAACTGGACAGGAACAAGTTTCCTCCTCTCCATTTTGATTTACCTTGCAAACACCTCCATTATGACACTGTAATCGCGAACAATGCTCGCATTTTTGACCGGAAAATCCAGCTGGACAGCTACATTGGTAAACATTTGGTTGTGTTGAATAACATGTGCCTCCGTTATAACATGTTTCATTACAAATTGAGAGAGGTGTTTCACAATGCTCTCCAGTGAATTGAGGTTGGCAATAACAACGAAGTTTTGGTTTTAAAGATATTGGATCAGTTGTAAGGTAATCAACGTAACACATTCCTTTGTTGTGACAAAACTGCGAGCATCGATAATGTTCGCAAAGACGACCTGAGTATTTAGGGGGGCAATCGCATTTAGGTTCCTCCCCTTTATTCATAACACATGTTCCTGAATTACAATTTAATGGGCATGGTTCTGATATCACTTGACAAGTGAAGTTTGTTTTTAAAGAACCATCTGGACAAACACATGTCGTTCCATTTGGATTTAAAAGACAAATTTCAGAACTATGACAAGCATCCAAACATCGATTCGTTAAATTCTTAGTTTGTTTATGTTCGTGTAATATTTGTATGTCATATAACCTAGCTAAACCCATGGCTAAATAAGTCCTATTATCCTTCCCATGTTTATGAAAACGAAAAACATTATGCGTCCGATACGTTGTTAGATAAATGTAATCTTCAAAAACATCTATTTTAAATGGTTTCACTTCCGAGCTAAATCTATGTGTAATCTCTTTTTTACTTCCATTAAAATTAACACTTCCTATATAATTCGTTTTTGGGTCCGCCCAATATAAACGTTTCGTTGGATAATCAATAGCTAAACCAGTTGGCCAAAGAATATCATGTTTAAGTAAAACTTGTCGTTGATTTCCGTCCATATGAGAAGTTTCTATAACAGCAACTGGTCCCCAATCGGCCCAAAACAGTAAACCGTCTTCAGGGGCAACAACAATGTCTCTCGATTGTTTCATATTTCCATTGATTAATGTAAAAGAATGTGAACCATTAAACGTCGAAACTACAATTCGATTTGTATCTGTGATATAAAGTTTCTTTGTAACCCAATCAACAGCCAAACCTCTTGGTTCTATTAAATTCTTAAGAACAGTTACTAAATTACCTTCAGTTCTAATATGTTCATGTGATACTAGATATAAATCGATACTTTCAACTTGTTTAGTTTGATGATTTGTGCAAAAAACAGTTAATTCTTTCTTATTTGAATAAATATCAATCGAACCAACCTTGTATCTAGGTATTGTCATAAGCACAGATTTGTTGTACAATTCATTTGGTTCATCAGCTTTATAAGGTGAGATTAATCTCAATTCAGCTTCAACTGCTAAAATTAAAGTTGCAGGTTTCCCAGCCGCGGAACAACCAGTATCCGAATTATGATGAAACCCATCAGCGCATTTACACATTGTCTTATTTTCACTCTCCTGAACGCAAATTTGCGAACAAGTATTCCATTTGCACTGACCATTTTTAGCACAATTCACCTCATCGCTATTATCAAAACAATCATTTTGGCCATCGCATACCAAATTATTATTGATACAATGTCCATAATTGCATTTGAACTCGTGCGATCGACACGTTCTAGTTGAATGACATAATGATTGAAGTTCATCGCTTGCATCGCGACAATTATCGACGCCATCGCAGACTTGGTGCATTGGAACGCAAAGATGGTTGGAACAACGGAAGTAATTTGCGAGACATGGACGGTTTATGCATAATTCAGGGCTTTCATCAGAATTATTTTCACAATCATCTTGGCCATCGCATACCCATTGTTCATTTATACAAAATCCATTCGAACATTTAAATCCATTATTTGGACAGGTTTTGTTACAGTTTAATTCATCGGATGCGTCTGCACAATCTATTTCGCCATCACAACGCCAATCACTAAAGAAAAATAATATAAAAAATGTAGTAAGTAATTTAGTAGTAAAGTTAATAATTTAGACATATGATGCATAACTTTAAGAGTATAGTAATAAAAGCTGTTTAAGTTACACCGCTGGTTTTTAATTAAAAGATGACGACCACCACCTCTGACAAGTTATGGGTTCAGAGTCGCTAAAGAAATAACAAGAGGTGTTGTAACAACGGAGAAAAAAAGAAGAAATGAAGTTAGAACGGTAAAGTAAAATGGACCTGTTGTATAAAATTGAAAAATAAAGATAATTGGAGTTTGTGGAAGTTCCAAATAACAATTCAGTTAAAAACGAAGGATGTTTTTGATGTAGTGACAGGAGAAGAACGAAGACAGTTCAAGGTACAGAGAAATACGAAGAAAATTTAAAAAATGGATAATCAAAGACGCAAAAGCACAAGGAATACTAGTGGAAAGGATGGAGGAAGCTCCAATGACACACATCTTAAGCTGTGGAAAAATGCGGAAAAATTGGACACATTAAACAAAATTGTAAGGAGAAAAAAGAGAATAGAACATGTCATATTTGTGAAAAAAACAAGATCACATCACAAAAAATTGCTTGATTTAAGAACAAAAAAACAACAAACAGAATAAGAAAACTAATAACAACAATAAAGTCAATGCATTCATAAGCATTTGCAGGTAGGACAGTTTGTAGAAATGGAATCTGCAAAGAAAATAAAGATTCGGATGGAAATATCTTAGATGCTACATCAGTAGGAAGAATTCGGTTAAAGGTATTCAATGGAAAGGATTGGGAAATGGTGGATTTGAAAAATGTTTTGTATGTATCAGGTTTGAAGGAAAATCTATTTTCTATGGGAATTGCACTGTCGAAAGGATATAAAATGACATCAGATGAAAAAATATGTAAATTCACGAAATTTGAGCATGTAAATTTCGAATACAGAGCAAATGTAGGAGTAACTGTAGATACCTTACAAGGATGGCAAAAACAACTTGCACACCAATCAAAGGCATACACGAGAGAATGGTTAAAGCGCCATAACATCGATTATGAAGAAGATTCAACAGAGGAAACATATACAGAAGAAAAAGATGGTGAACAAGACGAAAATGCTGAAGTTGAAGATATGGGTAATAATGATGAGATAACTGAAGAGGAGGTATCTATAAATAATGAAACACTTGAAACAGAAGAAAAAAGAAGAAACCATAAAATTAAGAACTAGAAGCTGACTAAAAAGACCAATTAAATACAACGATTATGAGACCTGTTTGATAATTCAAATTGAAGAACCATTAAGTTTCAAACAAGCCATGGAAAGTACCGAAAAGAAAAACTGGGAAAAAGCAATAAAATCTGAAATAAATAGTCTTCTTGAAAATGAAATTTGGGAGGAAGTAGATAGATCAAAGAATGAAAAAGTAATAGACGCAAAATAGGTTTTCAAGATAAAAGAAAATGAAAAACAGATACAATACAAAGCGAGATTGGTAGCAAGAGATGTTTATACTCCAGTAGTAAAACTGCAAACAGTTAAAACGCTTTTAACTATAGCACATCATTTAAAGTGGTATATTCAACAGATGGATGTAAAAAGCACGTGAAAAACTTTATATGGTTTGAAAAAATCACCAAAATATTGGAAAAAAACATTTAATACATTGATTATTGAACAGAATTTTAAATAACGGTTGATTATTGTTTATATATGTTACAGTTAAAGCATTCATTCCGTGAATGTACATATTGTCTAGTCAATGCATACATGAACTAATTTATCTAGTTAAGAGTGGAATTGCAGCTGCCAAAACTCGTGGCAAGTATGCAAAATTGCCTATTCAAATGGATAAGGCGCAAATCGGTATATTTTTAATATTATGTTATGTTGGGTGGGTAACTATAGTAATCCTATATAAATAAAGACTATTTTATGTTGGATGTTGGAGAGAGTAAGCGATCGAAGAGATCAATACGGCATACAATATAATATTTATCATAGGGTAAAATTCAATCCCGGCATCTACTTCAAAATCGGTGAACTATTGAAAGTAACTAAATCAACTTATCTACACTAAATTTGTTGTTAAAATTCAAACTTCGGTGATTTTGTCGAAAATACAATTTATTTATATTGTTCTTTTCAGTATATGTATTATTATACCCATACTGAAGGAAACCATTCATCTAAATTCATAATTAAAGATTTCATTTGGAGTAATATCAATTGAAAGTTTGTAACTTTTTACCTACTTTCCTATTTTACAAAACAAAGAATGGTTTCTCTTGATTTAAACGATAGAAGTACACAATGCAAATTACGCTAATTAAATTTAGTACATAAAAGAGAAATCACCGAAGTTAATTTTCAAAGTTGGTAGACAGGGCTAAATACCATCCTTAATGTGTATATAAAACACGAAATGTAAACTTTTACTAGTTAATGTATACAATTACTAATGATGCCCAGTTAAAGCTTAAAGTATGTTTACTAGTATATTACATAACAAAACCCAACCCAACCCAAAAAATGGTTACTACTATACTTACTTACTTACTACTTGCATCAAATGCAATCCCTTCCATTAAAAAAATTATACTGTAAATGTTCTTTGTTATAACTTTTACTAACATCTGTTAGCAAATGCATACACTGCCTAGTTTATGTACACATTCACTAGTAAATGTATACACTCTATGACTGATAAATACTTTCACTAAAACATTACGTTAATGTATACATTGACTGGCGAATGTGTACATTAAGTGAAATGCACGCTTTACCTGTGACATATACAAAAATAGACACAAAAACTCGAATATATATCCTAATTTATGTGGATGATTTACTAATAATTGGAAACAACAAGGACAAAATTGAAGAGATAAAAAAGATTCTAAAAGGGAATTTCAAAATGAAAGATTTAGGAAATGTAGAACATATTTGGGAATAAAAACAGAACAAGGGGAAGAAAAAATGGCGTTATCTCAAATACCTTATTTGAAAAGAATATTAAAAGCATATAAAATAGAAGATTGCAAACCTTATGAATGAAAACTTCAAGATGGAACAAAGCAAAGCATCAGAACGTCATGAAACTAGAAACCAGATGTAGAAAGTTAATTACGACCAGGTCAAATATTAAACTTATTATAAAGTTGATATGTAAAATGTTTCAATTGAGAGAGGGTGTGAAGCAACAATTAGTAACATTATACATATAATAGATGGTGTTAGAGTTAGTTTACAAAGTTGTAGAGATAGTTTTGTTATAGCAACCAAAAGTAATGTAAATACTATTGTTTTCAATATCAATAATAATAAAAACTGTTTAAGTTACACCGCTTGTTTTTAATTAAAACAATATAAGTTTTAATAGAAATAAGTTTTTTACTTACATATAAATGCACATTTTTGGATCTCCACATTGAAATTTATTATCCCCACATTTTGGATCACACATAGCTTCATCGGATTTGTCTTCACACTGGAATTGTCCATCGCAAACGGCCGTGGCGGGAACGCATTTGCCGTTTCCGCAACGATGTTCGGATTCGGAACATTCCCTCATCGTACAATTATGTTCATCTGACCAATCGCCGCAGTCGTTCACGTAATCGCAACGCCACCGTCCCGGTATACACTTTCCGTTTAGACATTTATGGTAGGAAGGCTCGCAGGTGTGATAGTTTGAGCCGCGACATGATTCTGGTTCGTCTGCTCCGTCGGGGCAATCTTTATCGCCGTCGCATTTCCACGAATTCGGAATACAACGACCGTTGGTGCAGCTAAATTGGTTTACGTCGCAGGTACGGTTTGCGCAATCTGTTTCATCTGAGCCATCCCGACAATCTACTTCCCCATCGCAAACCTAAAAAATATTTTATTAACCACTTGTCTAATTAAATCTAAAATTTAACTTACCCAAACTTGTGGAACACATTGATCATTTTTACATTGAAAATTATTTGATGGGCAACTTCTAGGAGGGCAATCTTTTTCGTCATCACCAAATGGACAATCATCAATCTTATTACATAGACTTAAAATTGATACACATTTCGGTGGAGTGGTATCATTTCCCTTACATTTGTATTGTGTATTTAAGCAAGTGTAATTATAACAATTTTTTTCATCATCATTGTTGCCACAATTATCAATTCCATTACACAGTTCTGATGGGTGAATACATTTTGTTACGTTAGTGGTGTTATTATTATTACATTGATACTGTCCTGGTTGGCAATTAAATGGGGGACAATCACTAGGTTCATCTGATTTATCGTCGCAATCATCTTGAGTGTCACATTTCCACCAGAATGGAATGCATTTATACGAGGTGGCGCATTCGAAATGAGCTGAGGTGCAATTTGATATACATGATTTTTCATCACTTCCAAGAATGTGATTTTCAGGGCACGCGCATTTGTAGAATGGCTCTTCTGAAGTTAGTAAACACAATGCTGAGCAGTTTGCTTTTTCACAGGGATTATTATGTTGTGGTTGCCTAAACGGGTGGTATAATCTTAAATCCATAGGTCGATGTACCATTTTAAATAAAGTTTTTGTCTCATTTCCATAATATTTATGACAACTCTCGATCGACATCATTTCCCAATCGGTCCAATAAAGTCGGTCTTCCCAAATGGTGATTGCAAAGACATGATGTAATTTTAAAGCGGCATTTGAATTTCTATCGGCTACTATGCGTATATTATTTCCATGCAGGTCAGCAACCGCTATGTAATCTTCGCGAGCATCCGCCCAAAATATTTCGTCGGTTTCATAATCGATCGTTAAAGCATTTGGCCAACCTAAATTTTTTTCTATTAAGATTGTAGCATTTGATCCGTCCATATCTGCTTTTCCAATGTGGACGTTATCGCCCCAATCTGACCAATACATGAAACCCTTTAATGGATTCAAAGCTATAGCTCTTGGCTCTTCTAAACCAACGGATACTAAAATTTTCCGGAATTTACCATCCATTGTAGATACTTCGATTGTGTCTAAACCCTGAAAGCAAATTGAAAGAATGAAAAAGATTAATAATTATATTAATTTTAATATTACTTTATCACACCAATACAAGTTTCTTCCAATCCAATCAATTGCCATCCCATCAGGGTTTTGTAATGAAGGTCCATGTAAAATCGTAGTAGTTTTATTTGTAGCATTTTCGCACAATTTCATAATCTTACTTCCGGTGACGACTACATCAGACCAAAAGTAACAATTCGATTTCCAATCGAAATCTAAAGCGACTGCGTTAGATAAGTTATGCACCAAAATAGTATGACGTCCAACCAGATCAACTTGTCTTATGTAATATCTATTCGCGACGATAATTTTAGGAGTTTCAGTTGTAACCGCTACACAGGTTCTGTTATCGGATTCTAAATAATAATTCGATTTACATGAACATGTAAAAGAACCGTGATGATTTCTGCATTTTTGGCTGCAAGGACGATCTTCGCATTCGTTTATATCGACACATTTTCCTGGTTTATCTGGGTTTAATTTATAACCAGGGTAACAGCTACATTCAAAACCAATAGGTTTATCAGTACAATTTTGCGTACAAATGTTTTGATCGGATCTACATTCATTGATATCTTAAATAAAAAAAGAAAATCAAAATCCGAATAATACAGACATTTTTAAAACACAAAATATAAATACATTTATTAAATTATTCATAGATTTGAAGACGGCATTCGATAAGGTGGATAGGGAGGAGATGGAAAGGAGGGGGTCACGGAGCAGCTGAGGAAGAGGGTAAAGGGGATATACAGGGAAACGACGGCGACGGCTGGAGATAGAGTAGGGAAAACGATAAGCGAAGCGTTTTGAACGAAACAAGGGTGACCACTGAGCCCCAGCCTTTTTGCCCTGTATAGGGAGGATTTGGAAGGCAGGCTGGAGAAGGGGCAAATGGGCTGAGTGGTGGTAGGAGGAAGAAAGGTTCACGTGCTAGCGTGAGACACTTGGAGAGGTATTTCAGGGCGAAGGGGTTGGAGGTGAATGTTGCAAAGACAAAGATGATAAAGTTCTGCAAAGGGAGAGAAGAAAGAGGGAGGAATAGAGATGGAAAGGGAGGGGGATTGAGGAGGTGAGAGAATTTACATATCTGGTGTACAAGTTTAGGGAGGATAGCAAAGACGCGGCATGTGAGGGAGCTGACTAAAAAGGTAAATAAGGTGATGGAGCAGGTCTGGGGATGGGGTGAGAGACAACTCAGGGACATCAGCAAGATTATGTTTGATGGGTTGGTGAGGAGTGCAATGATGTACGGGGCGGAAGTTTGGGGATGGAGGGGGCATGATATTCTAGACGACATATAGAATCGGTATTGGAGGTGGGTTCTGGGCCTGGTGAGGGAAACACCGGGGGGGTATATTGTGAGGGAGGAAGTGAAGGTGGATGAAATGAGGATGGAGGCAGGCAGAAGAGCGAGCAGCTAAATATGAAGAAATAATAAATAGAAGACCATACAGCGGGATCCTGGGGAAGTGTTGGGAGTTAGTTAGGGAGGGGAAGATTAGATATGGTAAAGGAGAGAGGAGGGAATATTACAAAAGGACGGGTTATTCGGAGGCAGAGATAAACAACAAAAGATGGGAAGAGGTGGACATCCAGAGACAGGATAGAAGGACGCACATAAGAGAGGAAAGGTATAATGAAAGATATTATGACCAAGGTCCGTAAAGCGTATTGTACAAGGTTGGCCAGACGAAGAATTTCAACGTATGAAAAGTGAACCCCCCTGGCATGCCCTAATCGTGACGTCACGTGTTACAGACGCTGATAGGACTTCAGGATGTGATAGCTTGTCCAAAAATTTGAAAAGAAGTTGCAGAAACATGAAATTGTAGAAGACCATCATCAGCAACAATTTTCCGTAAATGTTCGGGCTGCCATTGTCGGTGATCATTTGATAGGCCCACATTTTTTACCAAACAGATTAAACGGTGCAGATCATCGACAATTTCTAGAAGAAGTACTGTTGGAACTGCTGGAAGATGTACCGCTTCAAGTAAGACAAAACATGTAATGTATGATAGAGCTCCGGCACACTTTAGTTTGGTTGCTCGCCAATACTTGGACGACGAATACCCAGACCGTTGGATCGGCCGAGGAGATCCGCACTCTTGGCCACCGCGATCTCCCGAACTTAATTGTTTAGAGTTTTTCTTTTGGGGCCATCTGAAAACCCTAGTCTACGCTACTCCAGTTGAAAATGTTGACTAATTAAGAGAGCGCATTGTTGTATCTTCCGACATAATTCGGAACACTCCTTGAATTTTCCTGCGTGTTAGACACTCAATGCGTCGAAGAATTGCTGCGTGCATTGAAGCTATTTTAGGCGGAAATTTCCAACATTTAATTTAATTGTGTATAATTTATAATTGTTTTTTTAATTGTCTAATTATGAAGTTAACGTTTGGTTTTGTTACTTGTTCTAACGTTTTAGTAAAATAAAATTTTTATTTTAAAAAATTGACCATGTTATTCAATATAAAAGTTGATTTTTCTCGAAAACAGTCAATTTTAAAGCTGATGACCAGTACCTTTTGTGTAGAAAACATTGACGGTTCAAATGGGCGTCTCAAAACTGTACTTTTTCCAGTGGCGTAGAAGTTGGGGAGAAAAACAACAACTACCCTTCAAAATCTTCACCAATTGACTTTAAAAAAATTTATTTTATTAAATTTCAACACCTGGTATCTCGAAAATAGTGCATTTTAGAGGGTAAGTTGATAGAAGCTTTTTTTCAAATTTTTGGACAAGCTATCACATCCTGAAGTCCTGCACATATATTATGAAACACCCTGTATAATTAAATAATAGTAAAAGAAAAATAGATAACTTTCATAATCAAAGTGTTTAATTAAGAAAAGCAGAATATTTAAGATAAATTACTTAGTTTCAGTCTCTAGCTCACACTGCTTCGTAACTCGTGACTTTTCCCTTCAAAACGCGTTCTGCTGTCTCTGGCCACCCTGGTACAATGCGCTTTACGGACCTTGATTATGACATAATGACGGAAAGGCTTCCAAAATACTTGGTGAAGGAAGGGAAGAGGTTGGTGGCCAGATTTCCGTGGGGTAATGAGGAAAGAGCGAACAGGTACTGGACGGATGATGTGGAGAGGTGGTGTCGACGGTGCGGGCAAGATTGGATACGCTAGAACATATTATGTTGAGGGGATGTAGTGAGCTGAGAGAAGAAGAAAGGAAGGTGGCAGAGTCTGGAAGAGGGGGGAGAAGGCAAAGGATGGATGAGGGAGGTGGTTAGGACGAGGGAACAGAGGTGATAAGGGAAATTAAGTTTGGTTTGTCATGTATTGTACAAAACGTTGCAAACTTTTAGTAAACAATAAAAATTCTTATATAAATAAATTTGTACTTACTACATAAATGTTCATCAGAATAATCCCCACAATCATCCTCTCCATTACAAAGTAACGATTCATTTACACACACTCCATTCGTACACTTATATTTATCTTTACAATCGTCGTCATGATGATCAATACATCCCTCCTCATCACTTCCATCAATACAATCCTTCTTTTTATCGCAAACGAGTTCAGCAGAAATACAAGTGCCATGCGAACACTGGAATTGCCCGAGATTGCAGTGCGAAGCGCAAAATGGCGGTTCATCACTTTTATCACCACAATCCGCATGGCCATTACAATATAAAGCCAGAGAAATACATGTACCATCAGCACATTGAAATTCTGTGGTGTCACAAAATTCTGGACATTGTAGTTCGTCTCCGTGATCATCACAATCAGGTTCGCCATCACATACCATTTGTTTTGGGATACACTTATTTGAACTGCAACGGAACTCGGTTGAGGAACATGTGCGAGTTGGACAGTGGTGTTTTTCGTCGGATTGATCCAGACAATCATTTTGACCATCACATACCCATGATTTAGGTATACAATCCCCACTATCACAAGTAAACCATGTCGGACGACAAGTTTTTGAACATTGTTCTTCATCAGAACCATCTGGACAATCTTTTCGACCATTGCATCTTACACTTTCTGGTAAACAGGTTGAGTCATTACATCTAAATTGATAACTATTACATTCGAGCGAGCACTGTTCTTCATCTGAGCTGAATCCTCCAATTTCAGCATCTTCACAATCATCAAAGTTATCACAACGTTTTGAGTAATCAATACATTTCCGACTTCTTAAACAATAAAATTCATTTTTTTTACATTGCGGATCATTTCTTTCAGCACAATTCATCTCATCAGACATATCCCAACAGTCATCCTCGCCATCACATATCCATTCAGTATGTAGACACGCGAAAGTATTATTGCAACTGAAAAATTCGTCACCATATAGACCTTTGCACGGCAGTGTGCCGCAATTTCTTTCATCGCTAGCATCACGACAATCCGGATCACGATCACAAGTGAAATTTCGTGGAATACACTCCCCAGAGAGACATTTAAATTTAGTAGTTTCTGGGCAACTGCAGTTAATTTCATCACTTGAGTCACCACACTCATCGATTCCATTACAGTGATATGACGTTTGTATACATCGCCTATTCATGCACATAAACCATGCTTGTGGGCAAACTCTATGTGCGCAATATCCGGGTTCTTCATCAGATCCATCAATGCAATGTTTAATTGTATCGCAAGTTTGTTCAAATGGAACACATCCCCCATCGGAGCAACGAAAAGAATCTCCTGTACATGATGTAGTTGAGTTAAGAAAGCATCGAAAACCGTCTTCAGCCAAAGTATATCCTTCTAAACATCCGCAACTTACTTCTCCAGACGGTGTTAAAATACAAACCTCGGCGCAACCACCGTTTAATATAGAACAAGGATTTCTTAAGCAATTGTTAGTATCGTTTGCAATTGCGACGATTCCCATTGGTTTATCAACATCTCTTCGTAACCAAACCACGTCTAATCCTGTTACTTTATCCGCACGTAGTACAGAGTGTAATAACCAATCTGTCCAATAAATATAATCACCATAAACAGCTAACGCAAATGGGTGTTGCGGTGTAACTTTAGCTAAAATAATTCGGTTACTTCCATCATATTCGCATCTTTCAATCTTATCAAGTCGAGCATCACTCCAATACAATTTTTGTGCTTTATGATCAAGTGTTATTCCATTGGGCATACGAATTTCAGTGCTAATTATTATACGGCGACCATATCCCGATAAATAAGCACTTTCTATAGCTGGTTGAAGTGAATTCCAATTAGTCCAATATAATCTTCCACCACAAGAATCTACCGCTATACCACGTGGTTTATCATCACTTCGCAATTTTATTACAACCTCAACGTTTCCTGCACTCGTTCCAAATTGAGTTAAATTCGCGTGACTAATCGCAGCTTCGTTATTACACGTCCAATATAAAGTATTGTAAACTTCTTCATAAGTAAGACCTTCAACGGAACCCTGTCGTTCTACGAGTATTCGATGATCGGTTCCGTTGAAAAACACGGAATTAATCGATCCTCTTTGGATATCGGAATAAAATAATCTTTTCGCTCCGTAATTAAATGATAAAGCGATGGCATTTTTTAAGAATGTGGAATTTTTTATGCTGGGATATGGCGCATTTTGAATGTTGTCGTCTTGGATGTGAATCGAATCGATACTTAAAACCTATAGTAAAAATTAATTTATTTCAATTATTAAGATTTTAAAATTTACTAATTTTAATGCGAAATAAAGCTATGGAGGTGTGTGGAATGAGAAAATGTAATAATCAGAGAAAGAGAACACACTGGCGGAATGAAAAGGTCCGACAAACAATCAAGAAGAAGAAAGAGTCATGGAAGAAATACATAAGAAAGAATTCGGAAGAGGATAGAGTAATAAGAAAACTGAAGGGAGATAAAAGAAAATAAATAAAAGCCGTCAAAGATAAATACAACTACAAGGGAAATTCTGGACATATGGGCGGAATTTTATGCAGAAAAGTTCAAGGATGGAAAACGGACACAAACAATGAAGGAGGGAAGAGAAGATGAGATAAGGGAAGAAGACACTGCAGACATAGTAATTGAAGAGATAACAATGGAAGAGTTAGAAAACTAACAAAAATAATTGAAAACTTGTACAAGAAAGTCAAGGGCATAATATAAATGAAGGGAGAAACATCAAAAACTTTTGAAGTGAGCAAGGGAATAAAACAAGGCGATAGCCTAAGCCCCTTGATATTTATAATATTAATGGAGAGTGATAAAAAAAATAGTAATAGGTTATAAAAGTTTGGAACCAGTAAAAATAGATAATGCTGACGACATATTGCTGATAGCAGAGAACCATAAAAAGGCAAGGAAGTTGATTGAAATATGGACAGAATAAATTAAAAAGATGGGCCTAGAATTGAACGTAAATAAATGTAAAATCGTGATAATAAATAAAAAGAAAATAAGAAATAATCCGAAAGAAATAATTATTAAGGAACAAAAGATAGAAGAAGTATCATCATATGAGTACTTGCATTGCAGCATAATATCACAAGATGGAAGAATAGATTTAGACATAAATGCAAGAATAAGGAAAACAAACAACGTATATCATACTCTAAACAGAACAATTTTTGGGAATGAGATAGATAAAAACATAAAATTGAAAGTATACAACTCGGTGGCAGTACTAATATTAACATATGCCAGTGAATCATGGACACTCCAAGATAAAAATGAAATTTTTACGGAAAATAGTGGGGAAGACGAAGTGGGGTAGGATAAGAAATGAGGAAATAAGACTGGGAGAAGATCAAGAGGAGATAATCAGCAAAATAGAGAGAAAGCAGCTAAACTGGTACGCCCACATAATTAGAATTGAACATAACACAATAGTAAAAAAGGGTATTTGAAGCAAAGAATAAGAAAGAGGGGAAAAAGTGGGAGGAAAGAATAGCAGAAGTAGGGAAGACTAGTAGATATAAAGGAATTAATCAGGAACCAGAGGGAGTAGAAGAGGTGGATGGAGGAATAGGAAAAAGATTTATCCGACGCCATCACACATAAGGATCAAGAGAAGAAGAAGACTAATTTTAACATACCTTAGAAAACATTATCACGCTATCATAATCTTCACAAGAAGTTCCATCTTCCGCAACTTTTCCATGGGGACAAACACACAAAGGAAACGTTCCATTAAAAAGACATAAATGTTGACATCCACCATTGTTATGAATACAAGGATTTGTAGTTTGCTGTCTACTTAAACTAAAAACCTGTACATCTTTTAAAGTTTCACTATGATCAATCTCCAATAAAACCGAAATGTTTGATAAATTTTGTACAGGAGCAACTTTTAAAGATCCCGGTGTTGAAGTATCCAACCAATATAACATATCGTTCCAAAACGCTACAGACACTGTATTCGATGCATTTAAAACGACGATTCTATTTGTACCGTCGTAATCGATTCGTTCAATTGTTCGATTACCGTGATCACAAAAGTAAATGTGTTCGCGTTTCGAATCTAAACTAACGTCGGTTATCAATAGGGCTTCGTTTATCAGGGTATTCGGATACGAACCGTCTAGTTTCGATATTGTCAATTTTGAACGACCACCCCATACCAAAACTCCTTTATGAGGATCAACCGCTATTGAGCTTGGATTACCTAAATCTTGAGAAATTACAACGTAACGTGAGGAACCATCTATTCGTGCCACTTCGATTACACTGTGTCTTATATCTATCCAATATATATTTCGGGCTGACCAATCAACAGCAATTCCTAAATAAAAATATATCATATTTATTAATACATTGATATTTGTAAATTTTAATTTTACCTGTTATTAAATCAGATGCAACATTTTCAACCCCTTCGTGTTGATCAATAATAACCTTTCTATTTGTACCATCTCTTTTTATACTAAATATAATCCCTCGATCACTATCAACCCAAAATATTAAATCTTCCGCTGCTAAATAATCGATAGAATTAGCCATATAAACTTTCGAAATCGGCCCCAACGTGTCCATTTCATTCAAACTTTCATTGATTTTTACTCCGATGATTTCCCAAGATTTTGAATAGAATATAAACTCGGGTACACCTAGACAACGTTTTGGATCGCTGGGATCATTTGTATATCCGGTCGCGCAAATACAACGACTTTCATTTGAAGACATCGGAATACATAGATGATCGCAACCATTTTTCTTTTCGTCACATGGACCTCTTCCTTTTTGTTCTGAAGGATCGTAAATTCTTAAAGATAAAGTTCCCGTTGTGTTTCTGATTGTTGTGTCATTTTCACCTGTTGTTTTATCAGCTGTATGAATAGACTGATCATTGCTATCGGCGTAATATACAAGACCTTTGTATGTAGTGGCGGTTATCACAGATGATTGAGACGGTAAATTTAATGTATACACCTTACCAGTTCTTAAATCGTAATAACTAATCTTTTTATTACTAATCCAATACAATCGATTGTCATCTTTATCAAAACTTAAATAAGACATGAAATTCGCTGCCGAGTTCATAACTAACGTTTTTCTTTCACTTCCGTCCATTAAACTCCTTTCAACCGATGAATTAGTTTCATTTATTGAAATCCAATACAATTTACCATTAGTTGGATCAATCGCCACACTTGATACGTGAGTATCTTTAATGATAATCGAGCTATATTCCCCTTCAAGGTTATAAACTGTGATTCCTTGAAGTGAACCGACGAATAAAAGGTTCGATAACCAATCGAGAGCTAAACCCATTGGATTTTTAATCCTAGTATCGATAATTAATTGAATTGGATCCATGGTTAAACCGGAACGCTTTATTTCATTTAACGCCATGTCGACCCAATAAATTGTTGAGTTCTTTGCTAAATATTCAATTTGTTGAGCCTGCATTACTTCCGGTGCCCTTATTGTTGGCATCATGTGGTAATACGGTTGTTGTAAGTCAACGCCGCGGATTTCCTGCTGTCGCGAAATTAGAAGTAATCGTTCGTTTACTAAAAATAGAGACACACTTAAATTTACAGTACTCTATATAAATCTGCATACTCATCATATTTAAGTATACAGTAACACCCCGAATAGACTGTAACTCTGTCGTCTAAACGAAGTAGAACTGATAATGATTCATTTGCATCAAAAAAGAAAAGAAAATTATTATCTTTGGAATATAAACTTAATATTATCAGAGTTCGATGTAAAAATGAAAATTTGTGGATTGGCAAAGAAGTCGGAATCAACAGTCAGAACAATTATAGAAGATAAAAATTCTCGAAGCTGTAAAAAATGCTCAATCTTTGAATTCAAGCATCATTCGTAAACGTCATGGTATTATCGCTCAGATGGAAGCAATGTTAAAAATATGGTATGATTAATCAAGTAAGACTGAAAATTTGTCCTGTTCATCAAAACACGTTGTGCTCTGAAGGTAAGCTAATTATTTTTGAACGATTAAAAGAAGGAGGTGGCTACACCACCCAAACCATATTCAACGTAGATGAAACTGGTCTATTTTGGAAAAAAATGCCTAAAAGAACTTGAAGAGAATGCTTTTCCAGGTTGTAAAGCCGCCAAAGATCAATTGACAGTGATGCTTGGCGCGAATGCAGCTGGTGACTATAAATTAAAACCTCTTTTAGTTTATCGCTAGCAAAATCCAAGAGCAAAAAAATAAATCTAAATCTGTTTTGCCCGTGATTTGGAAGTGAAATGCTAAAGCTTGGGTGACAGTTTCTCTTTTTGAAGACTGGTTTGGTCATCACTTCATATCTGAAGTTGAACGTTATTGCCAATTAAAATAAATCTCTAATTAATTTCGACCCACATGTAAAAGTTTTATTTTTGCCACCAAATACAACCTGCTTGCTTCAACCGATTCATTACCGAGTCATTAAAACATTTAAAGCTTACTACACGAGACCATCTACATGAAGCTATGAGACAAAACAATGAGCTTTCTGTTAAAGACTTTTGGAAACAATTCGATGTTTTAGATGCCATGAGAATTATTGGGCATCTTGGAATCTTGAAATTTCACAAAAATCTTTAAATGACGCCTGGAAAAAATTGTGTCCATTTTTTTTCATCACTAAAACCCAAGAAGAATCATCACCAGATCCTGATCAAATTGATAATGTGATTGAACAAGTGATCGATCTTGCCAGACAATTAAATTTAGAGGTGGATGTTGATGACGTTCGGATTCACACAATCAGGAGCTGACAATTGATGAGCTTGCAGAAATACGTTAGCAAGATGAAGAGTAAGATATTGAACAATCTAATTCGTTAGATCCGGTTCAATCAGAAACTCAAATGACGGTTGCAAACTTGACAGAAGGCCATATTACAACTTTCAGTTGTCAATGTCAACTTTAATTTTATTATTATATTCGTAATCTTCATAAAATAACCTTTAAAGTTAGTCCAAACATGACGCATTTATCTCAAAAAACTAAAAAGTTCGAACTTTCAATTGATGATTTTTATGAAGTTGACATATTTGTCAACTTCATAAAAAATCTTTTAAAATGAGTCCAAACTCGACACTTTTAATTTTAATATTAATGAAAATACAATCACTTGCGGTTTGAAACGTCAACGTCAATTTTGACATATTTGTCATCTTCATTAAAAAACCTTTTAAAATGAGTCCAAAGATGACGCACTTATCTCAAAAAACAAAAAAGTTAGAATAAAAAACATTAAACCCGAAGTTAGCAACAATGAAGGTATCAATTTAATTTTTAAATATTAATACCAACCTTAATTTTTGATTTTTTTTATTATATTTCCGTTTTTGTGACAAATTTTAACACAATACAATTTTTTTTATGAAAATTAAAAATATATTAAAATGACATTGACATTTCAAACCGGAAGTTGCTTATATCTCGAGTAATATTGGAATTAAACGTATCATGTTTGGACTCATTTTAAAGGATTTTTCACGACGATTACAAATATGTCAAAATTGACGTTGACATTCTTAACCGGAAGTTGACCATAACTTCATTAATATTGAAGATAAATATGTCGTATTTGTACTCATTTTAAAGGATTTTTAATGAAGATTATAAATATGTCAAAATTGAGGTTGACATTTTAAACCTGAAGTTAGTTATCGTATATCATTTTCCGCACTTTCTTTTTATTTTCAACCTGTTTTTTGGGTCATTTCATTGATTAAAAAAAAATCGTCGATTTTTAAGCCACATGATGATTCTTGAATTTTTCCCAAGTTTCTTAATATTTCTTTTGTTAAAAAAAGAGCGTTCTTAAATTTTAACCTGTAAACTTGTAACACTTCGTCCTTAATTTCATTTTACAACTTTTTAAACTTTAATTTTGTAAGTTAGTAACTAATAATCTGATTTCGACTTTGATATGTAATCTTTTTTAACAAAACAAAAAGAAATATTAAGAAACTTGTTTATACAATGGATAAGATGAGACATGTTAACCTATTTGTGGAGTCTCTGAAGATGACCAAGGGCCGAAACTGGTTAGACTTAAATTCTATATAAGTAACTAGTTAAATTCTAGTTTTAGTGATTAAATTTATGCCACGACTTACAGAAACACCCTGTATGCCCTCTGTGCTTGTGGTAGCTGTCATCAGTGTTCTGTGATAAAAATGGACATCAAACAATTTTCAATAGTTTGAGCCTGTCTATTCTGAGAAGTCTAGAGAGAAAGCGAAAATGTCGTTTTCTCAACATTATTCATTTGTCGCTTAGTCAAGTGATGCAATTGAAAAAAGGATTACAAATTTTAGAAAAAATAGACTCCAATGAGATGCGTATTTCTACTACAAAACGGGGAATAAAAAATTTATTAACACGCTAATGAGGAAATTTTGTGTGACCAACCCAACCCGACTTACGCGAATTTAACTTATACAGTTATTACTCGGTCCCACCTATCGCGTAAGTTCGGGATATTACTGTATTTTAATATTAAATGCTTTTATTTCTTAACAAATAGTAATTAAAACATAATACTTACCAACGCATGTTTTATTATCAACATTTAATCGCATAACGTGCGGACAATCACATCGATAAGTGTGGTTTGTATGGATTAAGCATAAATGAGAACATCCTCCATTATTATTCCCACAAGGATTTGGCCCATCTCTAGGTTGTCTACTAGGATGTAATATTTCAATATCAAATGGCTGTGTTAATGTACGCTGTATAACGAAAACTTCAGATCCGGTCCATTTATTCGCCCTAGCAACGCTGTTGGTTCTCCAATCGGTCCAATAGACGTAATTTTCAAATAATGAAATCGCAAATGGGTGCGATAACATGTCGTGATTTCTCAGTACTAATCTTTTATCTGAACCGTCATAAGTAGCGGTGTGAATTGAATCGGATCTTGCATCTATCCAATAAATACGTTCGGAATCGTAATCTAAAGTTATACCATTAGGCCAACCACCATCGATACTATCAGTTAGTACGATTATTTTCCTGTCAAGACCAGCTAATGAACATCGTTCTATTCGCGGTGCATCGTTATCCCAATCTGTCCAAAATAAGTATCCTCGTCGAGGATCTAACGCAATCGCACGAGGACTGTCCATTTCACCTCCTACCAATGTTCGGCGGAAACTCCCGTTTAGTTTTGCGACTTCAATTTGATCGAGTTTACTTTCGGACCAATACAAATTTTCGCCTATCCAATCCACAGCTAAACCTTCAGCAGTAGCCAAACCAGTTTGAACCACTACTTCTATACTACTTAGCGAATTTCCTGAGACAGTACCACGATAAATTTTATCATCCAGCACATCTGTCCAAAAGATCTAAAACAAAAAAAAATAATTAAATAAAATACGCTATATAAAGAAAGTATTTACCATTTGTGTATCCTTTCCAACATAAAAATCCAACGCAATAGTATTCTTCAAACTGGATATTAACGATCGTCCATTAAATGAATGTATATCAACACTTCTAACTTCAAATCGATTACTGAACAGAACAAATGCTGTAGCATTACTTTCACTTTTACAAGTAAAGCCGTCCGCCATCAAGCTGTATCCAGGATGACATTCACATTTATATCTTGACCCAATCGGAATACATTTTTGCGAACACACACCCCAAGACTCGCAGGGATGCATTTCTAAACAATGCTTTTTATCGGGTTGTAGAAATAGGTCATCGGGACACGAACAAACGGCGCCTTCGGGGGCGTTGTGGCAATTATGCGAACAAACTGACGATACTAAGCAGACTTTGTCGTCGCAGCGCAATCCTTCATCGGAATAATCGTCACAATCATATTTTCCATCGCACAATAAATTTACGTTTACACAAACTGTATTGTTATCGCACCAACGGGAAGGATGGTGGCAATTTACTACATCAATATCGTGATGGTGAGGAGGTTTGATTGTATGATCTGAATTTGAACAGTTTTTTTCGTCGCGACCGTTCGAACAATCTTCTAAGGAATCGCATACATATATCTATGAAAAACGAATTTTGTTAATCTTTAATTGTAATTACTGGACACCTGTATTTTTCCAAAAACTACCTTTGGAATACATTCCGCGGTACCACAATAAAACATGTGCGTCCCACAAACATCGTTAATAACGTGACAGTTTTCCTCGTCAGATCCATCCGGACAATCTATAAATCCATTACAACGTAATTTCGGAGCATGACAATCAGTTGAAGGTAAACAGTTCTTTTCATCAGAACCATCTGCACAATCTTCGATTTCGTCGCAATAAAGATCCATAGAAATACATTTTCCATTGTTACACGTAAAGTCTGTCAACTCACATTTTTCAGTTTCTAAAAAAAATTGTAAATATTACAAAAAAAACTCGGTTTCGGTTTAAGACGTAATTAGTTATTGACCGGTTAAGCAAACGATTAAGATTTGATTAAAGCAATGATATTAACCCATTGGATGCCCTAGGATTAATTCTGTAACACACTGAGGTTTTGTATAAAGAAAAATGAAATCAAACTACATTCAGCGGCATAAAAAAATGCATCACCTAGTATGATGACCAGTTTCAAACTGAAATAACTTTTGAACGTATTGGTCGATTTAAATAAGGGTTTTTTATTTGCAGAGTGGCGAAACGTACTGTTCTCAGATGATCGAGGTCGGCTTGTACTCTCCAGATGGTCAAGAGAGAGTTTGGAGCAGAGCAGGAGAGCGTTATGCTTAGTGCAACTTATAAGAGTTTGTAATGGTTTGGGGAGGAATCTGCTTCAAAGAGCTTTGCTTTATTAACGGCAATCTAAACGCGGCTCGGCATATTGAAGAAATTTTGGCTGAACACTTCGGCCCATTTATTGGTGACAATTTCTTGTTCATGCACAATAATGCACGCTCCCATACAGCCCGCAGTGTTGTCTCAATACCTGAATGATTTGGATATCAACAGAATGGAATAGCCTGCACATAGCTCTGCTTTAAACCCTATAGAACACATGTGGGATATGCTAAGCAGACAAGTTAGATCCGCTATATAAAAGCTAGAGGATCTCTAGAAGAAGAGTGAAATTCCGCAAAATGAAATTCAAAACCTGATTCGAAGTATGCCGCGAAGGATGAGGGATCAAGCGATTGGAGGAAATTGATTTATTTGTCACAATTTAATTAAATTTCATCGTCATCCATGAGTTGGTTTAATTTCTGATGGCGCTGCAGAACAAGCTGTGTTATCTTTTAGAATTTGTAACTTTGGTATTAAGAACAATAGAAACTTGATCAAAAAACAGAAGTGATCAGAACAGGCGAGACTACAAACTTCTTATATTTGAAATTAATTTACACAGCAAGCTTCAAAGTGTAGAAAGAAAACACGTTTTAGCGTTTTTCACAATTGCTGAAATTGAAGAACGCCAAAATGGGGAAGACACCTTTCAAATAAAAGAAAACTTATTCAAGTTCAAAAGTTATTGCAGTTTGAAACTGGTCATCATTTTAGGTGAAAAACTATGTTATTATTTTATTATAATTAGAATACTAAAACTAACCACAATTTTGTTCATCCGAATCATCATCAACACCACAATCAATAAAACTGTCACATTTCCATACATTTGGAATACATCGTTTCGATATCACACATTTAAATTGATTTTCTGTGCAATTTCTCAAACAACTTGTGGGTTCATCAGAACCATCTTCGCAATCCAAATCACCATCGCAAATTAATCGTTCATTTACGCAACGCCTATCATTATCACAACGGAAATGATTTGCAGTGCACTCAACCTTTCCGCATGGTCCGTCAACTTGATATGATTCATCACTTCCATCGTCACAATCTGGGCGATGGTTACAAGTGAACATTTCTGGAATGCAATCACCGGTTGATTTACATTGAAATTGACCTGGTTCACATGAAATTGTCGATTTAACGCATGTTGAGTTGATGAAATTGAAGCCGTCGGAGCATTCGCATTTTACTGATTTTGGGATTAAAAGACAAATTTCTTGGCAATCGCTTGTATTGGTGCAATGATTTGCGCCCGTTTGACCTTTTGTATTAAAAATGGCCATTTCGATAACAAAAGGGTTAACTTGGCGTAAAACTGTTTTTTCGTTAGTGTCAACATTTAAAGAAATCAAGTTATTTGATTCTGTATAAAATAAATTTCTTTTATAAAAAGCTAATGTAAAAGCTGTATCTAAACCTTCGGCGATAACTTTGCGATCCGATTTATTAAAATCGATACTTTCGATTCGATTTAAAACACTACACCAATATAATCTTTTTCCAATTAAATCGATTGCTAATTGTGATGGAGAATGATCTGGAGTTGGAGTAATAACAAATGTTTCTTTATGTGTTCCATCCATCCATGCAGAATAAATTGTTCCAATATCAGTTGTTCCATCATGACCTATCCAATACATAATTCCTTTTTTCGGATTTAACACTATATCGGTAGGGTACGTTTTATATTCAGATATGAGAAAACGTTTTTTTGTGACATCCGCGAGTTTTACAACTCCAATTCTACCCCTACTCCCTATATTATCTGCCCAATATAAATTACCACCCATCCAATCGTAAGCGATAGAAACACATTTATCAGCCCCGTTTGATAAAACTTCAATTTTATTACTTCCATTTAAAGAAATTGAATAAATCGAGGCGCTGTGTCCGTCAGCATAATAAATTGATTTTTGCTGAACGTTAACTTCTAAAGCTGTTATACGGATTCCCGCTATTGGAATGATTGTTTCCGTTCCATTTTCGATGTCGATCGATTGTATTAGAAGTGGACGGCTTTTTGCTGTTATTAAAGATACTGGAGCGGAGTTTAATGTACATTCACCCGTCCTTCTTTTTAATGTATAACCCATTGAACATAAACATTTTGCTATTGCGATACTGGAATTCCAATTTGTTACGCAAATATGGCTACAATTACCGTTATTTTGTCTACATGGGTGTGCAACTAAAAAAAAAATCTTTGTGTAAAATGTTTATAGAAAAAAATTAAAGGTATATTAAAGTTAAAACTTTTTATATGATTTTTATTGTTTAACATTTAGGATTTACGCAGGTCAAATAATTTTATTTAATAGTATTAAGGGCAAAATAATATTTATGTAATGCTATACAATGAAGTAGAACGCAACTTAATGATTTTATTTGTATTTTGACTAAGATGTTGCAACTGACGACAAAATAATTACAAGTCATCAATACGTTAGCTAACATCAATTGCGTTAGACATGGATCTTCTTCAAAATGTGGAATGCTTCTTGAAGAGAAAAAAGTTTGAAAAACACATATGTTCAGCATGTGATGGAACAAACCATTTTGTCATTATTTGCAAAAAGATTGTCTGAAGGGACAGAAGGAACCCCAATTCAGTCAAGAAATTCGTCAAAGGAAATGGAAAAAAATCAAAAACTCATAAATATTGCGAGAGTAGCATTGGACTTAACTCACAAGGCACAAAAGGGAGGGAGATGCGCAACATAACGTGGCGGATACTTATTATGAAAGAGATAAAGGCAACAGGAAGATTGTGGCTGAAAGTGAAACAGACAATTTAGTGCTTTCCAATTTTGTCCATGAAGCAATCGTGTACAGCCCATGCCTGACTCCAGTATGATATGAGTCGCATCCAGTGCATTCAAAATAGTCGATTGAAATTTATTTTTGCAATTCATAAATTTGAACGAGTTAAGTACACCTTTATCAAAGTTAATTGGATCAATAAGAAAATCAGGCTCAGATGTTATTTTCTATGTTTTTGTGTTTTGTTTGAGAGACACGCAGAGAGACATTCGTATTGTTGTTCAAGTTAGAATAAAAATCCATCGTCTTAGACAAAGTCAGAAAATTCTAAATCTATTCATTACATTGACATGACGAAAATCTGTTCGCTTCTTAGACTTAGGCGTGAAACATGTTAAATTATGGAAAGACTTATAATTGTGTTATTCAGTAGAACTCTAGGCGCTTTATTTGATAATGAAGTCATAAATTTCACGTGTCGGGGTGATGAACGTGTCCTAGTTTTCCCTGTGAATTTAACAACAGGAGTATAAATATTGTAAAAAGTTAGAATCAATAAAAATAAAGTTGACAGAAATTCTTCTGAAGAATTCTTAAAAATTGGCAGTAAAAATCTACCAGATTTATCCGTACGTATTTGAATCGGACGAAAATAATTTATTAGTCAGAAATTTGATGACAACTAGTGATGGAAAAATAGCGGATAGCGATTTTTCGAAAAGCCGGATACCGGCGTTCTGGTGCATTTCTGAAGTGATACTCTATGTTACCACGTTATTGTGATATTTGAATAAAAATTAAATTAATAAGAAAGCTGATAAGATATGTCAACTTATTTGGATCCAAGATACAAAATGAACTTTTTTGATGCTGATTTAACTAACGAAACAACTGTAAAAAGAGGATTAAAAGAACTGGATTTTATACGAATTTTTAAAAAAAATTGTTGATCATTTCAAAAATTTATTTCTCAAGAACTGAAAGTGATTTTTCAAAACGGCTTGCTGCATTAAAAAGAGGATACTATAATTAATAATTGGTGATATCTCCACAAGGATCCTTCAAGAAATTAATTTTTTAGCGAATTTTTAAAATTATCGATGAAAACGATAACGTAACCAGGCGTTTAATAAATATTAAACATTACTAATTTCTTGTCCACAAAAAAAAATTAGATAAAGAACATCATATTATCACAATTGTGGTTTGGTGATTATTCCACGATGAATAAGCGGTGGATAATACGCACAATGATTAGATTATTTGTGTATGACCTTTCTATTTCCTTCTAGTCAATCCGATATATACCCGCCCATCGGAAATCCACGTGTTCTCAAGACTAATTAAGTTAAATACGAAGCTTTAGCGTTGATATACACTTGAAGACGGTAAACAGTAAGGGTTTCCGATATGAAAACCTGCCCATACTAAATAAGAAATCAATATTACCATAATAGGCTTGAAAGAACATGAGGTCAACTTGTTTGTCTTTTTTTAACACGTCCACGATTGTGGCTACAATTAAGCATGCCTGAGTTATGTCTGAAATCATTAATTAATAAACTTAATTGCGGAAATGTATAATCAAGGCATAACGGTTACGTTAATAAGGATTAAATAAGGTTTAAATATTCTATGGTATCCGTCCGAAGTTTATGGAAATCCCGATAATTTTTTTGAGAGAATCAATATTGAATACGAATTATAAATCATTACAGGGTTAATGACTTCGTTTTTTTAGAGAATTTGGATTCGAGAGGGACTTACGCAGATTTCTATACTCGACGAATACCAAACAATTGAAATAATTAAACAATGCAGTATGGTGAGCTTTTTCCAGACGAAATACGACCTCAATCTTCTTTCCTTAAAATGTAGTGTTGGTGGAGAAAGTAATCAAAATGGAGTATGATTCATGTGTGAGTGTCTGAGAAATTAAAAAAAATAGATATTTCTTATATGTCTCTGGAAAATACTGAAGATGCAAAAATTTTATAAGTATCAAGTGTCATGTAAGGTGGCGGTAAGTTCAAAACCGATTAACTTTTTGCCAAACATATATTATTGGAGAGTAAAAGACTCACGTTGAATTCGTGAAACGAATTATCAGCGTCCTCGGTCGATTAACGTTTGATGTGACAGTACTGGCGATAAAATTATCGGATCCTATTTTATTGATGGTAATTTCACCGGCGACAAAACATCTCCATTCATCTCGATGAATGTCCATTATTCGGTAACAACACGTGGTCGCGAGTAGAACCACACAGAAGTGAAAGGTTGTCATTTCTAAGTAAGTAAGAGAAATTGGCAAAAAACGTTTTATTTTGCAGCATTCAATCTAAATCTGCAATACAAAAGGAGAGAATTGAGAGAGGGAACAATTTTATTTTGTTCCCATGCGTAATTTTTGAGCTATTCAATTTTATCAGATATATAAAATTAATAAATAACCAATTATTTACACTAGCTCACCAGCGCATGAAATCGCGTGATAAAGCGCGACATATTTACAATATTGCACCAGAATTACTTTCCTTTTGAAGTATTAACTCTATTTAAATATGATTCAATTACCTTGAATCCTAATCATAAATTTTAGAGATATTAAACAATAAAAATTATACAAATTGTTTCCACTAAAAAATAGTAATTTTAATTTTAAATATTAAACTTACCATCAGGTTGTCTTTGCCGGTGAAAAACATGTATATGAAAAGGTCTGGAGATATTAGTTTTAACAGTTTGTGTATCAAGCGTCTTTTTATTGATCTTATATACACTATTGTCTTTCCACGAAGTAACATATAAAGTATTCTCAAAAATACTAATACCATATAAATTTTGAACAGCAGATCCCTTCATCACCGTTCTTCGATTTTTTCCATCAAAACTCACTCTCTCAATCACATCTAAATAAGTGTCTAACCAATAAACATCGTTTGTTGCATAATCAACAATAACCCCGTAAGGATAAACAATTTTTCTATCAACCAAAGTTTCCCTTCCAGTTCCATCCATTCTACATCTTTCGATTACCGGTGCGGACATTCCCCATTTTGAAAAATACATAAACCCTATCATTGGATTTAACGCCAACGCTCTACCTTTATCTAAATTTACGTCGATAACCGTTTTACACCATCGTAATGTGTTATTACATAATAAGATAATTTCTTTTTCATCATCCAAAAAATACCAGTTTCCAGTTAACCAATCTAAAGCTATTTGTTGAATTGAATCTAAGTTATCAAAAACAACAGGTTTTGGCAACGGCCATCGTTCGGTGAAATTATCAACGTTTACCGCCATAAACGTTGATTCACTCATGTTGTGATGAATATAATAGATAGATCTATTTCGATGTGAAAATTCTAATCCGTGACTATTTAATAAATTTAATCTTGAAAAAATTGACCAATTTCTACCATCTGGAGTGATTCGTTGAATTGTGTTAAGAGTTGAAAATAAAATCGATGTTGGCTCATCGATTGGAACTAAAAATAAAATTCTATTTTAAAATCTTGTTTTTTTATAATTATTTTTTATCGTTATTTTTGTAATTACTTAGTTATAATTCCTTACCGTTAAGTCCTATACAAGATCCATTTTCCATTTTATAACCAGAAACGCACCTACATTGATATGATCCAATCGAGTTTATACAAATTTGTTCACATGTGTTCCCCAATTCACATTCATCTGCATCAATACAAATTGTTCCATCACCTCCTGGACGATATCCTTCCAGACAATAACACATAGGCCCTTCAAACGTTGGTTTACACCCATGAACACATTGCGCTGTATCACATACTGACGTTTCACAAAAATCCAATTCATCAGCATCGTTTTCACAATCACGAACACCATCGCAAAAAGAGGTTAAAGGAATGCATTGATTACTGGAGGGACCACATTTTGCGTGATTCCAAGGACACGGAATGTTTTTATTGCAATCTTCTTCATCGGAATTATCCATTCCATTTCGAGTTGTACCACAATCGACTTCACCATCACAAACCCAACCAAGTGGGATACATCGATGTGTTGTTTTACATGTAAAATGACCGTGAAGGCAGTGTAGTTCTCGTGGTATTGGAATACAACCTTCTGGTTCGTCTGAAATGTCTTCGCAATCTCGAATTCCATCACAATATTGATTCATGTCGTAACATATTGAATCACAAAGAAATTCATGTAATGGGCATCCTTAAAAAGAAAAAATTCTTTTAGAAAAAACATTAATTTATTGATGGTGTTACAATACAATAATAAATTGATACAAATTTCTTTCCCTAACAATTTAATTAAATCCATACAAAACGTATAATACTCCATATGAATTGGTTTAAATGAACAGATCGACACGCAAATTAACTTAATGTTGGGTTGTTATGATTTCTTCTTCTTTGGATCTAAACCATTCTAAATTCAAAACGCTTTATATTAATTGACAAACATATGCGTGCAGTTAAATTGATGTATATTGTTGATTGAACAGAACGTTACTTTCAAAAGCTGAAAGCTATGTTTATTGATGATTTTGGATGGCGCATAAATACAAGCAGAAAATGTTTCCAGATGCGTAAGATCGATATATTCTTAGTAGACGTAAACAAACTAAATGAATGACCGTTTTGGATGTACCACAACGAATGACGGCTTCCGCTCTCTCGCCAATTGAGTTGCCCTATTCGAAGATTGTATCACAGCCGCCACTACTGCTTAATATCATCATAACAATTACCTACATCCTATGTCTATAATGTAAACGGTAATGTTTAGCGGGGTTCGAACAGATTTTTTTTTAATATTGTGATTTGTATATCGACTGTTTATAACATTTTAAAATACACAACAGATGCAAAGAGATTAAAGATCATTTATTTACTAATTTTGGTCATTATCATTAGATGCTTAGTGTTATCGACATTCTTTGAGATTTGTTTATGTTTATAAAGAGATAAGAAGTTTTCAAGTAAAACTTGTGTAAGAAATATTTAAATTGTAATACAACATTCTTTTTAACCAACTCTAACTCAACAACATTATATCAACAACCTCGTATTTACATCAATTTAATCGAAACTCCAAACTAGTCCGACAGAAGCCCTATAATTAATGCAGTATTCGGTCTTAGTTTTGTTGTTCAGCATTTGAATTAATACTGCTTAGCTTCAATGAATATCGATTTTACAGTGGAATGTTTTAAATAACTATCAAATTATACATATTTCTTAAAAAGCCAGTTTGTTAATATAGGTAATTAATTAGCTGTTGATTGTTAAAAATACTAATTCTTTCTCTAACAGTACAAATTTTGAGGATTTAGGAATATCGAGGTGATATTCTTTATCCAAAATTTGTTCTCAACAAATAAGAGTTATTATCTAACCCAATAGGAATATCAGTTTATCTTGTGCTGTCGACATATTTATTGTGACTTTAACTTTAATTACAAATTAAAGCTGAATGTTCTTCTCTACTAATCAATTTTCTATTAGTTGCCATTGAGTCAAGAGATGTTTTTAAAAGTTACCTCATCTCCTAGAATGTATAATAGAGCAAGCTGTTGAACAAACAAATCACGTTCGTGTTATTCATAATCAGTATTTCTTCTTCTTCTTTCTGTATTTAGGAATAACTGCTTGTTTTTGTTCACATTTTTATCCCCTAATCGATTGGAAGTTTGTCTTTTTCTAGATCTTCCAATGCTTCTTATTTTCACAATTCATTCTTCTGTCATTCGGTCGATGTGCTCATTCCATTTCTTCTTTCTGTCCAATACCCAATCATTGATATTAGCTATCCTGCAAGCCTGTCTAATGTTCTCACTTCTTTCTCTGTCCATCAATGTTTTCCCAACTATTCTACGAACTATTTTCATTTCTGTAGTTTCTAGCATTCTTTTTGTTTTGCATGTTTCTGATCGAGTCTGTACTGCATATGTTAATATAGGTCTAATTGCGGTCTTATATATCCGGGTTTTGGTTTCAGTTCTTATATGTGTATTTCGCCATATTAGCAACTGTTCTCAAGCACTCGCGAAACCTTTATAGTTAATATTTAATATGTCAATGCGCTACGGCGTCTTTCCTTCTGTATGGAAACAGTTTTCGAAGCCTTGTAAACAACGCCCTATATCCATTCTACCAATAATGGGAACATTTTTGAAAAAACTCATTTATAATAGACTATTATTTCAAATTATATCATGTATTGGTATGGAGCAACACGGTTTCTACCCTGGACGTTTTGTTGACACCAATCTGTCAGAATATACTGATATCCTTTTTTGCAAATCTTCATAAGAACGTTCAGGTGGATGCTATTTCTACCGATTTCAGCAAACCTTTTGATAAGGTTGATCACAATTTATTACTCTTGTTTACTGAATTTACTCTTATTTACTGAAACACGTAGGAGTCGCGGGTGTCTTGTTGAAGTGGTTTGCCTCTTATATCTCCAACCGGACTCAAGTAGTCGTGATTGGTGGGCACTCGTCTGACTATATTGTGATGACTTCTGGGGTACCTCAAGGCAGTCATTTTGGACCGCTTTTATTTATATCCTTATACAGATTATTTGTCTGTCTGCCAAATCTATCTATTTTTGAAAAATTCTCAACATTGATGCATGTGGGAGCAAAATTGTTACAGACCATTGTGTTAAAGGTACAACTTGCAACAACTTTTGTTGTAAAAGTTTTTCTGTATCATGCTCCCAATACCGATTTTTTTTAACACTCTTCTAATATTCATATTTTTGAACAATTCTCTCACATTGATGCAGCTTGAACCAGTTTTTATAAGAATTCTCCAATCGTACGGATGGAAAGAGCAGTAGATCGCCTAGGTTGGACATACTTTTCCTCACGCCAAACAATTTTAGACGTGTTATTCGAAGCGCCATACTCAGTTTTGTACCCATATAGGATTAATTTTGTTTTTGTACATACCGTCGCAACGTAGAACCTTTTGGTAAGTTACATATGTATAGTATAGTTGTGAGGTCCTAATGGAACTTGTTCTGTCGCTACCTCCATGTATAAATAAATAAATAGCAGCTTGATCCAGATGTTTCAATGCCCAAATATTTGAATTTCATTTCTTGGTGTATGATTTTCTCAACGACCACCAGCTTGCATCTCATCGGTGTCTTGGAAGTAGTCATTAATTTGGTTTTTGCCGCTGATATAGTCATGTTAAACCGTTTTGCTGTATTTTTAAACTGGAACAGTAACCTATGGAGATCATCCTCGTTTTACACGACCGGATGTTAACCACCTTATTTCGTATCTTGTATCCTTTTAGTTTGGGCACTTGTTTTATAATTTCATCCATTACGATATTCTAATTTCTAGTAAAGAAATTATTATGTTTTCATTGTTTTTGTCCTTTTTGATGTCCTTGTGTTAAATAACGTTTTATATAATTACGTTTTTATTATTTCTATAATTAATATCTTTTTAATGAATTTTATTAAATTATCATTTATCAAATAAATTCGTTTAATTCCTTCGTTTTTATTTAACACACGTTTTCCACGAATTTCGCAAAAGAAAGTTCTAATATTTTCAACGAAACGTTTTATCACCCAATTAAAATTTAAATTATGTCCACAGAGCATTCGTTAAACCATGAACGTTCTGTTTTACTGCACGGTCAACGTTCTAAACTCTAGATTAATTGAGTTTCTAAGAAACTATTCAGTACGATTCGTCTATTCTTCACATTAAACTTTCATTTAACTTTAAAGAATGAAGAATTCAATCCACATAATACTTAGTTATCGATTGATATGAAATCGATATGAAATTCATACTTATAGATTATAATCAAAGTAGGACACAGTTTCTTTCCATTTAGCACTGTGTTTTAGTATCTATTAATACCCGAGCTATTTCAAGAAAAGGCTTCCGCCAACATGTACCCATCTTGATTGCAAATGACGAAAAACCGCATATGAATACATATTTATATTTAGAATGGTGGCATTGTCTCTTGTTTCTTTGATGTGCACTAATGATTTGTGACGATTAAGTCTTGCTGACTAAATTTGTTGCTATTATATCTGTCATCATACCTATTATGGATCTGTATATGTATATAAAGTGTTGTCTATCTAATTATAATTTAGTTTACAAATACGAACAGTTAATTGCTTGCGATGCGATAATGGCCTAACCTTGTCTCTTGCTCACTTAAATAGATGTATGTAGGTAATTAAAAATGTTAACTATTGCAATTAATAATATAAAATTATTGTTGATTTAGATGAATTTTTTGCTTTAATATTGAAAAACTTTGTGTCTTTTTAGAATGATTTTGAATTTACATTTTTAAATTTATATATAATTTATATATAGATTTACATCAAAATATCAAATTCTAAAAATAATATCGATGTTTTCGATTTAAACTTAGAACGTCATTTTGAATACAAGCGTAGCTTTTTTCACAAATAGCTAAGCTGCCGAAATGCGAATCGAAACTTACTAGGTTCTAAATTTCAAGGCAAAGTTTTGAATCAAATGAAAATATAAAAAGTAACTATTGTAACCGTATATTTTGTGAAATGATTAAATTGACGCCATCACACTTCTGTACTTTTTTACATCGAATCTGAAAATAAAATTTCCTTAACCACTTTTCTATATTTTTAAAAATCGATTTTAGTTTAACGACGTCGTATTGGCGCAACCGTTATTAGAACAAATAAAAAAGAAAATTTTCATACATATTCATTTTATTAAAAAATGGTGTTTCTTCAAATAAAGAATTTATTAAGTTATTATTCTAACTATCCATTTAGGTACAAAAATCCAGATTATCAATTATCTTACGGTGTCAGAGTGTTGAGCAAGGTAGCTTTTTCTGGCTGCTTATTCTATGTTGTCCTCCCAGATTTTACTATATGCACTATGGAATCTTGTTCCAGTTTTGCCCTGATACTTCTGCTTCTCACCTTATCACGTCTCGTTTTTCCTTTTACGGTAGCCTTACACATTTTACTAGAGTATTTGCTGCTATTACCAAGATATACACCAACGGCCACTCCAGACTCACGTCCAGTCTTGGATACTGCTAATAGATGAGTATCAGCACGTCCTTTCATCGTCATTAATTATTTATGCAACGTCGAGAACTACCTGTAGGAATAGTGCGCATCAAAACTTAACAATTAACAATCATAACTTCTTTCTGCCTTGTTGCAATACATTGGCTTGGTCGAATTCCGCAGTTTTGTAGATAATCACAAGAACTGCGTGAACTAACAATAAAGCCGTTTGCACACGGAGCTACTGAAAAGGAATGCTCAGATGCTGTGGTAGAACCTGCAGCATGTCGTAGTTATCTGCCGCAGCAGTTATATCCTTTGGCATGTAGACAAGTCTTGCCATAAAATTGTGAAGGATGCAAGCAGCTTTGATAACGAATTTTACAGCCTTCGTTTACAGCACCTATGGAGTTCCTAGATTCCAGATTGAATCAAATCGTTCGGCTATCTGTATCGCAGCACTCAGTTCAGTATGTGTCAAATCATTTGAGTTGATCTCCATGGTGCTGACCTAGAATCAGAAGCTCCTTCACCTTCCCCCATAATAGCATAACCATAGTCATTAGGTCTACGACGTCCAGCATCTTCATCAGCTAACTCTACCCCAACTACTCCACCCACGGTTCTGCATCCATGTCTAATCTAAACAAACTACAGGTTTTGATCGCTGATGAGTAGCTTCGTGTGTGGTGCCTAGTCACTAATGAGTCAGTATACTGATTAGTGACCCAACTTACCAACCAGTTTAGTTCCTTTAAAGGCCCGTACAGACACGTTTAGTAATTTAGTCGAGTAGCGAGTAATTTAGTAACTCGCAACGTGCGGACAGTACAATTTAGTCGAGTAGATCGATTTGATTCCATTTTTTCGGTCGAGTAGCGTATCCCCACTACTCACAACTACAACGGCTAGCGAATTAGCAATATGTAGTATAATATAACAGACATGTCGAGGCGATGGAGCGAAAACAGTACTGTCAAGTTTGAATGTTTATGAATGTTTTTGAATATTTATGGCATATTAAAAGTGTTACTTATAAAAACAGGTTAGCAAAACAAAAAGCTTATGAAGATTTGAAAAAAGTTATGAATATCCCAAGTTTTGCAGAAAAGGAGATAAAATTGAAAAAAAAATATTAGTCCGACATATTCACAGGAGCAAAAAAAAAATTAAGGATTCTATGAAATTTGGATCTACTGCCAATACTGTTTTTTTCAAATACTGGATAATGTGTTAAGAAGTAGTAATTAAAGAGCAATTGATGCTCCTAATGAAATTCTTCTCATCCACTTTCTAACCCATATACGCTTATTAAGTATTTTAGACACTTCTTCTTCAATTTCCTCTATAAGCATATGAATATTTCTTATATTATTGAATTGCGCGCGATGACGTCGCGACGTCTGTTTATCTTGAGTACCACTAAAGTGTCTTGAGTGTATTAAATGTGGACAGTTACCGTCTAGTAAACGTTCCAGCCATGTCTGTACCAGGCTTTACAGTAGCTTCGTGCGCAAATCGCCTAACTCGTCTATTTACAACTTGTTTACAAGCATTTACTATTTTTTTACTATGTACAGTAAACTCAAATTTAGTACTTCCTCAACATTGATGACATCGTCACTTTTGGGTTACTTTTCTTCACATATTTGGGTCAACTCCACATATTTGATGTTCTTCAATTTATATCTGGTTGGATAAGTGACATGCCTAGTTCCTGTAAGAACATTTTCCTTTTCTTTTGGCAGAAACATTTCCAGCCCAATCAGTACATTTTTATTCCAAATAAACGCATTGTATGCCGCAATGTCCAAATAACTCATAAACAATGTAAATGGCCATCTTTTAGTAGTTCTGGGCCAACTATATTCTCGAATGAGTTGGTCCAAGAGGTTAACTCCACTCTTTTCTTTTTGGTTGTATTCCAAGACAATATTTAGTTTGTAATTTATTTCGCAATTACTAATGTTAAGTTTTTACGAGAAGTTATACTATGTCAAAAATTGTTTTCGGGTTATTATTGACACAGTCTTGGTCGTAGAAGAGTTAAGATATCAAAAATAAAGGGGTTTTCTCACTCTATCAGATGCAGTAAACACTTAAAATTTGATTGAAATAAGAATTTGCCGGTTTTACACGTTTTATACCAAATCAGAAAACTGCGTAGATTGTTTATCATCTCAATTTTAGAGATCTTTGCTACAAAATATTAACACTTAATAACATAATTGTTGTTTGAAAACGGGTTGTCGATTCAATGAATAAAAAACTTTCCAGGCTTCCTTTTTTTATAGACATTAAAACCTGTTGGGATGATGATCAAGCGTTCACTTGTTCAAAAAAAAGTTGAAAACGGTTTACGTTTAGGATATATAAAAAAAAGTGAATCGGTTTTAATCACTTTAGAACGATAACCTCTAGGTTACTTAGTTGCTTAAATTTTTTTTATACATCTCAAATTTATTTCTTAAAAGTAAAGCATTAAAAATAAAATAAAATTTATAGTATGTGGTTCTTTGGTCCTCATATCAAGGTCTCTTTGCAAAAAGAAAAAAAAAATAAAAGAGTAAAAAATAAAAGAATAAAAATGTATATCACTTTACACCGGATTACCTTCATAGAATATATCAAGCAAAACCTTTATTTTAATCTATGAAATAAATTAATCTAATTAATTTACCTGTTGTATTTAGATAATATTTAACGGTGGTTTTATCAATATCTTGTTTTGTACCGAAAACGGTCACTTGAAAACCAAAGAAAACGATTACAAACAAGTACGAAAGGGTCATGGTCACTAAACCGGGTAAAACCTTGCCGATTTTCATTTATAATTTTCACATTTTAAAAGGTAACAGACACTTTTTAGAACAAAGCGCGTATTACAACTATAATTATTAAAAATATTAATTGTTAATCGTTGAATTAAAACCTAATTTAACACACGCACTACAGATTTTGTTATTTAGTTATAACTCGGAATATTTTGTGTGAAACCCCACGGAACAACACCGACTAAGAAAATAAGATATCACCAGATAGTTCTTATTTCCTAAAGACGAGAACTGAGAATGGTTCGAGAACGCTTTATTTTGTGATATGCGTACGTCTTGTGGCGCCATCTACACGTTAAATTGAGAATTAAATAGCAATAAATTAAGGTGTTAAAATAAAAATTTAAAAAAATTAAATTGTTGATTATAAAATTGTTTAAATATTAGATTTTGTTTTATTTCAGTTTAAATTAAAAATATAAATTTATTGTATTCAACAATTTATCTCAAGTAGCCCCATCTATATATTGCATTATTAATTAATTACAAATTTGTGATGGTGGTTGCAAAATTAATTATTATTAAAGTAATATTACACAGATTTTTGATTTATTAAAATAAGTTACTTTAAAATAATTAAACTTGTAATAAAAAATAATACTGCAATATATAAATATCTCAAAAGCATATGATTGATCATTTAAGTTGGCACTGTTTAAACATAAAAGTAACTAAATTTGGTTCCAAAACTTTTGCAGTATTTCCTCCAAAAACAGAACTTACATAATAAAATCTTTATTTTCTTTTTAGGTATTTATCAAATTAATATTAATTAAATTGTTACATTTTAATTTATTGCACAAGATAATTTGTTTTCTAAGATAACATGGGTGGTCATGGTCATGGTGAGCCTTACACAGTTCCCGATTATAGAATATACAAAGTGGAAAATGTTCCGGAATTACTAAAAACTCAACGTGCTTTAGCAGCGCAAGGTTTAAAAGATCCTTGGTTAAGAAATGAAGTGTGGAGATATGATGTTAAAGCATTCGGAACTGAAAAAATGAAATTATCAAAAACTTTCTTTACCGGTTTTAAATGGGGTGTACTTGCTGTAATTGTTACCCTTGCTGGTACTGCCGCTTATGATAAAGCATTTCCACCTAAACATGGACATGGTCATGGTGGACACTAAACTGTTAATTTGTATAGTAAACTGTATGTATAATAAATAAGAATTAAAAAAAAGTGTTTTAATCTCCTTATTATTATAGATTATCAAAAAAATGGTTAAACAGTAGTATTTATTAATATTAAAGACATTAAAATGGGAAAAGAAAAGCATTAAAGAATCAACTAATAAGAAAAAAAAGTATTTCTGTTAATAATACCTTATTTGTACAAAAATTTTATTCAATATTTAGTTAAGAATAGAAATACAAATGATTTTTAAGATGATATTCTTGGTTTTAATTCATCATAACACGATTGTAAAGATATAATTTTTCTTTAATTGGTTATAATATTCATGGCCTTCAATGATATTCTTTTGAACAGTTAGATAAGTTAGTATCAAACCTCAAAAAAAGTCATCCATAAAGTCAAACCAACCCAACCTAACATGAGTAACTTGTAGTTCTTTGAAATAGCCAACCCAATACTAAAACAACTAAACCACAAAGTAGTTCAAGTACAAAAGCTTCAAACCTCAAAGAAATTCAACACAAAGTAACCAATTAAGCCAAACCAACCCAACCTACCTCCAGACCTAGCATGAGTAACCTGTAGTTCTTTGAAATATCCAACCCAATACTAAAACAACTAAACCACAAAGTAGTTCAAGTACAAAAGCTTCAAACATTCGTCAAACACTACTTCTTTATCCTGGGTTGTGTTTGCATGTATTTTCTGGTCTATTCTATGTAGGAGGCTTGTATAGTAAATTGTATGTATAATAAATAAGAATAAAAAAGTGTTTTAATCTCCCCATTATTATAGGTAATTAAAAAATGGCTAAACAATAGTACTTATTAATATTAAAGACATTAAAATGGGAAAAAAACAATAAATAATCAGCAAATAAGAAAAAAAAATGTATTTCTGTCTATAATACCTTATTTCTATAAAAATTGTATGCAATATCTAGTTAAGAATAGAAATACAAATGATTTATTTAAGATCATTTGTATTTCGATGTAGGAGGCTTGTATAGTAAACTGTATGTATAATAAATAAGAATAAAAAAGTGTTTTAATCTCCCCACTATTATAGGTAATTAAAAAATGGCTAAACAATAGTACTTATTAATATTAAAGACATTAAAATGGGAAACAAACAATAAATAATCAGCAAATAAGAAAAAAAAATGTATTTCTGTCTATAATACCTTATTTCTATAAAAATTGTATGCAATATCTAGTTAAGAATAGAAATACAAATGATTTATTTAAGATGATAGAGAAGATTTTGTTTATGATGATGTTCTTGGTTTTAATTCATCATAACAGGATCGTAAGAAGATATAATTTTTCTTCAATGGGTTATAATATTCATGGCCTTTACTCCAGTCATAACTCACAGAATAAGCAAAAATTTGCCCATTGTGGTTAAAAGCACACCGAGTAATCGATTGTTCCATCAATTCTGATGGTTTTAATTTTGTCCTTGCATCTTTATCCCAAAAGCTAAATGATCCATCTGAACCAACAGTGGCTAATGTACCATGAACAGGGTGAAATGCAATATCATTAACTGCATAAATATCTTGATAACCAGTTGGAGTTGCATTTGATCGATGGCATTTAAATGTGAAGTTATCTTTTGGATTTGATGGATTTACATATTGGATTGCTACTCGTCCTTCTACGGACCCTAAAGCATAACCAGTTGGAACTTTTTTCTTATCCCTAAAAAATATTTTCCAAAAATGAGGTTGTTAAAAAAATTTTTTTTATTACCTAAAGATTGCAACACATCTATGTTGATATTTTAATGGACTCTCTAGTCTTTTGTACTCTTGAGGTTTCCCTTCAAGTTGATATACAATTATTTGACGACCAGCAGTCCCAACAACTGCCATAGGATAATCAATATCAGCACAATAACAACGTTCTGGAAGGGTAATACTCATAATTGGAGATGGACTGCGAGTATCCCAAAATTTTAATGTTTTATCCCATGACCCGGTCATTAAACAGGAATAATTTGAACCTTTAATCCAATGGCATGTTTTGATTGGAGCATCATGAGCTGCTACTTGCATGGTTTGATTACTTGCTAAATCCCATACTTTAGCTTGTTTGTCACAACCAGCCATAAATACCTAAATTAAATGATTATTTTAATTTAACAACAACTAAAAGTTTAAAAACAATCTTACTTTTGTCCCATCATCACTCCAACAAACATCTAAAACCGGATCTCCACATGTCTGCATTGATTTTGGAACTGTTTTTCCACTTTGCTCAACTTCCCAACAACGTACATTGTTATCCCAACTTCCGGCTATTAGAAAATTTTGCGGAATTGTTGATGGAGAAAACTCCAAACAACTAACGGAATCGTCGGGGGGCGAAGTAACTTCGAAATCTTTCATGGGGTTTGCACTGCTTGGAGTCGTCGTTGTTGTACCAAAGATACCCAACGTGTTCGGTTGGTTAAACATTTTTGTTGTCAATCTTGTTTTTGTGGTTTGATTTAAATCGTAGAAAGAGCAAACAAGTTCGGTTTGGAACGGAGTAACAAATCAGATAAAAACACTGTTGGTTTTATGCGCAAAAGCGAAAAATCACCTATACTAGCGACACCTAGTGTTGAAAAGCTAAAAGAAACAATATTAAATATGAATAACACTTCAAATTTAATTATGTTAAAAGTGATTTTGTACGGATTAATTTAAGTTTATCTTTAAAATTGTCTTGTAAAAGGAAGTAGTGACATTTGTCAATCGGTTTGATGTATTTTAAGCATAAAAGTTAAAGTTTTTTTTTTGCATTCTGGCATAAGCGAAGTCTATGCAGAGATTATAGGTATAAAATTTCGCGAAACAGGAAGTACTACCCTTGTTGTGTTCTGTCAATAAAAGTCAGGATTTTTACTACAACTTTATTGAACAAAACTAAAATTATTTTATTTTATAGTGCTCGTAATAACTTGTCTTGACTTGTCGTCTTCATCATACTTGTTGTACTTCACACTGGTTGGTATTGCCAACCTAATATGCAACAACTCTTATATACCTAGCTTTGTTACTTTAAATTATTGAGAGAAATGTTACAAAAGCAAATTCAAGAGGAAGAAGCAATGAAGGACAAAGAATCCTAGAAGAATGATATTCTTTTGAACAGTTAGTCATTCATTATCTTTAATAAAGACGTTAAGACCTTGTTGAGCAATGATGTGTTAGATAATCTCTCTCTCTGAATAGGCAACGGAACCACACAGTAATTTAAATGAAAAGCATCAAACCTCAAAGAAACTCAACCATAAAGTAACCAATTAATCCAACCCAACCTAACTCCAGACCTAAAATGAGTAACCTGCAGTTCTTTGAAGTAGCCATCTCAATACTAAAACAACTAAACCGCAAAGTAGTTCAAGTACAGAAGCTTCAAACCTCAAAAAAAGTTAATCACAAAATCAAGCCAAATCAACCCAACATCACTCCAGACCTAACTAGTCTAATTCCAAAGCCAACCCAACCTCTAACCAAAAACCTGCAAGTGACCGAATACAACCGTAAAATAACATACCCGCAAAGGAAAGCAACTTCAAATCAAGATAACCCGATACCAAGGGAATATAAGCATAAAGTAATACTAATGAAATCTCAAAGCTAATCACTAATCACAATGCGATACAACTTAAAAACAAAGCAACTAAATAGTAAATCAACTTATACTAGTCATACAAGTAACACTTAACCCAAACCAAAGCCAACTCTAAACCAACATAAACTAAACTCAAAATACAATTCAAGATATGTGGGCTTTTTAAAATAATCTGCAGACACTTTTCATCAAAATTTGTCAAACACTACTTCTTCTCTTCTTCATCCTGGATTGTGTTTGCATGAATTTTGTGGTCTATTCTACGTAGAAGGTTAGCATATATTCTGGCAAGCCATGACCAAACCAACACAAAATGGTCGAATCTAATCGTAATGAAACTGAATCACAATGTATCTCATCTACACAGGAAGCCAATGCAACCTCAAAACAATGCAGCTCTATAATAAAGCAACGGTCATTTTTCAGCAATGGGTTGTGGAAATCCAACCTAATTCCATACCTACTTAATGTAAGCTCGAAGCAAACCAATCCAAAACTTCTGGTCCATGTATTTTCAGCTGTTTTTTCTTTAATCGTTTCATTTCTGCCTCGGTCAGGTATTGGTGATTTCTTTTTTCATGTGACTTCATGTTTTCATAGTTCCGACGTGATATCATTATATCCGTTGTTTGCCATGTCTGAACTTTTTGTCTGGTGTGTTCCGTCAATTTTTTTGCTATCTCATTAATCTATTTTTCTTTCATGTGTATCCTGACAAGTATTATATTTTGAATCTTTGATTATATATAATATGGATTGAGCTAACTGAATATATCTACTAACAAAAATGTGGCTCAAGGTGAATAGACGCAGATGGAAAGCGATAATGTGAAAGTGTAACAAAGATAGACATAAAACGGTACTAAACAGACGGGCGCATGCGCACAAAAGTGTCAAACCTCTTTCATTTGACGTTTATCATTTTGTTGTGTCACAGCCAGTCACACCGTTATGTTTAAAAATGTATTGTTTCGTGTGCAAAGTTCGCGATAATACAGTTTCACATCACCTGTAAGTATTATAAATAATAAGGAAATTTTATTTTATTTTTTTTTCTTTTTTCATATATTAATTTTGTTTTAAATTTACCGCCAAAATTAACGCACGCTCATTATATGTCAGTACGCTTCTATGTCTATCTCGGTTCGATCACCTTGCGCAAGCTATCTCTCTCGTTGGCTCAATCCATATTATATATAATCAAAGTTTTGAATCCATTTCAGTTCATTCTTTTCCAGGATGTATTCTTTTATTGCATATGTTTATCTATTTAATAACTTCTTTCTTTCAAATTCTATGTATTTGTAAATCCATGTATTAGATAGATTTGTTCTGTTCTGTGTTTTCCTTGTACAGGGTGCATAGTTATTATGGTTTCCTTCTGTTTTGATTGTTCGTTGACGACTTTGTCAATATCTCCCTTGATTTACTCCAAATTCTTTCCACGACAACCATGTTGCATTCTTACTCGACTTTTATCGATTTTTTTGGTATTTCTTCATCATGGAGTTAAGTCTAGTTCTGAGTTTTCTTCCATTTGGTTCTCCAACTCCCAGAATCAGTTCGATGTGATTCTTTTTTTGGCGTCCGTGATCATGCCACATATACTTTATAGTGTTCTTGTAGCTAGATTTCGTAGGGCATCGTCTAATCATTCTGTCTTTGCTTAGACAAACAAACTTGCTTTTGTTTGCAACATTCAGTACTTTTTAAAGTACATATTTAAATTCTACCTTAAACCAATTCATATTTGAAAATGTTGGAAAGGTCTACCAACCTAAATAAAAGTTTAATGTTTATAACTTTCATTTGTTCATAATAAATTAATAACATATCAAATAATGCTTTATAAGAGTAAAATTAATAATTCAAATAATGTTTATAAATAAATTACACAAAATATGTTTTTAACTGTGGTTTATTCACCCACGAAATCTACTAAAATAATCATTTAGTTAAAAACACAATGACTTCATAATTATTTTATTTTCATAAATTATTTAATTTATCTTATTACATTTTAATTACAATGAATTTAATTTTGTAAAATTAATTTTATTTCATAAAGTTTGTATTAAAAGATTTCTAATTTATTGGATATTCAAATTTGTAGGTTATCTTATTTGTCAAATTGACAATTAAACTGTCAATGCAAATATATTTTTTAAGTAATGTAATAATAAATTAATAATTTAAATAATATTCTATTTACGATAATACCTAGTTCGTTTGTAAATTTTATTATTTTGAAATGAAATGTAACACGAATTTCGCCACTTTTGATAATAATAATTATTGTACTGGGGTAAAAAGCGATTTGATTTGAATGAGTAGCAAGCGGCAAGCGCACGCATGTTGAATCACGTTGTATAAACTTGCCGAGTTGACCATCGTCGAGACAGCTGATCCTGACACATACGAGGCATTTGACGTATGCCCGTGTTCCGTGTAGAACGTTCGTACCTAAAAAAATTTTCAACGACAACGTGTGCGAGTTTTCCACTTTTTCCTCGGTGCCAGAGACCCTGCCGTGTCCCTGCGGTTCTCATTATGGCTAGTTCCTCGGACATAAACCCCATCAACTACATTATCAAACAGCAATATAACGATTCGGCTCGTATTAGAGAAAAACTATTTAAGGAACGGCTTCGAAATGCAAAGAACTTATACAGAAAGGATCTTCTTGCCCATTATGGATGTGTTAACGCTATAGAATTTTCCGAAGAAGGTAATCTTTTGGTTTCGGGTAAGTTGATATTTTTTATAAATATTTTTATTCATTAAATTTATTGTAAACTTGATTAGATTGTGTGTTTTATTTTTTATATTTGTGATTAAGTGTTTTTTTTAACTCTTTTTAAGGAAAAATCTTAATGATTTTTAGGTGGGGATGATAGGAGGGTGTTGCTGTGGTTTGTTCCCGATGCGATTTATGATAAAGGGGCCCCCGTTGTTATGCAAACCAATCATACAAGCAACATTTTTTGTCTTGCTTTCGATAGATTCAATACAAAAATATTTTCTGGTGGTAATGACGATCAGGTGATTGTCCACGATATCAAAACGTAAGTATAACAAAATTAATTTTTTTAATTTAAAAAATTTTAAAATATAAATAAAATTAAAAATGAATCTAATGTAGAATATTTTTTAAAATAAATTTGCATTTATATTTCAAATTTAAAATGACAACTAAAAGTCCAAAAAATGTCGATAAAGTAGAAACCCCACAATTTGTAAATGTCATTTTAAATTTCATCCAAAATGTAACCTTACTTATATTATTTATTTATTATTATTTTTAGTGGTCAATTGGTAATGAAATTACCGCATAGAAATCCTGTTTATGGCTTAAGTGTAAACCCGCAGGATGATAATGTTCTTGCAACCGCTGGTGATGATGGTCGTGTTCTAATCTACGATATACGAGAACATGAACCAGGTTTTGATTTGAAAAGGAAAACATTTTAATTGAAATCTTTTATATTTATCGTTGTAGAACCAATCATTCTCGCCAAGGAATCGTCAGGATTTCATTCTGTAGTATTTCATCCACTAAATCCAAGATTATTAGTCACATCAAACGCCGATGAAGGAATCGCGTTATGGGATTGTCGCATAACAAAAAAGTAAACAAAGAAATAAGAAAATTATTTTAATCAAAAAATTACCCTATATTATTTTTTTTTAATTTTCAGAGAGCTTTTAATTTATGATCGAAATGCAGGAAGAGTAAGCGGAATAAGTGCATGTTTTAACTCATCTGGAAGCCGAATTTTGGCTCTACGAAGAAGATTACCTCCAGTTCTATACGAAACGCACAATCCTAATGCTCTTTGTCAATTTTATCATCCACAATATTATAATTCATGCACAATGAAGACATGTTGTTTCGCCGGCAGTGATGATGAATACGTTTTAAGTGGTTCTGATGATTTTAGTTTATATATGTGGCGTGTTCCGGATACTCAAAATACTTTGGTGGAATGGGGCGAACCTCATGTTGTTTTACAGGGTCATAGATCAATCGTTAACCAAGTTCGTTATAATAAACATAATAATTTTATTGCGTCTTCTGGAGTTGAAAAAATGGTTAAGGTAATTAAGATGATTTATTAACATAATCTGACTGTATATAGAGGGTGAGTCAGAAAGAGTGGGAAATCATAACACTGGAGACACCAAAATATGACGATTTAATCAAACATCGTCTTATTCAGTGTGTTAATTAATTGTCGTATCCTACGTCATTATTGCAAGTATGCAACCGTGCAAGCATGTATTAGTATTATGTACGAATACTGTGATATTGGTTGCATACTTGCAATGATGACGTCGTAGGATAATTAATATTAACAAAGTGTACATATTTTCCAGGTACAAAGTGTTCAAAGTTAAAATCTTATTTCGAAATTTCTTGATAATTTTGAAGTTTTTTGTTTTCAAGCATGAGTTACTCTTATTGAAATTGTCTAGATCTACCAGTTTCGAATTATTTACTTTTAAATGTTTAAATGTACTTTGTGACGGTAATGAAACCTATTACAGTACAGGTGTCCCAATTTCGATGTCCACATAGGCTATCTCCGAAACTAAAAGAGATAGAAAAAAAGTAGCTTACATGTCATGATCTCGTTTTTCGAGAAAATGCTAATGCCGAAAACTGCGAACAGCTATCGTCTTTTGTTTTCGCCCTATCGGCAAAAACTGAAAATTTTGCGAAAACGACAATCGCGAATATCTCACTTATTATCAAAGATGGAGTATTATAAATAAAACATTATATGGGCAACTTTTTACGAAGAATTCAGTGGCGTAGGTAGAATTTTTTTCCCATCTTTTATTTTCGAGATTTGAGACATAACTTTATTTTTTTAAATGGAAACCATAGTGGCTATGACCTAAAATAATTTTTTATTTTCTTCTGATAACAAATATATATAGTTTGTGGGGTATATTTCTTATAGTTATTGAATAATTAACAAAAATTCATTTTGTTCTATCTAAAACTAATGTATGTATTTAAAAGTTAATGTTGCTATGGTGATAACCATACATACTATGATGGAACATAATGTATCAATTTTTGTTGTTCTTTCTAAAACTATTGTATGTATTTAAAACTTAATGTTGTTATGGTGATAACAATGCCACGATGGAAAACATTGGGTACGTTCAGCAGGTGTCAACAGTTGAATTAAATCAGTCAGCTAGTTGTATGAGCTTTAATACAGCGGAACGAAATCGGCTGAACAAGCAATTGAGAATTAGCAGTTCAGCATAACCTAAAACTATGGCCAACAATAATATTTTTGAAAATTTTGTGTTATTACAAGAGATAATGGATGATGATGTTGATTTTAAGGCTCATTTCATTTTATACAGTTCTGCCAGTTTTCAAAATTAAAGGGGAGAAACAAAAAATATTAATCCTAACCTAGAATTTCACAACCGCTGACAAACTAAGCGCAGATTACTTACGCTGAGATATTTACTAAACTGCTGCGTAACAGCGCTGACTTAGCATATCGTTCAGCCGCGACTGCTAATATAGCAACTTAACAGTTGACACCGGCTGAACGTGCCCATTGTTTCCAATTATTGCCAAAGTTTGTAGTAGTATTTAAAAATTCACTGACAACTCTGGCATTATGTGCTGGTGCTCCGTCATATTGAAAATATATCATTTGAGACTTATTTAATGGCAAATTGTCGACCAAAGGCACAATGTGCTGCCTTGATATATTGAGGTATTACCTGAGTTTAAGTTTTTATGGTAGATACTATATGCCAACATTCTATTATCTAAAAGGGCACACCATACATTGAACCTCAACCTTCTTTGAACACTCAGAGACTTCATTGGTCCAGATGACATTTTGAACAAACAGCAGATTATTTAATTTTTCTAAATATCATCTACAAAATTCTAATCTTAGATTGACATCTCCTGCACGTAAATAATGAGTTAGGCCCGCTTTGTATGGTTTATACATATTTTTCTTTCATATTCGGAAGCAGCGGTTTTTGGGTCAGACGTCTTGTTCAATTTCTCTGCAAGATGTTGATGGATTTATCGCAAGTGAAGCCAACACATTGACTTCATCCTCTTGCAGGCCATTTTGGTATGTTTTTGCACGTGGTTTGGGGATGGACCAAAAATCTATTAAATTTTCTGCTAACCGGCTGAAGGTTCTTACGTGCGGTTGTCTTCTTTCCGAATACCTTGTGAAATATAATTCCGCGGCTAACGTCGCATTCTTATCTGATAACATATAGCATTCCATCATGTTACATTTTCATAATTTTCGAAGTTCATTGTAAAGTTTTATTTAGTTTTGTTATACTTTGACACCTAACATGCTGGTGCATCATACCAGCTCATAATGCCAGAGTTGTTATCGAATTTTTAAATACAAACTTTGGCAATTATTTGATACATTATGTTCCATCATAGTATGTATGGTTATCACCATAGCAACATTAACTTTTAAATACATACATTAGTTTTAGATAGAACAAAATGAATTTTTGTTAATTATTCAATAACTATAAGAAATATACCCCACAAACTATATATATTTGTTATCAGAAGAAAATAACAAATTATTTTAGGTCATAGCCAACTATGGTTTCCATTTAAAAAAATAAAGTTACGTCTAAAATCTCGAAAATAAAAAATGGGAAAAAAATTCTACCTACGCCACTGAATTCTTCGTAAAAAGTTGCCCATATAATGTTTTATTTATAATACTCCATCTTTGATAATAAGTGAGATATTCGCGATTGTCGTTTTCGCAAAATTTTCAGTTTTTGCCGATAGGGCGAAAACAAAAGACGATAGCTGTTCGGAGTTTTCGGCATTAGCATTTTCTCGAAAAACGAGATCATGACATGTAAGCTACTTTTTTTCTATCTCTTTTAGTTTCTGTGATGGCCTATGCGGACATCGAAATTGGGACACCCTGTACTCAAACGGGTGCTGTAATGAGACTCCTTACAGCATGCGATGCTGAAATGAGATTTTAGTAACATTTTATGGAACCAGTTCAAGATGGTGACATTGGCTCATTAATTTTTCTAGTTGTCAATGTGACAATTTTGTCTATGGATGTTTAAATACGTTCTTAGCATCAAATACAAGGTCCACAATGATGAGGACATTCAACTCTCTTATTTTCTCGAGCAATTTCTCTTATTTTGGGAGATATGTATATAAATTTTTTTTCAGGTGAATACATTTTGTGTTTCACTGACTATTTTTAATTGTCAATTCAAATTTTTATTTTCAAGTGTTACGGTGTTACCAACTGCTACATTTTTGATAAAAAAAAAGGATGAAAACGCGAATTACAAAAAATAGCATAAATCATTAGTAAAGCACATTTTGCTTCTAAAATTTTTATTTTTGAACAAGGAAAGATAACTTATTTTTCCGCTTATGTTTCGACAATTGCAATAATCATCTTTACCAACAATAAAGTTATTACCAACTTGAAGATGTCACGACATAATGAGTTTTCTAGTAGTGATGCGAGATATGATTTGTTGTTTTGCTGAAACCAATTTTAATGGTTTAGTAGCAGCCTGAAGATATTTGGAGTTATATCCAAATCGAAGGCAACCTAATCATAAGTCATTTAGGAATCTGTACAATCGTCTTGGCGAAATGGGATCTTTTCGTCTTAAAAGTATCAATGGTTCGAGTTGCAGAAAATTCATCTATAAGTACCCAACAAAACAACAATTATCAGTGTGTAGTTTTAAAGAAAGAAAAAATTCGGCCATATCATTATACTCCCGTTCAAAACTTATTACCGCAAGATCATGCAGCACGCCTATATTACCCACTTGTTACAAAACAAATTACTCGAAAATGAAAAGTTTTCTAACAAGATTCTGTTCACTGATAAAGGGACGTTTACAAGACGGAGTGTTTTCAACTGGAAAAACAATCACTTATGGGATTTCGTAAATCCACATGCTGCGAGGGAAAGACACTTTCAACACGAGTTTAATGTAAATATTTGATGTGGTGTAATATCCAATTTTTTCATTGGTCCATTTGAATTTCCTCCCAAATTAAATAGACGTGTGTATTTAAGTTTTCTTGAAGATCATCTATACGAGCTTTTACATGGCCTACCAGACGCTAAAAGAAGACATGTGGTTTATACAGGACGGTGCGCCACCACGTTATTTTACAAACATTTTCCGCATTGTTGGATTGGTCGTCGAAGTGAATATGCATGGCCACCGAGAAGTCCAAATTTAAATTCACTGGATTTTTCAATATGGTCACAAATGAAAGATATGGTGTACAAAACAAAATTAATTCGAGCGAGGATCTGAGGTGAAAAATTCAAGATGCCGCGACTGCAATTCGAAATAATGATCAAATGTTATTTGATATTATATGATACTTAAAAAAGCGAATTGTAAAATGTGTTGAGGTTAATGGTGCACACTTCGAAAATTTACTTTAAATTCTATTGTTATTGATTATTATCGATACTGATTGCTATAGTTACTGTGTGTTATTGATTTTAAATGTTTAAGAAAAAAATTACTTTCAAACAAATAAAAGCAGATGACTTGGAAACCAGTAGACTTAGACAATATAAGCAAGACTACCTTTTTTGTATAGAATTGTACAAGTAATTCATCATACCACAACTGACAAAATAGTCATGATTAGATATATCAACGAGTAGTGTGTATCCAGCGCCCTCTACGAGTAATCACAAAACAAGTTTCAAATTCGTATTTCTCATGCTCAAAAACATTAAACTACCAAATTTTATGTTAATAGTATAAAAATCTTCAAAATTATCAAGAAATTTCGAAATAAGAATTTAACTTTCAAAAACCACCGACATTTGTATAAGAGATGTTAGGTTAAATCGTCATATTTTGTTGTCTAGTATCTCTGATATTCGGATTTTCCCTTCTTTCTGACTCTCCCTGTATAATGTCTTATATTGTATATAATCTGCGTATATGCAATTAAAACACATCTTTCTCATCCTCATTATCTCCGCCAACCACGGTCGCTCCTCTCCATCCAGTAAGCGCTACTACTCCATACCTCCCCCCTCAAATAGTCACACCATTAACACCATAGCATATGATCAATTGACTCGCTTTTCCTTCCCTATACTCTCCTTCATGAAATACTCCGGAGTTTCTTCTGTTGTTATGACGTTATACTTATTATTGTATCTCCCCTCTTCCACCGGAGCACGCTGTTCCTGCATTTCTACAGCTCTCTACCCTCCAACTCCTTCCACAGTGTTCACCAGTACACCTATTCTTATACAAGGTTTGTCAAATGTCTGGAATATAGTCAGTAACTTCGCCATTTGTGGTTTTAAAGAAAAATGTTTCAAATACAAGTAAACTGTCAATTTTTTGACATTTAAAGCTGTCAACGGCGTTATTTCGTTTTTTCTCGATTTTTGTTTCTAATACAACCATATGATTTGTTATGTTCATAGCGTAGAGGGATTTATCTTCTATTAAAATGTGCAAAAAAAACATATGCATCCTATTTAATATAACAATGTTGGTTGCCATAGCAACGAAACAAAGAACAACGTAAATAAGCAAGTATCGCCAAAAAATGCTCCACAATTAATAAAGAATTTTTTATTTGAAACATTTTTCTTTAAAACCACAAATGGCGAAGTTATAGGCTATATTCCAGACATTTGACACATTCTGTATAATAGATCTGTTTTGGTTCAAGAGTGTAGTTCCCAACAGTTCTGCGAATACACCAGGGCGTAACTTCAAATCAGGGGCCCCCTAACTCATATGCTAAAAAAACTAACGTATTAGTAAATTTACTGTATTGTATGTAAAAAGTAACGATCATAACAATAACAATACACATAAAAATATAAAGAAAAATAGAACATTTTTATAAGGCAGTAAATAACTAAAATACATAATTAAAATAATATTGCATAAAAGTCATTAGAAAATAAATTTAATTTAAAAAGAAATTATTCAAAAATGTTTTCTTCGGAGTTTATGATCCGCAAAAGCTCGTACAAGCTCTTTTACGTCGATTTTCTCAACTTCCTTAGCTTTAATGACCAATAAACCTAAAGTCATTAGACGCGTCTGAGTCATAGTAGTACGCATGAAATTTTTAAGCAACTTTAGCTTAGAAATTGAACGTTCATTACTTGCAACGGTTACTGGTAGAGTCATAAATAGAATAAAAACAGATACAACTTCAGTAAAACTAGAACTTAAATCGGAATATTTTACTAGAACTGGTTGTAATGATTCCCTAATAGTTTTCAAATTAGATAATTCAAATCAAAGGTTTTTTTGAGCAGAAGCTGAAGAGCAAAAGCGGCACTTATATCGTTGTGATATTTTTCTTGAAGGCAATTTGCGTTTGCTATAATTTGTGTGTCGCTTAAATGACTTAGTATTTGAGACTGAAGAAATGAAAAAAGTTTGCACACTTTGCCTTCTTTGCTCTACATACATACCTCTTTATATTTCCTCCTTACTTCCCTGTATTGAGCCTGCAATGCTTTTCCCTTTTCCCACCTCATCTGTCTTCTTGGTTCCTTTCTTGCAACATAGCATTCATTACCCTATCACTCGTTTCTTCTCCATCCACATATACTTCTGTCCATACCTAACTGATTCAATTTTATTGTGTAGTTGTGGAGTGCAGTTCCCGTTGGAACATGGAATGGCTCTTTGTTAAAAGAACATCAAGATCCACAAAGAAATGTTTATTCCAAGGATGATTATGTGTATATTGTCGGTCATAATTCGACGGTAAGCGAGATATACAAGATTTTAATGGGGATGAAATATTAATTTAATTTTATTATGTAGAGAATATCCCACGATTATAGTGACCAGTCGACACAAGAAGATCTTAGGATGATGGCATTTTTCGATTCATTAATCCAAACGGAAATACAGGCTTGGAATAGCTTATCTGAAGATACGTATTCATCCGATAGTGATAGTGATAAACAATCTCAGGTTAGTTGAGTTGACTAACAAATTTCATAATATTGATCTTTATCTTTGCCATAAAAGGAAATGATTCGCAACTCATGGCAATCGTTGCTTAAATGTAAGCGAAATGCGGAGGAGTTGCTTAAAAAACACAAACCAAATAAAATAGCACAGCTTATTTCCCAGAAGAAACATAAACTTGCTAAAATGGCACACAGAAGGTCTTCCAGTTTAGTATTAAGGTAAATACATAAAAATCGTGCCAATATTAAGATTTTAAATTTTAATTTATCTTCATTTTTATAGATATCCATCCTCAGATAGCAAATATCGAAGAAAACTAAACAAATTCAAAAACTGTCCTGGAAGTAGTTGCAAATTTAAGAAAAATAACGGTCTCTCTTTAAAAAAACGAACATCGTGTCGAAATGCGTCAAAATGTCTTCCACCACCACCACCTCCAGTAACCACCTCATTAAAATCAACAAAACACAATAAAAAGTTGACAGAAAATCAAGTCGTTGAAAGAAAATATCGAACCAGATCACAAACTAATCGAGAAAACCATCAAAATCCATCACCATCATCATCATTAGATGTTCCAAGTACAAGTACAGGAATTACAGAAACTACTCATCATAGTTCAGTTGTCTTCCGTGTGATTGATCAAGATTCTGATGAAGAATCAACATTAAACGGTTGTACAGAGACAAATGATAACATTGAAAATAATCTTGTTGATGTAATTCCAACTCCTTTAAATGGTAGTAGGGGTCGTATTTATATAAATATGGTTCAAGTAACGAATGGAGGTAGCGCCACTAACCCTTCAAACGGAAATATAGAGCAACATGCATCAACATCAACTTTACAACAAGATTGTGATGATGGTATTAATAATAATAATAATACGAGTGTAAATAAGGATAATTATGAAAGTGATAGTTCGATGAGTGATAGTGATCGTAATCATAGGTGTACGACATCGGTTAGAAGAAAAAGAAAATTTCATCAGAATGATGTTGTTAGTATTAATAATAATGCGAGTTCTTCAGGAAGAACGAAGCGTACATTGAGAAGTAATACAATGGCTTCGTCATCGAATATTAATTATAATGAAAATAGTTCTGAGGATGAATGTCGTAAACAGGATAAATTTAAGAAAAGAATTAAAAAAAGTCGTGTTAATTATAGGAAACAAATTGGTGGTGATTCAGATTCAAATTAAATTATAATATTTAATACATATATTCAACAAAAATAAACTTATCATGTTCGGATACAATTACATTCTTTTTAGATCTAACTAAAAAATCGGGATGAAATGCAAATTTAATGAAAAAGAGAAAGAGACTGATTATATGCCCTTGGTTTTTTTTTTTGATAGTGTCCGGACAGACAATTTGTTATTCTTTTTATATGTTTGGTTTATTTTAAAACAATTATTCGAGTCTTGTTCAATCAATAGGTTTTGGACACAAAAAAAGAGATTTTTTTAAATCCAATTTGGATTAATTTGTTATTTTAAAATAATAAAGTTTAATTACTAAGTTCATTTATATTTTTAGTGTGATATTGTATCTTTTTTGGATTTGTTAATATTATTTTAAAATAAAATTCTACTATATAAAATATTTTTGGAATTATACTGAGTAATTTACTTTTTATTATTAATCTAATTCAAGATTAGTACATAAAAAGAACTTACGAAAGGAAGGATTTTTTAAAAAATCAACCAATTCTATAACACAATTATAACTTTATTAGGTGCATCATAAGTTATGATAACATATCGTCGAAGACAAGGATAACAAAGTATTAGTCTTCTGAGTCAGAGTATACACTTATGAAATATGATTACATTTATTTCAGAATAAGTATTGCACGTGTTTACTACTTAAAATTGTATTTTGGATAAGAAGACAACTTAGAAACAAATATTTATGAATAGTCATTCAAAAGCCCCAAATTTAATTCATGTGAAAGTAAACAATTTTGGCCAAAGAAACGTTATCTAAAAAGCAAATAAAGATATTTTACGAACGATAAATCGCACCCAATCATGAAGGCACACATTAATACGATTTTCTATCTTATTTTCTACTTTAAGTAAGATCTAATATTTACAGTTATACGAAAATATCCTTATTTCTGGTGTTTTTTTCAGCGAAATTTATTCAAAATAACCACGAGAATTCGAGAATCAGTTTTGGGATTACATCTTATATGTTGCAGCATGTTACAGACACCTCATATGATGAACTAAAAACTGTATATGAGAGAATTCCAAAACATTACGCGATTGTGGCCTTTGGAGATTTTCCACAGCCTTCAAAAAGAGACAAGTAGTAACAGACTCACAGTTACACAAGTTGCCCCAAGCAATAACTTGAAAATTATAAGATATTGGTTCCCATGAAAAAATATATAAAAGAACTTGGCAGAAACCGAGACCAACGAAATAGACAAAGTGACAGTTTGTAGGAGATGGGCTACTTTTATCCAGAACATTAGATCATACCAAAGAACGGACTATTACTCAGATCACTATTTGGTGGGAGTTAAAATGAAACAATGAATAGCTCTTGTAATGAAATGGTAACGACCAAATAACGTAAGATGGAATACAGTGACACTTGAAATTGGAAATATAAAGGTTGAGTACCAGACGAAGATAAAAAGTATGGTCGTGTATAAGAAATTCTATCATTGAGACTATGATGTTCTGCGACGATGGAAGGAGTATTGTGAGACTACTCCGAATAGAGAAGAAACCGAAACGGCAAGCACACATAATTGGAACGCTCAAAAATTACAAATAACGACGAAATGATGGAATAACGTCAGAGCTACTTATACAGGGTGTATAACCTACAGCTTAACAGTTAGAGTTTGCTTGATTATTTTTTTTCTCAGAAATTATTAAGTTTTGGAAGAACATCAGAGAGACAAAAATGTTTTAGAATAGTTTTATCTATCTAACTGAAATTTTTCCAATGTGTTTATCATCTGCATAACAAAAATTTTAGCAAAAATGTAAAGGGGGTGGTTACGTTTAGTAGTTTAGAAGGGTAGGTTGAAAGTACAAATAGGGTCAAAACGTGCCCTATTATGAGTTAAATATATTCCCCAAATTTCATTTTCCTAGCGTTTCTGGTTTTTGAGAAAAAGAAATTAAACCAAAATTTTGCGCAATTTTTGGAGGGGTGTAGCTCCTTAGGGGAGCCGAAGTCGCCCATGGTTCATATATTAAAGTACCCTTAAAATTCACTAAAGAATCACCCCGTGAAGTTTGTTGCAGTCATTCAGATACACCCTGTATATATCAGTTATAGATCCCAGAAGAATAGACCTTTGGATTTATTCAACCATTTGATAAGAAAGGTTATAGACTACTCCGAGGAATCATGTTGCTAAATGTAACAAGATATTATCAGGTGTTTTAAACAATAGACTAGTCGAATACACCGAGCATATTCTGTACGAGCTTTCGATTTGCTATTTGTCTTACACCAAATACAAACATAAAAGTCCTACGAATGCAATACATTATATGTAGACTTTAAACAAACCTTCGATAATGTTAGGAGGCAAGAAATATTAAATGACTTTCTTCAATTTATTTACACTAGCAAATGTGTCTACACTGTTCAATTTGGTGCTGAAACAGCCATTAGAAAACTGGATGTCCTTGGATGTATTGATATCAAAACATTGCAAATATGGGTCTATGCCATTTACATAGCAATTATGAGTAGAAGTGTGAGTGACACTAAAACGGAAACAGCAACGAACAACAATACAGATCTGGAAGTCGGTGGTACGATTGAAAGAGTATAACAATTCTGCTACCTAGGTTCACACATTACAAAGAATGGTTCATCCACGGTTACGAAAAACTGCTTAAATCCAGAATATTGAACCGGTTTTTTTCCATTAAAAAAAATCCTTACTAGTAAATATTTAAACCTACAACTACGTATAAGATTGCTTCGTTACCACATCTATTTAGTGTTCTTATATTGATCAGAAAGCTGGACTTCTATTGCTAGCTAAAAAAATAAATGATTCCGAAATGTTCTTGTAACGCTGCATCTTAAAAATAGCATGGACAGACAGGATAACCACCGTCATAGTCCCCGTAGAGGTAAAGATATTGAGCTGTTGAATATCGTCAAAGCAAGAATGTTGAACTATTTGGGGCACATAACGAAAAGTGGCCGATACCACCGTTCTAGATTGATTATAGAAGGCAAAATTCTTGGGTAAAAGATCTTCATGGATGGTTCATCAAAAGTCATAATCGCCAGTTGGGTCGCTAATCTTGGCCAGGAGACAACCCAAAGAGAAAAAGAACAAATCACTGAGGATTCGGCAGACAGGAGATTCGGATGGATATGTGGGTCAAATGAGCGATGGAGAATTGCAGATTGATGAGCAGAACGAGAAAGAGATGGATGATGCGGAGAAAGATTTGAGAAGAATGCAAGTTAGGAAGTGGAGTCGATTGTGTGGTGAGAGGCTACAATGGGAGAAGAGTGTTTTGTTCTATTTTCTTCACTAATAAACAGTTTTCTACGTGCTATACGCTCATTGTCAATTTGCCAGTTATGCCTAATGGTTTTGCACTAATTTTTGGATTTTTCATCACTTCCTGTAGAATTTGTCTTGAATCTCTGCTGTTTAGAGTTTTTGGATGCCCTGTTCGACCTTTCTTTTTAACACTATTAGCTTCCCTCTAGTGCGATTATGAAGTGAATTCTTTTATCTCATTTTTTAACATTAAAAGTTATTGGCGTAAACTTCTAGCGTCGCTTAGCTCTTTATTGTCGACTGCGATATGATTCATTTGTGATTTCTACGTAAGCATGTTTCCATAAATGGTTATCTTCAATTTGTTGTGTAATGATGCTGTCCAAATAGTCGATTGATTTCAATTTTTTCTATTTTATTTTTTTAATAAATTTTCAATCTTTTAATAATAACTTACTATCCGTGCTAAAAGTCAAGCCCCCTCAATGAAATGATGAGTTAAATGAGAACAGTACCTGATTTTTGAGGGTTTTTCTCAAAAAGTATATGATGAAAAAATTTCAAATTTAAATAGGTGGTGGAATGATGTGTTCGTAATGGGGGGCATATTTTATTTTTTTGATATTCCCTATAGTTTCGTGAAAAATCACGGTTTAGTAGGATGCGGTTATGCCGAAAACGACTGGGTTGATTTCGACACGGTTTTAATTGCGTTTATCGGATACCGTTATTAGTTTTCCAAAGTTATGTCTCTCAAATTTTTTTTTAGAGTGATTTAAGCAAATTTTAAATTAAAAAGAAACTGTAATCGAAAACGATGGTGTTGCTGTGTGTTCCAGACTCGACGTCGCGCCTTTATTTTTTATGTATGTAAAATTAAGGCGCGACGTCCAGTCTGGAACGCACCATCGATTATTGGTGAGTGATTACAACAAATTTTACCGCAATATTTTTAAATTTTAAATTAATTTTCGTTCCACTTAAATAACTATTCTTAGAATTTTTTCTAATTTGACCACACTACCTACACTTTTAATAATCTTATTACTTAATAATTACTTCTTAAATTATTAATTTCCTAATAATTTAAAGGATAACTAGAAAATAAAGTTAAATTCAGGTAGATTGCGTGTAAAAGACAATTAGAACCGAACACGAAGGTTGGTAATTAATTTAAATAAACAAGGTGGGTTTGGTTATGCTAAATTTAGCTTAATATTCATTAAATACAACTTAATTTAACATTAAAAAATATACAACCTAACGTAGAACGTCTAATACATTTTTTAATACATTGGTTTTAGACAGATTTTTATTTCGATCACTCAAAATAAAAGTTAGGAAATATCGCAACGATTAGATACATAATAAATTCAAGATAAGATCTTTATCATACTTTAACTAAAGACTATATTGTATAAATTTGTTATAATTATAACGTTTATTTACATCAAAATTTATTAATTGTAATAACTCATTAAAGAAGAATATATTATAAAAAGGATCACGTATAAGGTACGTTCACCTTGACACAAACAACACCTTCCTTTTTCGAAATCCATAGATATACTTATACTATACACATACATAGTAGAAATATATGTGTTTTTTTTTATAAAATCCTTGATAATTTTATTTTTTCGTATTGATTTCGTGTTTTATTGTTGTAAGACGAGAAGATAAAGTATACGGTTGAAGTAATTGTTATATTTTCTTCCACAACTTAAGATAAAGGTTAAACAAATTTATTTTTTAGAAAGTTTTAAAGATTCAAGATTTATATTCATCAATGACACACTCAGTCATCGTCTCTGATTCATCAAGTAAATCCAAGAAGACAACGTACGTCACGGTAAAGTCTGGTTTATAGGCGTTTCCGCGTCGGCCACAAACTACTGAAGTAAATATTTCAGAAAATTCGACGACATTCGAGGTGCGTTAAACGAACAGGAAACATGAACGTTATCTGAGTGCGTGAAAATTTTAATGAACGCGGTTATTAACATTTAAATTTTTTTTTGATTTAAATAAATAACATTTTAGACAATAACAAATTAAAATGGAGTTTCGGAAAATAATTTTTATAATCGTTTCGGTTTATTTAATTAGTTTGATTTGTGGAGTGTTTAGTTTTAATATTGATACAAAGTTTCCTATTGTTTATAAAAACCCCGGTGAGGACAACAATACATTTGGATATTCTGTAATTTTATATGAGGGTAACAGCGAAACATCCCCTTGGTAAGATAATTGTGTTTTAATTATTTTAAAATTTATGAGGTGTGTTTTAATAACTTATTAAGTTACTATTACTTTTTTGAGTAATCATATATGATGTTTAAAAAGTTAGTCATAAAATAAATCTTATTTAATTAATAATTTATATAATTTAGGTTTTAACTTGTAACAACTTTCTTATGCGTATTTTTTTAACTTTTATCAAACTTGCGTAGATACATATGTATCAGGTGATGATGTCATTTCCGAAAGTTCGGTTACTTTTTTCCTTTTACCTAAAAAACGTAGAAAAACCTCAATTTCCGCTATTTATTTATAATTCTTTGCTTATTATCTTGTTGAAAGTCGCAATTTAATACCATAATAATTCTGTTGAATTTAATTTTAGGATTCAAATAGGGGCTCCTAAATTTAAATATAATAAGAGTGTAGAAACGGGGCATGTATATAGATGTGGAATTAAACAATCATGTAATCTCCTAAACATGAAAATAGGTAAGATATTTAAAAAAAATTTTAATTACTGTATAAATTAAAAAACAATTTTTAATTAATTAATTTTCAGAGCTTAATGTAGAAACATCAGTGGGGTCATCACTAGGACATTCAATGGATATTAGTCCAGATGGATCAATATTTGCTGTAAGTTAACAATAATACCTTAATATTATAAAGCCCAGTCTTTTGAAGATCTCACAGAAATTAGTTTAATCCGCAATTCTTTTCGATTAATTTTATAGAAAAAAGTGTTAGATAAAACTTTCTGGAAAGGTCTTCATTGCAATATAGAAACTCCAACAATGTCTTTAAATTATTGAGTACGTCAACTTTGTAAGCTAAATACTGGACACCTGGAGTAAATATTTCGAAAATAAGTTTAAGGCAGAAAAAATAGGACCAAAGAGTGGGGAAGTACAATACAAGAAACTCTAGAAATGAAAGGGAACAAGTAATGACCATAGAAAATGGCGGCTTGAAGGAATGACATGAGCCTTGAGATGGTCAATTGATCCAAAGGATATTCCTGGGATGTAGAAGTCATATCTAGAGATTATACAGAGATATTGTACAACAAGGGAAGCACGAACGATTGTGATAACTATAGGACCATCTGCCTGTCATCATGTATGCAGAAGATATACTCAAGGATATCTCAAGCTGTAGAAGGAACAAAAACATATACAAGAGATTAGAAGAAGGAAAACCTATACCTGGTACATCTGGAATTTTTAGACCTTGGTCAAAATCACAAGAGCGTTGTGCAAAAGAACAATAGGAATAGTCAGAATGAAGTCTAAAAGTTTCATTATGGTAAAAAAAGTAAAATAGGGAGCTCTGCTCCTGTTTATTGTAGGTATGGAGCAAATCTGAACCTAAAACTGAAGAATGGAAGAAGTAAACCTTCAAAGTCTTGCGTATACAGATGACATAGTATTACTGGCGGACACGGTTAGGACGGTGCAGGTCGCAGTCAACAAATGGAATATCAATGTACAAAGTGCAAAAAAGTAAAATAATGAAAATTAGCAACCAAATCAGCAAAGAAGAAAAAGCCATAAACATCAGTAGCGAACAGAATAAACTACAGGTAGTAAATTACTACGAATACCTGGGGGTAGTGATGAGCTATAACGGGACAATAGATCAGAAAATAAAAAATAAAATGGTCAAAGCAATAAAAGTGTATTACCAGATTAACACAACATTGATAAATAAAAAAGAGCTTGATTGATATATGGGCACAAAAGCAAAGTAACAGCTGCATAAATGAATTACCTAAGGCGAATTATAGACAGGATCAGAAGGGATGGAGTCGTAGAACGAAGTGGAATAGAAAAGCGTACCAAAAATGGATCGAGAACTCAACTCCGCCGTAAGACAAAAGGAAAAAGGCAAAGAAGAAGCAGTAAACATGTACATCATCCTAATTATCAATTCCTATTATCCCAATTATAATGTAGTAGACCCGTTAATAAAAATAAGTGTAGCATTCCAGGGTTAAATAAAAAGTTTTTTATTTTGTCATGAAAATACTGCTTCCAGAAGACTAAATACAGCTGCTAGAAGACTAGATATCGATCCAGAAGGCTAAACACTAATTCCAGAAGACTAGATACCTCTTGCAAAAGACTACTATCTGTGCAAAAAGTCACTTTAGAGATCGATATCTTTGTAACCGCTCAATGGATAAAATTGGGGTAAAATTTATTGTAATCAGTGAACATTTCTGCGTATCACATGTTAATTTGGAAATTTTCGGGTCCGCGGTTTTTCTTTTATCGCGAGTTTAGTGAAAAAAGTACCCGATTTTTGAGAGTTTGAAGAGCGATTTAATGGAATTACAAAATAAAGAGAAACAGAAATAAGCTATGCTGGGAGAGGAGAGTTCCGTCGAATCGGTACAGATGGTGTGTCCCAGACAGTACGTCGCGCCTTTATCTTACCTACATAAAGAAATAAGGGGCGACGTCCTGTCTGGAACGCACCATCTGTTCCGACATGACGGAACCCCCGTCATCCCGCAGAGCTTATTTCGGTTTCTCTTTAATTTGTAATTCCATTAAATCGCTTTTAAAAAAATAGGGTGCTCTAATTTTTTATTTGACATATTATTTGACTTATTTTGTCAAATCCGCGAGGAAATCCACCCAGCCGTTTTCGACATAACGGCGTCTTACTAAATCGCCATTTTTCGCGAAACTGTATGGAATATCGAAAAAATAAAATATACCACTCATTAAGATTACATCAGGCTACCACCTGTTCAAAATTAAAATTTTTTCGTACGATAGTTTTCCAGAAAAAAAATCGCAAAGTTAAGAAAGTGGCCGGGACCGTAAAAAAATCAGGTACTTTTTTCATTTAACTCGCGATAAAAAGAAAATCGTGGATCCGAAAATTATCAAATTAACATATGTGGCGTAGAAATGTTCAGTGATTACAACAAACTTTGTCGCAATTTTGTTTATAGAGCGGTTGCGAAGATATCGATTTCTAAACTGAGGTGCCTTGACTTTTTGCACGGATAGTACAGAGTGTTAAATAATTATCGTACCCGCCGTCATCATTGCAAATATGCAACCAACATCACAGTGCAAAACGCATCATACGCAAATCGCGTATTGCAATACCAGTACTGTGATATTAGTTGCATACTTGCAATGATGACGTTAGGTTCGATAATTAATTAACACTCTGTAGATGCTGCTTCCAGAAGACTAAATACTGTTTCCATAAGACTATATACTCCTGTAAGAAGATTAAATACTACTTCCTGCAAACTAAATACTGCTGCCACATAAGACTACTTACTAAGACTATATACTGCTGCCAAAAAACAAGATTCCGCTTCCATAAGAGTAAATACTTAACAATTTAAAGATGTTGATGTCGCTTCGATAAAAATGATGGTTTGGTTAAGTTATTAGATATCCATTTAAATGCGTCACACCGTATAAGATAAGATAACATGATGAATTTTGTACAGAATTCTTAACCAGTTTCCGGTAAAAGTTAAATATTATTTAAATGTGTTTACCATTAGTCGATTACATAAAGGTGTGTCTATTTATATTCGTATATCTGAGTTGAGTAACGGAAATATATTTAATGTAACTGCTTGCTTGTGTAATTTTTACACTAAATTGTTTGAAAGCAAATTCAAAATTTCCGTCGTCAAAGCTGAATATTGAAGAACAAATATTTTCCTAATAGAAATATAATGACAACATAATAACATATCGGTGTGAGCCCAGGATCATAATGAGCTCATATAAATAATTTACAAAAAATTCATGCCTATATACATAATACCACAGTACCACCTGTGGTTTCACGATTTTTTTTAAAGCAATCGAGGCAGAGTAGGCACCGATTGTAGAAAGTAATTAACTGCTTCCGAGCATTCTAACTTACAGATCTATCAGTAAGTATTAGGTGCCATAAAACCCGACGTACGTTAATTTATCCATTTACTGGATTAATCTTGACTGTAGGATTTCTGACTTTGCACTAAGAAGTTTATAACTTCGTCTAAATGTAAAGCAATTTCTTTTTCAAGCAAACTCTATGCTTGTGTATTTTGTATAGTAGAGGTCTTAAGGTGTATCCAAACATAGCGCAGCAAGTGCGCGGCAGCAACACGTGATTCCAAGACCCTGTGGCAAGCTGCGCAATGTTTGGACACATCCTTAGATTAACTCATAATTCCAAACTACTTTATAATCGGCATGTAGATAGTATTTCTAATAATGCTTCTTTTGTAGCGTTGAAGTGTTGATTAATTACATATTTCTGTTTAGACATGTGGTCATAGATACATCGAGCGATCAACAGAAACTGCAGATTATTATTCAAAAGGTTTTTGCCATTGGGGAAACACGAACGAAAATACCACTCAACAAAAAATTCCTTTGAAGGGTAATAACAACCACATTTTAGTGTATTGTACAATTTATATAAAACGATGTTTTCAGACGAAAAAAACTTTTTTGAAAGAAAAAACCCGAAATCATTAATTTACGCTTATGGCAATGGACAAGCCGGATTTTCTTTACAATTCGCCAATATCCATAATGTAATTAATATAAACATATTAACTTAAAAGAAAATCGATTATATTAATTTTTTTTAGAATACTGATTCTACTCATATAGTAGTTGGTGTACCAGGGGCTATGAATTGGGCTGGAACATTTTTGTTATGGCTAGAACAAGCTGGTGTGGGTGCTGCACGAAGACGTAGAAGATCTACCTCGTTTTCTAATAGCAAATATGAACCTTTTCGAACGAATCCTATAGGCGATTTAAGTTTATCAGGTATTTTTCAGAAAATTAGGTTATTTTTTTTTTTGTGTGCTAAGAAACGATTTAAACGAAATTAAACAGGAAATAGGCTCAAATTAATTTTCAGAATTTAGATGCTCATATCAATTTTTATTTTAAAAATAATAGAAAAATTATAAGGAAATATAAAAGCATAATCCATAATCCAAACATTTTCTCAATTACATTTAAATAGCCGCTCCAGCTTGATTAACTCTAGTAGCATTAATCCCAATCGGTTGCGAAACATTACCAGCAACAACCGGTGAAATTGGAACTTGAGGAGCAACATTACGACGGAATACTTTATGTTCGACTCCGACAGTTTTATTTGCAGCAGGATCTTCGGCACGAATTGAAGCTGAATTTGAAATAGAAGCAGCTGCAGGTACTGCGGTAGCCGTAATGTTGGTAGGTGGAATATCAGCAACTTGACGAACTAATCTTTTACGAGTTTCTTGCACTGGACTACCAGATGGGACAGATACATTTGCAGCCGGTTGATTGGTTACAGTTTGATTAATTGAGGATGGGGTTGCTGGTGCAGTTCCATTGGTAGTGATGTTTGATGGTGCATCACTCATGGTCTAAAAAAAATTTTTTTTTAATCAGCTCATAATTTAAATTATATTTTATATTTACCATGTTGATGAATAACGAAGCGACGATGATAACCACGATGGTTTTCATTTTGAAGTTGTTTTGATGATTTTAAGATGATTTGCTTGGTAACTTGCTAGTTGTTCTAGTCAGAGAACGACTTGAACTGATTTTGTACGGCAAACGGGGCCCTTTTTATACCCGTTTTTGGCGAATTAGTCGCGATTTAGGAATTTGCGTGTGGAAAAGAACTGTTGAAGTTACTCATAAGTCTTAATCAGACGTCGTGATTTGAAAATTAATAATTTTTAGGAAATTAATAATACGTTTGGTATGAAATAATCGAAAAATTCTAGTCCTATCGGTAGCACGAAATCGAATTATGACGCGTTCGATTAAGAAATTCCTTAATTTAAGTAATTTCAAGGTGAAGTTTTGAATATTTTTTGTAATAAGACGTTTCTTAACTCATAAAAACGATTATTTTTCAATTTTTTACGTTTTTTGATGATTTTTTTGTAGGATATTCGGTAACTTCTGGATATTTTTATGAGAAAGACCGTTTAGATTACGCTTTTGGGGCTCCAAGAGTAGGCATGATAGGGTCAGTTAACCTTGTTAATTACATTAACAATGAGAACATCATATTCGAAAAATATCATTCATTCGATGGGGTGCAATACGGAGAATATTATGGTGGTGCTTTAGCTGCGGCCGATTTAAACGGAGATGGTTATTCCGAACTTATTGTCGGTGCACCTACATTCAAAGCCAATAAATACAATGAAGGAAAAATTTATATTTATAAAGGGGGAAAGGTTGTTTTAATAATATATGTTTTATATGTTTTAGTATTATAATTTGTTTTTTATTTAGACACTTTCTAGTGGAAGTGAAAATAGGATTTTTATAGAAGGAAAGGATGTTGGAGCTCAATTTGGGGATTCAATAGCTTCACTTGGAGACATAGATTTTGATGGATTCAACGGTAATTCTTTTTGATTTTTATAACGCTGTTTATCGCAGATTTAAAACAACTTCAATCTAAATGTTTTAAGTTCTCAACTTAATACTTTCAAATAATTTAATGTTGCATCATTAAAAAAATCTGTTAGTTAATGAATATACAGTATGCAAAATCGGTATTCTAACACCCAAATTTAGCTACAAATTACAAATATTTTTGATGTTTTATTTAGAAGAGTAGAGAGTAATGTTTAATAAGAGATTAAAAAATGTAATGTTTAATAAGAAAAAATTATTATTAAATTTTATAGCGAACTTATCGATGATAATTGCAACATCGAAAATTTATCAAAACTTCAAATATTGTTTTCTTAAAAACTAAAAGCTATTTTTCAAAACGGGTGCGTTCATTGGAAAGAGGACACTTTTACTACCACTTTGGGAAATTTTGATACTCATATTCCAAGAACTAGATTTTATACGACTTTTAAAACTTAATCGGTGAAAATTACAAAATTCGAAAAAATTGTCGATGTTTTCAAAAATTTATTTCTCAAAAACTGAAAGTGATTTTTCAAAACGGTTTGTTGCGTTAAAAAGAGGATACTTTAATTAATAATCGAAAGTGATAACAGCGACAGTTCTGTTAGTAATGAATGTGATGATGAATTATAAGCGAAGAGAAGAAAACTAGACGAAATTGCAACAAGAGATTTTATATATCGTATTGGGATTGTTACAATGAGGTTGCTAAAGACAAACCTGATATAAATAAA